TTGATCTTGAACTAATAAGAAAAGTAGACCTAATGAAGCATAGAAAAGACGGGGCCAAAATCAAAAATGTCCCCTTGATTTACATGTACATGTATACTGCAAGATCAAATAATTATTCTTTTCCGTTAATTCCTTCACGAGAAAACATTTGAACATTTCATTGGTACACAAAACAGTCAACTAACGACGTGGGAACTACCGTAAAATTCCGAAAATAAGCCCCGGGGCTTATATTTTTCAAAGGCCCTTTTTGAGGGGGTTATTTTTGGAGGGGCTTATATTCAGAGGGGCTTATCTACAGAGGGAAATTTGCGTTTCAAAATCGATTGGGCTAGCCTTATAGTTGGAAGTAAATTTACCGTTTTTGCTTTGTTTTACTTTGTATTTGAGGGCAATTTTCCAAGTACAAGCCACAGGGGGGCTTATATTCGGAGGGGCGATTTAACGGAAGGTTTTTTGTGATACCGGTTTGGGGGGGCTTATTTTTGGAGGGGCTTATCTTCGGAATTTTACGGTAACTTACTTTGTGTCTTAAGAATAAATACAATCATGGCCACCTAGCGAACAAATGGAGATAAGAGAAATGCAGATGTCAACGTGCTCTAAAATTTTCAAGGGAACCGCCCATCTTTTTTGCGTTCTCATCATTTGGAATCTTTGCTGGAATTTGTGTCCATACTCTCATACTATCATGCAGAAAAACGTTTTTGACAGAGGAGTGCTAGATATTGATAAAAAAGATTCTCGAAAATTTACATGTATGTTTCAAGACACTGCTATACTGACAAATTCACTAACCAGAGACAAATAATGCCATCTTTTCTTAAAAAGAGGTAACAGCTACTGTAATTTACTAATTATGGAAAAAAATAAATTCACTAGCTATACATGTACCTCTGCAATAAGTGATGCAACATACAATGCAGTGAGGGGTGTCTGCTCAGCGGGTTTCATTACCACTACATTCCCAGTAGCAAGAGCAGGGCCAAGTTTCCATGCCTGCATTAACAATGGGAAGTTCCAAGGAATCACTTGACCAACAATGCCAACTGGTTCATGACGTGTATAACACAAGAAGTCACCATCTAAACAAATTCAGATAGCATTATAGTTGGATCCCTACAGACAGAACCAAGCAGCAGACTGTTGCCTTTACTGTACATGTATATACCAAAAACCAGGATTTTGTATAAGGGGATCGACAAAATTATGCTTGTGGTTCAATTTTATCTTTTTTTCAGACTAATAAAACATGTACATTTTCTAGGTTATAACACCTGCCAATCGACTTTTTTAGTGGTGAAAGGAAACAGGATAAGGTAAGGATTTTTCATAATTAAAGGTAACGATTCTTTGTAGGAGACCCAATCATCCAGCACACTATATGTCAGGATGTTTAAAGGTTGCCAAAGATGTTCCAGAAATTTCTGAAGGCAAAATTAAATTTCAGCTTGATTTTTTTAAACCTAAGTTGAAGGTTGATTCTTTTAATCTCCTTGCGGTCTCCTTGCCTACATGTAATTCTAGAGTAATAACGGACAACAGTCAACTGTTTCTACGACCAACACCTTGGGAACTAGTACTATAAAGTATGTCTCGTCTTAGAGAGATGTCCGGCTAATAGATAGTCAAATAAAGGGAATAAAGAAAGCCAGGGATCAATTCTAGAGGTGTCCGTTAAGAAAAAGTCAACTGTAGATCAGCCAAAGGGAACTAACAATTATTAGTAAAATCCAACTAGTGGGCTATTATCAGTGCTGCATTCTGATTGGTTGAGCTGCTACCAGGCTGTTATAGCCCACTAGTAGCGAAAAGCGCCAGCTTTGAAAACCAAAACAATGGCGGCTGAATCACGTTTTGCTACAACCCCGGACAAAACCTGTTGAGACAAATCGCGAAAATGCCTATTTTTTCCTGTCATCCCGGCAAAAACTGAAACTGCCGCTAAATGAATGCCCGATTTCCCCCCTCCCCTTATCCAAAGTTGTTTAGGATAGCATGGCAATTATACACGTTGGTTTTTAAACCAAGGCAACTTTGAATAGGGGGTGGGGAGGGGGTTTACTTTTTGTGTTTAGGGGAGATGGGAGTAGGGCGCAAAAGTTACAAAATAGATGGAATTGTCTCAACAGTTTTGTCCGGGGTTGTAGCTACAGTGGTTTTAACTCGATATTTCTGACCAACTACTAGGATTTTACTAAAACAATTATTCCTCTCGCGCTCATAACCTCTAAGTCAATACCCCATTTGGTCTTCCGCCTCATGGGCTATTGAGTCAGAGCCCGTTCGGGCTCGAGGAATAATTGTTAATTAACCTGGGTGAAATACAGTCAAACCTCCACTGATGGCCACCTCTACAGTGGCCACCTCTACAGTGGCCACCTCTTTATGACTCTTGTTTAACCCTTTAAGCCCCAAGATCCAAATACAAATTCGCCAGACTGATCTCCATACATTTGTTTTAAGAATAGCTGAGAAAATTTGGTTTAGGATCAAATCATTCTCCCTTTGGTAATCAATTTATTAATTCTCATAACCTTTACTCTTAATGATTTGCTGATGTTGTTAGGAGAAAATTGATGTTGGCCACTCTTGGGACCTGAGGGGTTAAAACCTCTCTACAACTGCCACCTCTTTACAATGGCCACTTTCTTCTGTCTCCAAGGTGGCCATTGTAAAGAGGTTCAACTGTAACATTTTAACTAAATATAATTTTGATCTTACATTGTATATGTACATTCAGGGCTGTCACTAACAGCCCAGAGCCGGGGATTTCCCCAGGCTACTATGAGCGTCGGCCCCACTTCTTTCATACATGGGTAAAAAACAAAAGGAAAATGGAACCAAAAGAACTTCTTTCCTTGGCAATTCCCCTCCTACTAATTACATATACCCAACAGCTTGAAATACTATACTATAATACAGATACTATAATACAATACAGATACTATAATATAATACAGATACTATAATAAGCCACTGAAGTATTATTCTTTCATAGGCATCCATTCTTTCAATAAAAAAAAAACAGTGTTTATGACCCAACTCACCAATTGGAATTGTCTTGCCATGGATCTTATCTGCCCATCCAGCATAATATCGATAACACTTTATGGTCAATTTTAAGTCTATATCAAAAGAGTCACTGAATGGCTTGCCATTATCCAAGGTCTCCAAACTCTACAGATAATTGTGAGCAAAAAAATCCACTCCACATTAACTACATGTATAAGAACCAAGCAGACTGATTAATAGAAAAAAACCCTACTAATTTAATCACATTACTAGCTACACATTAACAATGTGGGGAGGGGAGGGGTAGGGGGTCCTTAAAGATAACAATATGGTACGTGCCTCCATATCTATAGGGATTATGGTTTAGGACTTCCTTTCCAGACCATATGGTGTCAAGCCTTTAAAATGAGAGAGTTCTACAATAAGGTATTAATTGGCCTTAATTTCTTAGTGGAATGGTTATCATTGTGAATGCTGCATCCTATTTTTTCCCCAACATGTAAATCAGCTGGGTCCAAAATTGCAATCATGGTGGCACACACATGTATTCACCTGTACCCCGGGATTTTACAGCACTTACAGCAAGATAAGCATGGTCACGTTCAAGCAAATCTGCCAGTCTGTTTAACAAATTTCCACGTTCTGAAGCATCCATTGTTCTCCAAGGACTACCAAGTTTAAAGGCCTCCTTGGCTGCCTTTACAGCAACGTCAACATCAGCCTAAAATAAAATAAAATGAGATGAAATAATTGTCACATAAACAAATGAATAAAATTCTGCATCAGTCAATTCCAGCTTCACCCATCAAAAGCTTGGGAAGAGCCCCAGGGTTGGCAAATGCCTGGCCCCTGGGCAGCACAAGATTTGCAAATGCCCCACCCGCGGGACTGACAATGAGGGCAAATGCAAATGGGGTTAGGGGGGGGGGGACCTGGGTGCAGCTGGAATTGACGGATGCATTGATATACAATAAGGCAAGTGTAATTACTCATTTGGAGGGCTGGAGCCTGCTCTTCACTTTGCTTAGAATCTGAGTCAAGATTCATGACAACTCAAAAAACTGCACATGCACTTTTGTCCAGGCAAGCAAATTGAAACAAGGTCTGATAAAAAATGAATAATGCATCCCTGATAATAACAATATAAATTTTTATATGTACTTCACTCATAAACTATAATTCCATCTTTAAGTTCCTACAGCTGTACATTATGTACACTTTTTGTATTAAACAAAAATACATACATGTAATCCTGATTTATTTAACACACCTTGTCACCTTCAGCAACTTCACATATTTTCTCTCCTGTGGCAGGGTTAATTGTTGGAAATGTCTTGCCACTGACAGAGTCCACAAACCTGTTGTTGATAAAAACCTACAATGACAAAGTTTGAGAGTTAGGTGAAACATTTAGGGCCAAATATTTAAACGAAGTCTAACTTGAGCTGCGGTTTAACAAATCTTTGAACCTCCAGATCTCCTCTTTGGTGGGTTGTTTTAAGAAGATTAATGCTTTTCTAGTCTTCTCTATATGCTTTCATAAAAATGTTCACAATAAATGATGTTGAGATAAAAGTTTTGGGCAAATTGAAAATGACACAGAACACGGTTTTGTTAAATATTTGCTAAACTATGTTTAAATATTTGGCCCTTACTGTTCAGGACTAAATTTTTCAGCTTAATTCTGGACTTAATGGCTACATGCTGACAGCCTCGACCTTCATTAGTCATTAAGTGACTAGAAACTGTAACAAGAGTGAGAATTCTGCAGTAAACTAATAAATTGCTTACCGTTATGCTTTGGAAACTCTGGTGAGATTTTTCTGTCAATGGTAAGCACTCTTCCCATATCACAGCATGTTCACTAGGGAACGTTAGCATTGCTGTCTTGTAGCATTAACAGTGAAAATGTGGCCACTTACAGAAAGAACAAATTTTCTGTTTTTTTTTTCCCAAACTATGATGTGTTTGAAAATTGCTTAAAATGTCAAAAATTTAGGTGCGCACGAATTTCCCTGGAGTAAAAATAAAATTCTTGGATACCGCACTCAAGTTTAGAGGAAGAAGGAAAAATGCATCATGTCCTCGATCCACCATAACATCATGGCATAAGGAAATTTCATGTCATTGTTGTGCAGTGACAGCAAGGAAATGTGCAAAAAGTGTTCTAGCATGGGCAAAATTATTGTTTGGCTTCTAAAACCCTTTGCTTGCAGCCTCATTAACAGGGTATATAAGCTTACCTGGTTGTATTTTACTTCTGGGCTATCATCAATTTGGACCTGCAAAAGGGAAAATTAAGGAATGATTTTCATATTAATGTCTGGCTCTTAATTATACAGTAATCTTTACTAGGTAAGTTACAGTACGGCTGTCACTAAAAACGGATTTGAAGTTGCCGGTTATGCACAGTAAGCCATCAAGTACTAGAATAAGTCTGAATTGATCTGCTTGGTTAATTGATCTCATATTTTCCTTTTGTTTCCTAGCTATGAAAGTAAGGAACTCTATTTCCCATAATAGTATTTAACCTAATTCATGGTCATGCTCATAGTATCAGGGGCCCCCTGCCTCTGTGGAACCCAGGGGTTTCAGTTACAATTAAAGTAGCCAGCAGGTGTGAATAGAGTAACCCACTGTATCGAACAAGGTCCATTTGTCCCCTTCTTCTGGGGGGACTTGAGGGCATGCTCCTCCAGAAAATTTTGAAACTCCAAAATCCTAACTTGCATTTTCTGGTGTTCTGGGTACTAAGTTGAGAAAAAAAAGGCACGTTTTCCAATCAATCAATAATAATAACACTAACAGAAAATTCTTTCAAGTTTCAATTTACCAGCCAAATGCACAACCAACTCTTACAAGGAAAGACCAAATGACAAGAATATGTAAATTTGCACATAACCAAATTCTGCGCAGTAAACCTATATAAAGAATTGTGTGAAAAAATGACTGAAATAAATTATAGTGTTTGCATAACTTAAAAGCATGACATAAAATCAGTGGGCGTTTATCAAAACACATAAATACAATTTCATTTGGATTAATGATATATTTTCTGTTCATGAAGTCATTAGAACTAAGTTGCTTTTTTGTTTGGAAAAAAGAGGAACCGACAGAATTACAGTCAAACCAGGTCAAGATGCCATTCCGAATTCATAAATTGATTATTTGAAAAGTGAATCCATTTGTCCCTTCTGTAACTTGTACCCAGTGTCAAACAGCGTTCAAATGAACGGCGAATTTTTGACTGCAACTATTTAGTATACGATGAGATGGAAAATATTTCAATGGATGAAATTTCTATTTAGACATTCTTCAAATTCAAGAAAATAGAGCCAGCAGAAATTTCATAATGAACTTGCATGTGTATTTACTGCTTATTGCGCAAGCAAAAATGCAGACTGAAAACAACAACAACTAACGGATGGCGGCATTTTGGCCAATCAGAACAGTGCAAATCATCTGTATTGTTTCCTATCCAATCAGAGATAGTCCAGATTCTTCAGGATTGTATCATGCCTTCCTCCCAAAAACAGATTACAGAGCTAAAGGGAGAGCATGATCACAGGCTTGCCATTATTATGTTTCGATTACCAATCAACTGATTCAACATGTGCATGCATTTATGTACCTAAAATTTGAATTGCTAATAAATTACCAAACTGCATACTCCAAATAGTGCCTATTGTGCTATATTTTAGGTGCACTCATTGTTTGTTGATTCAAATTTTAGGTTTTGTCAACTGAGTAAACTGCATACTTCAAATAGCACCTATTATGTCTTATTTAAGGCACATTTCTTGTTTGTAACATGATTTTTATTTTTTTCAGAGTGAACATGTTCAATCTATATATTGATGGAAGGATATACAACAACTTCAGAATACCCTGCTACCTGTCACAACGCCTTAAAGAATGATGAGGTATAACAATGGACACTTTTGTTACTCCACAACACAAACTACGTAAATTAGATTTTCGGACTGAATCTCCACAAACAATTATGCCTCACAATGATAACGATAATTTTTTATATTATTAAGACGATTTTAGTATACTTTTATTGCTGAAGTTTTAGTTAGCTTGTCTGCACGACCCCATAAGCGGCAACGCTTTAATCACCATCGTGTTGACATGAAAGTTATTGTATTGTATTGTATTGTATTGTATTGTATTGTACTGTGCTGAGCATTTTGAAGTTTAGCTTCATGAAAAGTTCAAACGAGGGAAGTGTCAACAATAAGGTCTGTTAATCTAAATTATCGTTTACAATGTCACCGTGACTTTAAGCAAATAATTTATACTTTGGAAAGACGATGCGCTACAGTTCTTAAATTGCAAACGACCTGACTGATTCATGACATTTAAATTATTTAGCCTAAGGCATGTTCTCATAACAGAGCCACAAAATCATTTTTACATTAAGCTTAACACTTTCAGTCCATACATTATGATTCTGGGATAAGTCATTTTCACAAGACTCGAAAATAAAATAGCGCCAAACAGAGAAGGCAATTTTCACCTCGGCTAACGTGGCGTAGGAAAACCTGTTGACTGCGGAAACAGGGGCAAACCTCAAACTCCTGGCGGCGAAAATTCCACGCGAGAGTGAACGAAGAGGAAGTCGTAACGCCATGGCAAAACAACTGTAAACTGCGGAGAAAATAGATTCAAATGCTGAGGTCTGACAATGAAATAAGCGTCAATATAGTGTTTTCTCTTTTTTTTTAAGAATTACAGGTAAACGAAAGAGCGTCGACATAAATTTGAGTGCCAAGGGGGGCCAAAACATCCGAGTATTCCACTTAGCTATTGCAAACAACGTCTGACGCGGAATGATTAAGCATTTCGCTAATTTAGCCCACATTGGTACAAAATAATAAGTAAGCTTTTGGTTAAAATAAGCTAAAATATGACAATTTAGTAATTATAGTAATCTTAACTGATTTTTTTCTATCAAATGAAAACGAAACGGATGAGACATCATCATGTGATTAGAATTCTAGAATGACCTTGACAAGCTTTTAGTTGAGCCGATAAAGCAAACGTGAAAAGAGCTTTTGTAGAAGCATTTCAGTTTTCTAAGAGTCACAAAACACTAAAATAAACTTAAACACGAGAGAGCGTCGACATAATTTTTTGTACTACAGAAAGTAAAAGGTATGTAAACCGAAAATAAGGATGGCAACCTCACCTCAACTGTTCGTAGCTCCGCAAGCTGCTGGTTTCTCATCGGCTTCGTGGCGTGCGCGCCCCCAAAACACCCCTTCGTTCCCAGAGCCTTCAGTCCATCTTAGCCGACGGGAGACTAAGAATAAGCACCATGAGCTCCTGGTTTGGACTAACAGACATTATCGATTTTTAAGAAGTCCTTACGAACGTGGACTCACCATTAATAATTAATAATAATAATAATAATAATTTTTTGAATAATAATTAATAAAACTTTATTCATAGATTTAAAAAAATAGACTATTTCAGATTCAAGAATATGAATATTAAAAAATATACCCTATGTACATTCTTCTTGTGTAATAATAATAATAATAATAATAATAATAATAAGGAAAATAATAATGTAATAATAATAATAATGATAATAAGGAAAAATAGGTCTCACCTCCAAAAAGAATGCAAAACCATCTCTGTAGCAGGTTTGATTAGCTACATGGAGAAAAAAAAGTAGGAGCTCCGAAAGTTAAAACGTGGGTTTGACAGCTGGAAAAAGAAACAAGAGGTCTCGCGTGTGATTAACCAACAGTTTAACACGGTCCCTGGAAGAGTGTTTGCGAATTTGAGTGAGATGTTGAAGAAGGACCCAGAGAATGAGCGGCCAAGATATAAAGATCCTGGAAAACGTGCTCGAGATGATTCGCGAATGTTTGAAAACATTGAAGAGGCGAGCGGGTTTTGGAGAAAGCTGTGGGAAGAGAGAGGGACTGGGAATAAGAACGCGGCCTGGTTGCAGGAAGTAAAGCTCGCGATCCACGAGCAAGTATCACCACCGATAGGCGACGAATGGGCTCTCGAAGTAGCGGAAGCGGTCAAAGTCCTGTCACAGAAGCGCAACAGGAGTGCGCCAGGGCCTGATAAAATCACTAACTTTTGGTGGAAACGTGCTAGCACCCTGCAAGAGGGTGTGGTCGAGAGCTTCAAAGAAGTTTCTACGAGCGACGAAGATTACCCCGAGTGGTTTTCTGAAGGGAAAACCTCCCTCATTCCGAAAGAAGGCGAGTTCCTCAGTGAAAATCAAAGACCTATTACTTGTCTGAATAACATATGTAAGTGGTTTACATCTTGCCTCCTGGCTCCCATGGACCAACACCTTGAACATTATGGCCTGATGGAAGGCCAGCAAAGAGGAGCGAAATCAGGGTGTTTCGGTACGATGGATAACTTGCTAATCGATAGAGCAGTAATGCTGGATTGTCACAGAGGCAAACGGAATTTAAGTATGGCATGGATTGACGTGCGCAAAGCCTACGACTCCGTCGATCATGATTGGTTATGCGCAATGACTGACGTACACAGGCTTCCCGTCTGGCTGGGTGAGGTTATACGCAAGTTGTGTGCGAGCTGGAATACTAAAGTAGTAGCTACAACAAGGCAAGGGCGAAAGACTTCTAGAAAAATAAGGTTCATGAAGGGTCTACCCCAGGGGGACGCTTTGTGTCCTAGACTGTTTACACTGTGCCTGAACCCTGTAGCGTGGCGCCTGCGGGCAACAGAGGGATACCGGTTATCCAAGCCTGTAGGAGTCAAAGTCACCGATCTCCTATATATCGACGACCTCAAGGTTTTTGCTGCCTCCGAGAGCAAGCTGAATCGAGTGCTGAAAGAGACTAGAGAAGCGATGCAGGACATCGGCCTCCACTGGAATCAGAAAAAGTGCTCAGTGGTACACGTGAAGAGGGGAGCCCAAGTGCTAGACGAGTCTGGTATGAGGATGGACGAGACAACTACCATCACGGCTCTTGGGGAAGGAAAACACTACAAATTCCTGGGGGTGCTAGAGAACGCTCGACAGGATGAACGGCTGGCCCCAGCTTGTGCGGCTAAAGAGTATCTACGCAGGATATCTATTATATGGTCCAGCCCCCTATCTGATTGTAACCGTGTGCAGGCATCTAATCAGTATGCGGTACCTAATGTGGACACAGCATTGGCCTCTATCAGAGTTAAGAGATGTGGACAGAGCAGCTCGGAAGATCATGGTTGAGAACGGTGGCAAGCACCCAGCTAGCCTGACTTCTTTGTTATATCTACCGAGGGAGAAAATGGGGTAGAAGCCTGCGATCACTCGAACACGAGTACAAGATCACTAAAATCAAATCGCTACTGAAATTGTATCAGAACCCGGACCAGACTGTGGAAGCAGTTAGAGAATTTGAAGAACACGCCATGGCATCAGGCCACCAGTCGCTCGTAAAGGAAGCAGCTAAGTACGCTGAAGAACTCAACATCACACTTCAGCTTGATACCCTAAATCCTGTGTGTGTTACAACAGAAGGAAAGGTGGTAACTGCAGCAACAGCTGGAAATCTGTTGAAGCAATCTCAAGAGAAGCAGTTCTTGGAGATCGCTAAAGACAAAAAGTGGCAAGGAACGTTATTCCGTATCAGATGGGAAGATGAGAGCCTAAGCATAACCAGCTGCTTTGCATGGTTAAAAGGTTGGGCTACATGCCCTACACATACCATCTCGGGCATGTATGAATTGTATGAGCAGTTGTTACCTACGAAGCTCTACACAAAGGAGAAGACGCAAACCTCCACCGACGGCGAAGTTCTATGCAGGTTATGTGGAAAGGTAGCTGAGAGCGTTGCACATGTACTGGCTGGATGTTCCTCCCTGGCACAAACCAAGTACCTATACAGGCATAATGCAGCTTTGAAGATTCTGTTTTTTGAGCTCCTGCGGGAGCATGGGTTAATGGAAGAGGTTCCACCATGGTACTCACCGGTGATGCCAAAACCAGCCTACCAGAACACCACGAGTGAGGCGTTTTGGGATATTCCCATCTATGCAGAGCACAACGAAGTTAGAGCAAATCGGATCGACGCGCGACTTGTCAACCACGAGAGGAAAGAAGTCTGCACAATTGAAATGAGCTGCCCATGGATTGAGAGTAGAGCTAAGAAAGATGAGAAAAAGACACTCAAGTATGGGCCCATGATGTGGGAGCTGAAGCAGAGATACAATGGTTACAGGGTTGAACAATACAACGTAATAATTGACGTACTGGGAGGTTACTCTAAACACCTAGAGAAGTCGGTGAGGAAGCTACTTGGAGCGAGAGCACGGAGCGTACTTGAGTGGATGCAGAAGTCGGTCATCTCAAACACTTTAAACATTGCCAGAACATTTAAGATAAATACTTAGTTAGGTCGCTATGGACTTCAGTTTTTAGGTTTTTGTTTTTTCTCTAGAAATCTAGAAACACAAGCTTGCTGACGTTTTTACATAGTTTTTTTTAGAACATTAGAGTGTGATATTATTATAAATATGTTTTTAGTAGAGATAGCGAAGGTTTTACAGAGTATCAGAATTTAATAATATTCTAAATTGGCTTTTTAAGTAAAGAGATTTATATCACTATGTATTTTAGGATTGTATATCAGAAGGTTTCTAAATTGGCTTTTTAAGTAGAGAGATTCATATCACTATGTATTTTAGGATTGTATTAGGTTTCGTATCGACCTTTTTTACTTCTTAGTATAGCTTATCAAGTGGTGTAGGTTACGCTATGCGCCCTATACTACTCATAATGTGGACAGCATTCCAAAGTTTCATACTGCGACATAATAATAATAAGAATAATAATAATAATAATAATCAGAAAGGTGCTGGAAGTCTGTGGTCTCGGGATGAGACTTGACTGGATATTTCTCCCCAGGGAAAATCCCTGTGCTAAATTTTACATAATAATAATAATAATAATAATAATAATAATAATACTAAAGTCTTTATTCATCAAAAGATAAAAGTACATATCTTTTGTTACAAGTAAGTGTAAGAAATTTTAAAAAGTTAAAAAGTAAGAATTAAAAAAAAAGTCTAGTATATCACATAGCTAATTCATATTTAAAAACTAAACGAGTAATAAAAGATAAAGCGCATAGTGTTAATCTTAGGTTTAAAACAAGTTTCTTTGCTAAGATTGTAAGGATATGTAGGGATTTGTTAGCTTTAATAAGTTTGTTCTTCACGTGCAGTGAAAATTTGCTGTCACATTGGAAGGTGACACCCAAAATCTCAACTTCTTTACAGCTTGGTATCATCCCAGGTGAATAGAGATAGTGGTTGCCTCTCTTTTTGATTGTCAACTCTTTACATTTGCTTGGGTTGCAAGACATTCCATCATCGTCCAATCTAAAAACTGTGACACTAACTGATCGGAGTAGTTTACCTCCTTCCATACAGGAGCAATAATTGTCGAATCATCAGCGTACTTAAATAGCGCGTCATGATTACCTAAAGTGATGTTAAGATCAATGACAAAGATGTTAAAAAGATATGGACCGCTAACGCTACCTAGAGTTCCTTTGTTAACCGGTTTCCAGTCACACTCAAAGTTGTTGCAACATACCCTTTGTTTTCTATCCTTTAAAAAGTTCAAGTACCAATTGGTAATATATGGATTCAGTGGCAGCTTTTTTAATTTATTAGCAAGAAGTTCATGTTTCTCTATTAGAATATAATTTCCCGTTTTCGGCATACAATTTCTCACGCGGAAAACTCATTCCCTGAATTTATTGTATGGCTACAATAATAGTTCGCGCGCTCCGATTGGCTGTTTTCTTGTGATGACCGGGCATTGTTTTCTTTTATACAATGATGTGAATGATACGTGCGGTGTGATTTGTCTTTACCCATGATATATTGGAGTACAGATACTTGGACGGATGTCGCGGGAAAATTCTTTTCTTTGTTTTGTTCAATATGGCGCATGGTTTTGAAAATGTTTGCGGGTTAATTTTGGACTAAACAGATGAACGCCTTGTAAAAAGTTACATGACAAAGAAGAAAAATGGAGAAACGGAGACAAAAAGAGTTCTTGACAACTTGAGGATGCCTAAAGTGCAAGAAATCTTCACAAAAGTTTCTGTCGTGTGTCATCGCTACGAGAGGCTCGCTGTTTTGCAAATGTTTTCGCCATCATTCTGCCTTGAGCGAGTGAAGATGTTGAAAAACGTTTCGAAGAAACTTCATGAATACAAGCTGAGACAAGGAAGAAAAGAAGAGGCCGAGACAAAAAGAAGCATTTGGGACTTAAAAAAAAATCCTCGAACAGTCAAGGGATACAATGCGGGTGTGTGTATCAGTCTTAATACTTTTCTGATCAATGTATAAAACAAATCAGTAGGTTATATGTTGCCGTACGTGGATCTGTTCATTAATAGGCCGATTTAGCAACAGAACAGGAACGTCAATTGACGACGGGAAAGCGCGCAGAAAGGACTAAACTCGACTTCCGGTGCCCAATTTGCCGCACAGTCATTGGTCAACCCAGTTGTTTGATTTGCGCGCGCCGTCGTCAACTGACGTTCCGTTCTGTTGCTAAATCAGACAGAAGACTTCAAAATGTGGTAAAAACATCAGTGACACACTCGCCTGCGGCTTGTGTGCCACTTTTTTTTTTTACCACATTTTGACGTCTTCTGTGATCTATTACTGAAGAGACCCACAGCAACATGAAATCTATTTCAATTGTTAAGTAATGATCGGGTATTATTAGCTAAGTGTCCAAGGCATATACAATCTGTGTTTAACTTGATAGTGGACGATCCTTTTATACAATGATGTGAATACTACGCGCGCTGTAATTGGTCGTTGCCCATGATCTACATGTATTAGAATACAGATACGTGATGACGTCACTGAAAACTTGTTTTCTTTGTTTGGTTTAACATGGCGCGCAGTTTTGAAAATGTTTATGAGATTATTTCAGAAGTGAAAGCCTCGAGAAAGGCTTAGCAGGAGCTATTTACAAAGAAGAGAACCGGAGACAAATCGAGCCCTTGACTACTCGACAATATAAACTAAGGCTTGAAAAACCACTGCAAAAACCCTGAACGATCAATGTAGCTCAAAGTTGGATCAAACAAGATCGTGATGGAATTAAAATCAAAAAGGCTACTGCAAAGACTGATCTAACAACGTGAAAAAGGCTGAGGTATACAATACTTTCGGCGACTGGCCAATACCAGTCTTCATTAGGTTTATTAGGAAAACCCACGAATATGCAGAATATATACTACTGTAAAATAATAAACGGAAGTTACATGGTATGACCTGGTAAGGTGTGGCTGCTGAGAAAAATAAACCGAAAAGAGGATAAAGATTACATAATGATTAATATCGTCACGTTTGTTCATACCCAGAGGCTCGAAGGTTTCGGCTTATGAATGAGATGAGCCTCACTTGCTTTCCTAAGGCAATCGCGTTCATATCTAAGTATTTCAATTGGAATTAGTAACATATGGGAAACAGAGTGGCTATTGCTGAAAAAGTGTTCTGAAACTGCGGTTTGGATGTAACCATCGGAGGGGTTAATTAAGTATAGGGCGTCTATGTTCATTAAAACGGTCCTTGAAGCGGCGTTTGGTTTCCCAATGTATTGCAATTTAAAAAGGAGGCATTGAATCATGTAGATAACGTTGACAGTATTACAAGTAATGTGAGATTTGAGTTTGTAGGTTTCACCCGTACAGTAGAAAGTAAGGAACTTAAGCACCAGACGTTCTTGATTCAAGAACGGCATGGCTGGCCGCACAGAACTGAATCGGGGACGCCCAAAATTTATCTTCTTTAATCACAAACTGAAAGAATGAGAAAATTTGGCCTTTTTTCAGTGTTAGTAACAGTTACGCGTTCATGGACGAAACGATTTCGCAATGCCAGTTTGGCCCTTCTCGGAACGCAAAAAAGGTATCAGTTACTGGAGCTGGCCTCTTACGAGAATGGTCCTCTTAAGTGGCCAGTAGAGATGTAAGGATTAAATGGCTGCTTACTGGGGCCTCCCCAACTACAAATGAACATTGGAAATGCCAAAAAAATGTTTGTTACTGTTTGACTATACTGTTGTTCTGACAATGCGTGCTGTAATTCAGTCACAAGCATAAAATTCACTGAGTGGTGTTTTGAAGTGTAACCTGATGTGTCGAAAAAAAGACTGATATAAATTCATTGGATGGTTATTGTTTGTTGAAACAAAGGAAATGCACTATAATAACTTGTGGGAATTGTGCTTGTTTTTAAGTTTGAAACAATATCAACAAAGCCCTATAAACCGAGACTATGAATAATATTCATTTGGCTTGGCGATTACGTGAACCGGTAGGATTTAAAACTTTTAAAATCTTTCTCTGATCGATTTGCTGTACAGTTTACGATCAGAGAGACTAAAATCGATTGGTTTGTGTTTACGTCCCGAAAGAAAAATAGTCAAACACAGTACAGTTTTTGTCATTTCCTTCCCGTATAAAATGCTAACTTGATTGTTGTCGCCTGGACTGTTTACACCATTCGTTAATATCCTTATAGACTGCGCTGATACTGGAACTAGCTGTTTAGACTACGGTTAAAACTAAAGTCTACCTCAGCGACCGCCAAGATTCGTTGAAGAGTTGTCTTGCAGATCAATGTTGCGATCTTTGATCTTTTTTTTTTTATCATCTATCGTTAGTAGCAATCCTATATCAGGAAAGAGGCTTTATCAGAATCCAAACTGTATCTTTTCATGTGCGTGAACATCTTAATTTGTTTAAGCGGCCTGCCAGCAAGAAACTTCCTCTGTATTCCTTAAAGTTTTATTGTCCCCCATTTCATCTCATTCAATTGGAAATAACTGAATAACTAAGTTTCAAACAAACAAAAGGCACTATCCAATTTGATGACGTCAATCCTTTCTCATTGGCTGACACCTCCTCTATTGTTCTTTCTCTATATATTTGCGATACCACCCGGATGGTTTGGGCGGATCTGTAAACCACTGCACAGTAAACCTCTCAATACTTCTCACCTTTCAACACTTCATCCATATTTTCTTTAACAAATTCCCAACAGTGAACCCTCGAATTCCAATAAAGCCCGCTTCTACAAGCCTCGCGCGTCCTCGTTAACTCAGGGCTGGTGAATATAATTGCCCCCGCAGGGAGGCGAAATCCCGAGGAGGCACCCTAGTAACTCGCGCGTATATTAAGCACAATACTTACAGTTCAAATATACAGTCAGTATACTAGAAAAAATCTCGATTTGCTCGAACTGGGGCCGCGAGGAATCGGTAGGTAATGATGACGTTTCTATTGTTTGCGCCCGCAAGTACGAAATGGTTAGGATGACGTAAAGACAGAAAATCCCGAAGGGACCGCTCAGGTAGATTTTGTGACATTTATTGTCATACTTCGATACTCTTTTGCACCGTTACGCAGTCAGGACATTCTGTGGAGCAGTTGTTTTGAAAGTTATGGACCAAAAGACACTCGTTAAGCGCAGGGGAGGCTATAAGGTGCGTTTAACTGTGTATATATAAACACTTGGAGAGTTTGCTAGACGAGTTCACAAATCTTTGATTTATATTGGAAACCTTGCCAGACACTCTTTCTCTCTCTTTGACCGGAATAAGACTCAGCCCCAAACAAACAAGACGAGTGAACAATGGCTAGCTTATCACTAGCAGACTGTGATGGACATTTACAGAAATTCGCCGACAATCAAGTTCTGTGTTGACTTATTCCCTGCTCACAGATGTCCTTTCCTTATAAAGTTTCTAATAAGACCAGAATGCGCTAGCGTGAATCGATCAAACGTCCTTTTAATTTCTAAGGCTTACTTTCCGGCAAATAAAATTAACTGAATGTAAAAAGGGAAAGAGAAATAGCGAAAAATTCAACTTCTAATTAAATCTTTTCTTATGGTTTAGAGTAAACTATTCTCGAAACTGAGAATGTTTTGATCAAAGCTGTGTAAATCGAGCTGAAACTGTGCATGGAACCTTGCGTTTCCTGTATTTATCTCACCTATTGTATGGAATATGTGTGAAAATCTTCATTGTGGATCGGTATATTTCAAAGAGCTACACAACCAGCAAGAATACTATTGACCGACAATATACAGAACGGGGGCAGCTGTAGTGTCAACCATTACTAGTTATATACAAGTAAAGCTATTCAATTGTTCCATTGTACTGTCGGTGTTAATATTAGGTGTCTGTCAGAAGCTAAGCGAATGATCAAAAGAAGATGAAGCATTACTCCAGTCAAAGACAGAAAATGAAAGTTCAACCGGACAAAATAAACATGCAAATCCGCAAATTAAAACAAATGGGGTCGGAATATCTACCATGCTTTAAAAACAGAATACATATCAAAGCTATCAGTCGTCCAAGCAGAGTTTTCGAATCGAAGGGCAATATTTTTTAGTTTAAGTTGGTCTAGTTTTTAGTCATGTTTTTTTAGATGATTAAATGGTAGGATTGTCCCATGGACTACAGTTCATGGCCGAGTTTTGTCTCTCTAACTTAAATAACTGATTTGGGCTTTACTTTCATTTCCGTACGTTTCAGCGAATAATACCATCCTCTGAAAGCTAACCACGTAACGCCATTTGAGTCCGAGGAAAAATTTCCCTTTAGGTATAAACCGTTCAGGTTGGAATAGTGACACCACTTGTACCACCAAGCACCGTCATGCGTATTAGCACAGCTGCCATTTGGATTGAGATCGTTGTCGCTGTCAATGGTGGAAAACTGCATTTGGCTGAAAAAGATAATAGTTAGGACTTAGATTTTAGCGATGCCGTGTGAATTTGTTTATTTATTTATTTTTTTTCACCATGATTACAATGCTAAAATAAGACTAGGAAAAAAATACATTTGAACAAGTCACAAAAACGAGAGATGAAGGTGCGGGAAACACAACTGAAAGAAGTTCCAAATTAATTGTGCCCTTAAGAAAAATACACAAATACTAACTATGTAAACATATAAACATTATAAGAAGTATAAAAATCCTATTTCCAAAAACGATAAGAAGGAATCACTTCCGCAGCCGATGGAAAGTCTCAGTAGCAGCAGTTGACTCTAGCCTTGGGGATATTAGCGTCAATAATATCCAAAAGGGCGGATTTCCAATTAGACCAGCGGGCATCAACACCCGAGTTACATGGCGCGCTATTACTGATAGCTGAGTTCTGCATAATCTGCAGTTTGTGGCCAGTTCTCAAAGTCAGCTGATTTGAAATTGTAAAAAAAGCGCGCAGGTTTCCTCACCCGACGAAGCCTGGCTACAAAGTCAAATTCAAGTTGATCGTGGTCGGTTTCAAGGCCAGCCTGTATAGGAGTCAAGGTCGCGATGTTCATTATGCGGTCAGGTGCACTTTATTCAGTAATTATTTAGTCCAGAATATTCTCCTAGCGGGTCGGAAAAGGGGTTCACTTGCAGTAGAGAATGGTCTTGTAGAGTTTCAAAAAAAGCAAAATCAGCAGAGTTCGTGGAGCCGCAGCCTTCAATCCATTTGATTGCAGGATAGTTGAAGTCCCCAAGGATTAAGCAATGGCTCTTGACGAGACGCGCAGAGTTGTTGAGGTGAGATGTAAACTCCGTCACGGAGTGAAAATCAGAGCTTGGTGTAGAGTCAGATGATCTGCATTGATTACTATTTTAGAAGAACACGCGAGGTTTAATAAAACCAAAAAACTCGAAGTATTCCCTTTCTTAAAGAGCTATTAAGAGCTTTAGACCCCTCCACAAACTCTACATGTACAGGTCTTATTTTTTGCATCCCTATGTCATTTTGCTTTTTTGCCGAAGCAGCATACACAGTCATTTTATACTGAGGCATGTGCAACTTGAGGAGTTTGCTCTTCTTATGAATTATTTACTATACTAGTAAGACGTAAGTCAAGTTTGCATGTAAGTCCTAATCAAATGATTATTTTTTTAAAAAAATAAAACGTTTTCATGCCTGCACCAAGGCTTAAAAACACACTTAACTTCAAATTGCCTTACTTGTGATAAGCCATCGAGTCCCCGGCGGTTCCATTATATCCTCCAATCAAAAGACGGTATTTATCTGTCTCGTTTGCCACCTTAAAAATTGTGTACTCGGCGTAAGTGATGGTTCCATCAAAATCCTCCAGGTCGACCTTTAGAATAACATCATCAGCGGCTGTCAAACGGTGAAGATTGTCATTTCCAAGCCAATACTCGCCATTCAGATCCCCAAAACCGTTCTTGTACGAAGTCCAGTTGACGTAGAAATCAACAGAACCGTTGAAACGTTTCTGGAAAACGGTCCAGCCTCCGCCGTCAGTGGCCATGTCACAAAACACTGGGATGGGTGTGCCGCCGTCTGGATTAATGGTATACACACCACTGGATGTGACACCATCGTTAAGGAGCTGGGCGCAGTATTTAATAGGCTCTGTTAGTTATTTAAAAACTGGGTATCAGAAGATTTAAAAAACGATCATCTTATCACTATACCGTTTCACATGCTACACCCACATTGAGGTAGCCTGATTAAGAATGCAATCTTCTCATTTGTATTCCCTCCAACTTTTCAGGGACAATCTACAACACTGTGTGTGGGAATTTACTTGAGCCGGACTGCTGTGCTTCTGTCTACTTGGGGCAGTTTGCAACTTAGTATTGAATGAAATGGGCACTTCACCTAGGGGTTAGCTAGTCACTACCAGAGGTTTGTTACGTCCTCAGCGTCCCTAGTCCCACAGAGTCGGAGTGGGTGACAAAAGTGAATTTACGCCACAGGAAGTGAGTGGCATGGAAAGAAGACGGCAAACATCGAGTGAACGAACTTAAGCGCGACAACAATATGTTGAACACATTGTTTGGTCAACGTCACCTCCCTTTAACAGATTTTTTGGAAATAAAGACCTGATAACATTAATGTTATTATGTGAAGTATATGAAATAATTCTTTTTTGAACTGCGGTTGTAGATGAAAGTGAGGAATGATCATCGCAGTAAATTTTCCAAACAACGGCAACGCGGACGTCACGGGTTCGAATCCCGTTGAAGCCCTGATTTTTTTAATTGCTTAAATTGGAAAATTTACTGCGATGATCATTCTTCACTTTCATTAATGTTATTATAAATGAAAATCACGTCAAGACAGTCATGTAACAGCCCTGTCACGTTTTTCACACACAAACGTCTTACCGTCTACCGTCCTGTTGCGTACAACACCCTTAAAACTGAAGGTGAGAAGGGATCTACGTTTTTCGTCATTACGCTGTTACTAGTCAGGGACAGTTTATGACATAGCCATATATTTATGTAACTTACTGCAAGGTGTTCCTGTATATCCAACCTTACAAACACATCGTACACTGTTATCTTGGTAGTATGGAATACACACTTCATTGTCCCCACAGATGGAGCTATCCACTTCACAGGTGCTCTGTAAGAAAAACAACCGCAACAACTATAAATAAATAACTGAAATAAATAAATAAATAACGAGTTGGAGGCAGCACAGCCATTCCTGGTCGAATTGGAATTTAGAAATGTTGATTTTTGAGGAGTGAGGAGAACCGGAGTGCACGAGGAAAAAAAATTTCTCGGAGCAAAGCAAAGAACCAATAACAAATTCACCTCACATATGGCGTCCACGCTGGGATTTGAATCCGAGCCACATTGTTTGCTACCCGCATTCTTGCAAAGAGTTCAACGATTATTCTTGCACAGGATTTGCCAATCGTTTCAAATAGCTCAAACGTATGATAAAAAAAGACATATCTTATCTATATCTTTCTCGCAACGTACAGAAGGTCAGATTATTAATTTAAAAAGATTTCCTTAGTTTGGCTTTCCAAATCTATAATAATAATAGTGCGTTAATAATTAAAAAATAGCTTTTTGCCGACTGGTTTAAGAGACTTAAAAGACAAGTTGAAATCGTGCAGCCACAATCATTGTAGATATAAGAGTGGATGCTAGGACAAAAATACGGAATTTTCTCGGGTTTTTGGTCTCTGGTGTCGTAACTGAATCTGGTTCCGTTTTCGACACTATTTATTGTACAGTTGTGTGTGATTAAGCTGGCTCCGTCATTAATGCAAGAGCAATTTGAGCTTTAACTTAACTTTTTCGTTTTTAACCAATTGGCTGCAAAACTTTGCAAAGAACAACACATATCATTCGGCAATAATATCATGAAATATTCAGATTTCATTGATCGATGGTAAATTATTCTTTCGAAATTAGCCCTTGAAAGGACCCTACTTTTTGAAGAAAATCGCGTCTAGTAAAAACATTTGGTAGCTATTTTTTACCGTAATTTCGGGTATCGGCTTTTATTGATATAATAAATATGCCAGAGACATTTCAGAGGAATAGTTGGAGCAGAAGAAGTGCGTAGCAAAACTGAGGCGTTCAAAATTCAGCTGTAAATGGGAATTTCAAAAGACTTGCTATGTGGTAGAACGAGCCAGCAGTTCGAATTTTCGGGACAAGTAATTTTAAGTGTTTGCTTTTTCTTATAACAAAAGCCGATTGCAAAATGTGCAATTCTTTAAAAGGTACTTTTTAATTTTAGAAGCACTATCATGAATTGCTTCAAGTCAAAAAAAAAAAAAAAAAAGCACTTTATTTGAGTGTCAATGTATTTAGCAGGAAAGTGCTAATTGAGGACACTATTTTTACGTCTCCTACTGGGGACGCGACCGCCATTATAAGTGGTCATCCGAGCCACGCGAAGGTCTACCCGTTTGCAGGGCAAAGGGAGTACCTTCATTTCTCAGTTAGTTTAAGACCCTGAGTATTGGTCCGGCCCCGGGAATCGAACCCGCGACCTCCCGCTCTGCAGTCAAGCGCTCTACCGAATGAGCTAATCCTGCTGCGGTCTAATGTTGGTAATGTTCCTCGACATAATATTCCCTGGTCGGTACTGGCTCAAACTCCTGCTTATATACACTTTGATGTATTGCAATGCGTCTTCAACGGCTTTAACTGCGGTGGTACGTTGCTTCCAATTGAAGAACAAGGTTTGGGTTTGTATGCTACCTTGTATCAGAGCTCAGATAGAACTGTCGAGTACTATAAATTGTTAATGACTACGAAATGAGCACGGGTGGTATTTCTGCGAGGAATTTGCACCTGTCCCACTACACTTAGGCAGGGGGGGGGGGACACAATCGGATCAGTGTCCATGTCTGCGAACGTACCGATCTGTATATTGCAGAGCAAAATATAATAATCAAGAAAAATAATACCCCGCCGATTAAAGAGGGGGACAAGAAAATGTATACACGGGTAGTATTTTTTTGGCGATTTTTTTTTTTTTCATTCTGATATAATTCGGTATTCGGTCGATAAAAGGTACGGGGTTGGACCTCGGAGCACAGCCTCTCCGTACAAAACGTTTTTAGTACCTCCTACCTAACCGGATTTACATACAGGCATCGAAAACTTGAGTGTAAATACACATAATGCACTATTATAATACCGCACCACCAATGAATCATATCGGTAGATTATAAGAAAAATAGAGTACCTGTTAATGACATAAGCTTTTGATGAGTAGATGCCATGTTTCGTGGCTAATGTGATACTTGCGCAAAACAGCGACAATATACCTTAAAGAAAGGCGTCACGAAAGAGCTGCTGGTTTCACGCACGATTTGAAAGATCCCTAAGATCGCACCACCAAAAATAGTTCGAAAAAGAATGTCTAACGACTGTTTAGAGGGCACAAATATTCTTAGAAAGTTACGAAAACAGCTATTATTCAGTAGTAGTATTATTCAATTTCATTATTATTATTATTATTATTATTATTATTATTATTATTATTATTATTATTATTATTATTATCATTTTGCTAAGACACATTAACTGGGTAAGCGTTGTTTACAATAGGGGCAACGATGTAATTATATCTTTTCTATTTCTGCTCACTTACTTGAAAAGCTGGGGTACAATTACAATTGCAAGTTTCTCTTCAGTTTCTATTTTATGGACGAAGAATTGAACTTGACGGAATGGTAAATTCTTACTTCAGTCACGATACCAGTTTTTCTTGCACTCTATAGCTAACACATACCAAAAAAGTGATGTTTTCGAGTTACATGTTAATTAAAGAAATTAAGGACTTCAAAGAACAAAAAGGGAGGACTTACCTGTATGCCCACGTATTTAAAATCCTCATCCGTTGTGAAGTTAACAACGCTAACAAATCGATCAGAGTTACTGATTTGACATGTGTACCCCTCAGTTGTGTTCTTTACCATTTGGAAGTTGTAAGAAATGCAACTCTCTTCCTTAACACATTCAACTCTGCAACGACTTTCTGCGTCCACTTGTATTTCTTGGATGGTGTTTCCAGTCAGCCTTCGCCCGTTTATTGGGGAAGCAAAGTTCAAGGCCTCGAAACTTGGTTCCAAAATACGACCAATACCGTAGACGGTAGTGCCAGTCAAAAAAAGTAGCCAGAGATGCATATTTTGTGAGAAACAGGATTGCTTTGTGCAAAGTGCTTCAAGGGGTTCGTTTAAGAGAGCATAGAATATTAGCTGTCACTCAGTAAAATTTAAGACAGGTGTATCAGTTTATATGGTAATGAAGCCATTAACGCAGTTGTTTGTCGTTATTACGCAAGATTATGATGCGATGCGAGGCGGTGAGTAAGTGAGGTGAGACAAGCGTTGCTATAGTGTAGCAGGTCTTCAACTAAACAACCAAATTTTTTAAAAGGAATCATTTCCACGAAATATCAATTACTTGAAAAAGTATTTCGGAATCAGTATAAGATTCTAACTGTCCAACTACCCTAACCAACTAGACACAACTTTAACAGCTCACTTAATTTTACTTTGAGCGAAATGTTTCGGCAAACTTTCAATTCCATTCAATTTTATTATTCACACTTTTATAAAATATTTACATTATCTATAGTAAGATACGAATACACTAATAACGGAGAACAAGAAGGAAAAAAAAAAGAAAATTAATGGCTTGGGTAGAAGTGTACGGTGGTCAGAGGAGCTTAGCTTTCGAGCTAACCACCGCTATATTATGATTGGAAATACATAATAAATGTGCGCTTGGTGCCATTTGCCACTTTACATGATCTCATTCCAACTGATAAATTTAACTCAATCAGGAATGCTCTAAAAAGTGAATTTGAGTGTTAGTTTCGCAATAATTCATTCGACTGATTCCATGAAACCGGACCGTCGAAGACTTCACGGCCAGTCCACAGTTGAAAACACAATCGTTCCTTTTGTTTTACGTAATACACAATTCAGTAAAAACTGTTTCGCCACAGAATAGGAAGTGACTAACGATGAATTATGTATATTTAGTGACCCGTTCACGGGTTAAGCTGAATGAGCTTACTGAATTAGCCTGCTATTAATGTTTCGCGTCTTCATCCAGCTCAGGTGGTATTCAAGAGTACTGTAGCCAGTGTAGCGCGAACGCAGAGGCCTTTAAAACCCCCCGAAATTGTTTTCGTTCGCAGGTCTTAATTTGCAGCTTATTTGAATTATGATTACAACTTAAATGCTCATATCTTCGTATATAATATGTTTAATATATAGATTTAGCCAGGGCTAAAAGCGCAGCTCCAGTTAAGACTGTAAATTTATAATTTAATTCAAACAATAAACTTGTAATCCACAAATCGGTTAACTGTGGAGATCCATATGACGTCTTTAACGTTATAAAGAGTCGGAATGGGTGACTTATAAGAGAAAGAATAATTTGCAAACAGTGCAAGAATGAAACAACATCTAATATATTACATCGAGTTAATAGTCTTATTTGTACTAATAAATAGAAATCACCTTTAGCCACCGTAGATTAGGAGTGGAAAACAAATTCTTCCCGAGTAAAATGTCCTTTTTGCCCACCTACACCACCATTATTTTACAAGTGTAATTGGACAGTCCCGAAATATAATTTTATTTTAATTTTATAATTTTAAAGGCCGTAGAGACACGATAGTGGCAGGCAATTTACACGTTATAACTTATCGGTGTTATATCTCTGTCTAAAGGGGTAATTATACCTGGGCTTTGAGCAAAAACTCCCGAAAAAAATCATATTTATTTTAATTCAATTTTCAAAATAACCCGTCCGAATTTTGAATTTTGTCAAGCGCCAACTGTCGAGTATTTGAGTGAACACTGAAAATGAGGAAGAGGTCTCAGAATCATTTTCGTTTTCATTTTACTTCTAAAACACCATATCCATTTGATACACCCCGGGGGCATTTTAAGTATTCCTGCATGCGATGTTAATGGACGACTGAAAACAACAACTGGCAAAGCGATGTATATACGAAAGAGATCTTGACAAACAATCAACACGAGAAATATAATTTAATGAAACATTTAAAAGGACAACAGTTTTCATTCACGATGACATATATTGAGAGTGAAGTGTCTCTGAAAATCCTGAATCACGAATTAAGTCCATTAGATTTAAGCCTAAAGTTTTAAGCCGCCTTCGCCGTGTTTGCTATTTTTCAAGACGAACTTCAGGCAAGAATATCGCTCAAAGCTTTCTTTTTACAACTAATAGGATAACTAAACTATTCTTCAGAACATTTTCTTTCTAGTTGCCGTCTGAAAATGTCTAAAGACTTTTTAAGTTTTGTTCCAGGTCAGATCATTGTCTCAAACCTTACAGATGTGCGTAAAATGTCGAAATGATAAATGAAATAAATGGAACTGATCACTACGGTCACAAAATCATTATGCTATGAAATAGTTGAAGACCAGTTCCTAAAGTAAACAAGTTTTTTAACGCAACGACAATAGCACGCCATTTCTTGCGCGATTTTCCGCAAGAAAATATAACATACTCCTTCCCCCAACGGGCTGACACCTGATTCCCTTCCCTTCCCCCCCCCCCCCCCCCCCCACAAAGAGTGTTAGGGCGGACGTACGCTGACGTCATTAAATAGTTTACGCACACACGTGGCCATGGAGCTCCGTTATTATGTGGTTTCTGCGGTTTTGTTGATGTTGTTCATGTCGTTGTTAGGTAGGGTTATTTGTGATATTTTCATTGTATTAAGTTGCCTCTTTAGTTTTATTTGTTGATGTTGTTAATGTTGTTGTTAGGTAGGGTAGTTTGTGATAAAACACCATATCCAGGCGTTTACCTATGAAACACTTGTCAATCACTACATATAGTGTTCTTAGTTTTATAAGTATTGGTGGTTTCCATACGATCCGTTATGTTCTTTGGTTGCTAGCTTTTTTTGGAAATGGATGATATTCCCAACAACATTAATGGCGATGGTTAATGAGACAGGTGTTTCAGCAAATGTCACGAGAATCAAGCCTAACACCCGTTTAACGAGTCAACTGATTCATGTCATTACACTTTAAAAAAATACCCCATTTCTGCTTGGTACAACCCTTAAAAGAAAGAAAAGAAATGGTAGAATTAACGATGTATAACCTCACTGTACTATGTGTAAATCGTAGGAAAATACTAGTGTAACACACTTTTTGGCGACGCCCCAAATTTATCTTCTTTAATCATAAACTAAAAGAATGAGAAAGTTTGGCCTTTTTTCAGTGTGAGTAACAGTTGCGCGTGGGTGGACGAAACTATTTCGCAAGGCCAGTTTGGCCCTCCTCGGGACGCAAAAAAGGTATCACTGAGTTACTGGAGCTGGCCTCTTACGAGAATGGACCTCTTAAGTGGCCAGGGCCCGTTTCTCGAAAGTCCCGGTAACTTTACGGGCCCGAAATCAAAAATTCAAATCGAAATATAAAGAATAAGAGCGCGGGTCCTGGCTAGCAAACTAATCCATTTAGTTTCATTAACTGACAGTTTTATCATGTTAGATGCAAAACTATTGAAACCTCGATCTTTAATGTAAACGGAGACAGCTTACCGGGCCCGTTAATTATCGGGACTTTCGAGAAACGGGCCCCAGTAGAGATGTAAGGGTTAAATGACTGCTTACTGGGGCTTCCCCAACTATAAATGAACATTGGAAATGCCAAAAAAATGTTTGTTACTGTTTGACTATACTGTTGTTCTGACAATGCGTGCTGTAATTCAGTCACAAGCATAAAATTCACTGAGTGGTGTTTTGTAGTGCAACCTGATGTGTAGAGAAAAAGAAACAAAGTCTGAAACTGATATAAATTCATTGGATGGTTATTGTTTGTTGAAACAAAAGAAGTGCACTATAATGACTTGTGGGAATTGTGCTTGTTTTTAAGTTTGAAAGAATAACAACAAAGCCCTATAAACCGAGCTATGAATAATATACATTTGGCTTGGCGATTACGTGAACCGGTAGGATTTAAAACTTTTAAAATCTTCTCTCATCGATTTGCTGTACAGTTTACGATCAGAGAGACTAAAATCGATTTGTTTGTGTATACGTCCAAAATGTTCAAAAAAACAAAAAACCAAGTCCCTATTCGTTTTGTAATCTGAAAAACACATGGAGATTTTACACTTTTCTGTCACGCTTCCCAGATTGTATAAGGGAGCGCCGAAGAAAGCCAAAGTGAGGAAGAAGATTGCGCCGGTAGACGTATCCGTTTTTTGTGAGAGAACGATTGAAACTGAGAGCAATTTCGAATATTCCAGGAGTGACAGATGGTGGAATTTCCATCAATCGTTTCATTCTGAAAATGATACAGGAAAATGTCCGCTCAAAAACTGTCCCACTACCATCACAGCCTCATTAGAGGAAAGCGAAGACGTAACAACAGCTTGCCAAGTTGTGGAAGCAAACCCATTGTTGTCGCCTGGACTGTTTACACCGTTCGTTAATATCCTTACAGACTTTTCTTCCGATGGATGAATCATTTTGATAACAAAATCGTTTCATTCTGATCGATGGCCCTGATAAATACTGGAATTGGACTATCCACGCTGTTTGAAGACTTCGGACAGTCTGAACCCGCGACCGCCAAGATTCGTTGAAGAGTTGTCTTGCAAGTCAACGTTGAGATCTTTGATTTTTTTTTCTTTTATCATCTATCGTAGCATTCCTATATCAGGAAAGAGGCTTTATGTGCGTGAACATCCTAATTTGTTTAAGCGGCCTGCCAGCAAGAAACTTCTTCTGTATTCCTTAAAGTTTTATTGTCCCCCAATTCATCTCATTCAATTGGAAATTACTGAATAATTAAGTTTCAAACAAACAAAAGGCACTATCCAATCAGTTTGATCAGATTTGATGTCGTCAATCCTTCCTCATTGGCTGACAACTCCTCTATTGTTCTTTCTCTATATATTCGCGATACCACCCGGATGGTTTGGGCGGATCCGTAAATCAGTGCACAGTAAACCTCTCAATACTTCTCACCTTTCATCATGCACCTCATCGATATTCTCTTTTACAAATTCCCAACAGTAAACCCTCGAATTCCAATAAAGTCCGCTTCAACAAGCCTCGCGCGTCCTCGTTAACTCAGGGCTAGTGAATATAATTATACACAAGTACAGCTATTCAACTGTTCCATTGTACTGTCAGCTTTAATTTTAGGTCTCTGTGAGAACAAAAGCGACAGCTAAGAAAATGATCAAAAGAAGATGAAGCATTACTCCAGTCAAAGACAGAAAGGGAAAGTTTAACGGAAGAAAATAAACATGCAAATCCGCAACAAATAGGGTCGGAACATAACTACCATGCTCTAAAAAAAGAATACATATCAAAGCATTCAGTCGTCCAAGCAGAGTTTTCGAATAGAAGGGCCATATTTTTTAATTCAAATTGGTCTAGAATCATATTTTCCTTCTTCTTTTCTGAAATAACTAAAAAAAGCCCTGCTAGGTGGACATCAATCAAACGATATTAGTGGATTTCAACAAGCACTTTTACCCCTTAGTCACATACAGGACTTGACTTCTGAAGTTAGTCAGTTCATCCTAATCTTGGCTTAAATGTTCTCCTTAATCACATCCAGGAGTTAGTCAGTTCATCTTAAGGAGAGAAACCTTTTTTCCGATCGCGAGGCGCACTTCCTTTACTTTAACAACCGCACTGAGTCAAAAGTATACAGCGATTTTAAGACCGTAGTCAAGGGATCATTCTGCTTGTATAGAAGCACAGATTCTTACCTTGTTGAAAAAGAGACATAAAAAGGCTCTCTCTCAACGGCGATGAAGAGATAATCATTTCGATGCGATTACCTGTTTCGTATGAAAAGTTGCGTGCGAGCGTTTGGGAAATTCCGCGTTCGATTAATTCCCACTTGTTTCCTTTCTATATAGCTTTAAGTACACTTAAACACTGGTAAGACAGACCCCTGATGGAGAGGGAGAGGGAGGCAAGCGTTTGGGAAATTCCGCGTTCGCTTCCCACTTTTTTTCCTTTCTACATAGCTTAAAGTACACTTAAACACCGGTAAAACGGACCCCTGATGGAGAGGGAGAGGGAGGCGAGCGTTTGGGAAATTCCGCGTTCGATTCCCACTTGTTTCCTTTCCATATAGCTTAAAAACACTGGTAAAACGGACGCCTGATGGAGAGGGAGGGGTAAAAAGAACGCACGGTCGGCTTCAGGATTGTTGAGGGGTCAGATAAGCCTGCCTCAAACCAACGACGTAAAATAAGAACTGAACTTTTTATCTTCCCTTTTTTTTGCGCAGAATCCTTACGAACGAATAAGTTGGAAATATTATCAGGCACAAGACATACTTGACTTTATACATCAGTACTACAATGTCTTGAAGACGTCTATTGTACAACGAGGGAAGGGTAGCCCTCTCTAAGACTGGGAGACTCCCTTTCTGACCTAACACTTTTGACCTTTGATTGGACAAATTGTTTAGTTAAAAATCAAATGTTAAGTTAATTCAAAATGATAGGCTTCACTTTCATCTCCGTACGCTTCAAAGAGTATCGATACCCTCTGAAGTACAACCATGCCACTCCACCAGGTACTTCGGGATGTCGTCCTTTGAGATATAAGCCATTCAGATTCGAAGTATGGCAGTTTTGGTACCACCAGCCGCCTTTGTGCATCCCAGCACAATCAGTACCACCACTACGATCATTGTCTTCATCTCTAGTGGAAAACTTCATATTGCTAAGAAGGGAAAAAGAAAGTGAAATTGTCACTAATTTAGGGACGAACGCATGTTAAAGTGGATATAGGCGAGCGATTGCTAACGTCACTGCTAACATTTTTGCTCATTAGCATACACGTCGTCACCGTATGCACAAATTAAATTCAAAAGTTGAATGATAGAGTTTGGTTACTTTGAGCAATTGGTGCAATTTTCAGCTCTTTGGAAGCAATAAAAAACGAGGTTTTTGCACTAGATGAAAAGATGTAGTTGCTTATAATTTTCATGCAGAATAAATGAAATGTTAATCGTAAACAAGTCTAAGTGGCTTACTTAAAGTGTCATTCCAGGTTGAGCTTTTTTCAAAAATGTTGGTGCAAAGAAAGGTAAATTCAGGAGGAAGTATAGTGATACATCACTGTACCATACAGGGGCACCCAACGAGGATATAGCTCAAAACCACTTAACATAGCATTGTTGAACGTATTTTAGTATTCAAACGGTAGATATAGGCATATTTTTATCCCCTAAAAACTTTTCATCTGTTCGGATTTCCTAGCTGAAAGTCTAGTGATCCGAAAATTATAGGGATCAAAACTTACCTTTTCGAAAATTTCAGCCAGGAAAAGGCTCCCGAAAATTCTAGGTGGCCTTTTTTAGGGTCAAAATCCGTTAAAAATGGGTAATTATACCATTTTGTAGATGTTCGAAAATCCTAGGAGAGGCAGGCAAGCAAGAAATTTTACAACAAATGCTCCGAAAATTCTAGATCTCAAATCGTCTTCCGAACAGATATTTTCCCGAAAATTGCCGTTGGATGCCCCTGACCATAGTAGTGATACATCACTATACCATCGGGCCGTCACTGAGTGGTTGGGAGGTGTGAATCATTTGTACCCCTCTTTGTAAGCTAGCTATATGGTAAATTGAAGATTAAATAGCCTTTGCGCTGCATCTTTGGGCGAAATTTTCATAAGCCGCTGATGCTCATATACAGAATATAGCATTACCATGAACATCCTGTTGTCTCCAAACTCCTCGGTACAACTTCTTGCCACCTCCAATCCCAACCCCACCCCCACCCCCCTACCTATACCTTCCTTTAAATTAAATGCTTATAAATCTGTTACAATTTATTAAGATTTTAGCCTTACTTGTGGTAGTTCAACGAGTCCCCAGCAGTTCCGTTATATGCTCCAATCAGAATACGGTATTTATCCGTCTCGTTTGCTATTTTAAAAATTGTGTACTCGGCGTAAGTAATGTTTCCATCAAAATCCTCCAGGTCGACTCTCAGGATAACATCTTCACCAGCTGTCAAACGGTGAAGATTGTCGTTTCCAAGCCAATACTCGCCATTGAGATCCCCAAAACCGTTCTTGTAGGAAGTCCAGTTAAGGTAGAAATCAACAGAACCGTTCAAACGTTTCTGGAAAACGGTCCAGCCTCCGCCTTCAATGGCCATGTCACAAAACACTGGGATGGGTGTGCCGCCGTCTGGATTAATGGTATACACACCACTGGATGTGACACCATCGTTAAGGAGCTGGGCGCAGTATTTAGGCTCTGGTCATTTAAAACATGGGTGTCAGCAAACTTCAAAAACGATCATCCTATCACATTATATAATTTCACATGCTGTACCCACATTAAGGTAGCCTGATTAAGAATGTAATTGTCTCATTGTGTTTCCTCCAACTTTTCAGGGACAAACTACAACACTGTGTGTGGGAATTTGCCTGAGCTGGACTGCTGTGCTTCTGTCTACTTGGGGTAGTTTGTAACTTAGTTCTGAATTAAATGAGCTTTTCTCCTAGGGGGTATTCACTACCAGAGATCTGTTACGGCCTTAGCGTCCCTAGTCCCACAGAGTCGGAGTGGGTGACAATAGTGAATTTACGCCACAAGAAGTGAGTGGCATGGAAAGAAGACGGCAAACCTTGTGTGAAAGAACTTAAGCGCGACAATAATTTGTTTAACAAATCGTTTGGTCAACGTCACCTCCTTTAACAGATTTTTTGGAAATAAAGACCTGATAACATTAATGTTATTATGAGTGAAAATCACATCAAGACACTTAGGTAACAGCCCTGTTACGTTTTTCACACACACGAGAGATGCATGGCTTGGAAAGGACGTTTGCTGTACTTGAATAATGAGAATTACTGTAGAAGACAAAGTCAGTAAGTTTTACTATTGCGAAATACTCGTTACCCTTTAGAAAGTAGTTTTATTTGATGAGAAGTGTGAAGAATTTGAATCGCTTCATGAAAAAGTGCCAAGTCAAACAATTTACAGTTATCTAATCATCATCAAGACAGTCATGTAACAGCCCTGTTACGTTTTTCACACACAAACGTCTTACCGTCTACCGTCCTGTTGAGTACAACACCCTTAAAACTGAAGGTGAGAAGGGATCTACGTTTTTTGTCATTATGCAGTTACTAGTCACAGACAGTTTATGACATAGCCATATTTTTTATGTAACTTACTGCAAGGTGTTCCTGTATATCCAACCTTACAAACACATCGCACATTGTTATCTTGGTAATTTGGAATACACACTTCATTGTCATCGCAGATGGAGCTATCCACTTCACAGGTGCTCTGTAAGAAAAACAACAAAAAAAACTATAAATAAATAACTGAAATAAATAAATAAATAACGAGTTGGAGGCAGCACAGCTATTCCTGGTCGAATTGAAATTTGGAAATGTTGGTTTTTGAGGAGTGAGGAGAACCGGAGTGCACGGAGAAAAAAACACCTCTCGGAGCAAAGTAGAGAACCGGCAACAAACTCATCTCACATATGGCATCACGCTGGGATTTGAACCCGAGCCACATTGGGGGGAGGAGAGTTTTTTAGTTTTAGAAGCACTATGAATTTCTGCAAGTCTTTCTTCGAAATTGAATGACTTCAGGGTTCCTCGACATAATATCCCTTGGCAGTTTTGGCTCAAGCTCCTGCTGTTATATACATTTTGATGTGTTGCAATGCATCTTCAACGGCTTTAACTGCGGTACGTTGCTTCAAATTCAAGAAAAAGGTAATGGAATTGCAAGCTACCTTGTATCAGAGCTCAGACAGAACTGTCGAGCGCTTTGGTTAATGACTACGAAATGAGCACGGGCTGCATTTCGAGGAATTCGCACCTCTGGTAGGGAAGACGAACGACAATGATCAGTGTCCATGTCTGCGAACGTACCGATCTGTATATTGCAGAGCAAAATATAATAATCAAGAAAAATAATTCCCAGCCATATTTAAAGAGGAGGTCACGAAAATTTCCAGAGCCGTAAATTTATATACGTCGTGTAGTATTTTTTTTTTTTTTGCGATAATTTTATTTTTCATTGTGATTTAATTCGGTTTTCGGTAGTATATAAAAGGTACGGTGTTGGACGTCAGGGCAGAGCCTCTCGATACAAAACGTTTTTTAACACCTCCCCACCCCCCCTCCCCTCCTCTCCCAAAAAAACAGGCATCCAAAACTTGAGTTAGTACAAATATTGCACTACCGCACCTGCACCAATGAAACATACCGGTAGATTATAAGGAAAATAGAGTACCTGTTAATAACATTGGCTTTTGATGAGCAGATGCCATGTTTTGCAACCAATGCGATACTTGCGCAAGAAAGGGGCAATATACCTTAATTTACCAAAGGCACCACGAAACAGCTGCTGGTTTGACGCGCGATTTGAAGGATCTCTAAGATAGCATACCATAAATAACCATACATTGATTGCAGCAAAAATAGTTCGAAAAAGAATCTGTAATGAGTGTTGTTTGACAAAACCCACAGAATACAGGGATAAGGTTTTTGTGATATGCGGAAGAGTAAGTGTCATCAGCCTTGGTCGATGGTTAATACTACTGCGTGCCACTGTTTTCCAGTAAATCATTAATCACTCGCTGCATTCTCACCTTGCCACATAGAACTTGGTATGGTGAAGCAGTACCTGCTGCAGTCTCTTAAACGAAATAAGTCTTTGCTTCTGTTCTTGAAAATGACAAGTGTTTAATACCCCGATATATAAAATAATTGGCAAGCATTTAAAAACATCCTGATAATGAAAAAGAATTTCCCAAAAAAGGGTAAAATTCATACATTCTCTTCATACAATTATTACTGAATTAAAATGTTTAGTAGAAGAAGCTTTTTTCTTTTATAGATATACAAACGAATTGGCGTGCGAGTTCCGTGATTTAGGTTAGGATGTGCTTTGAGTTGGGAATTTTTATCAACTCAAGGTTTTTTGTTCCATTTTTCTGTCATGATTTAAAACTCTAATTTCCACGGCAATTTAGGGACGCAAAAAAGTAGGAAGTCAAAGGAACAGATGTTAAAGGACTCTCTCCTACTCTGAGAGAAATTTAGTTTGCTGCAGGGGTTTGCTGGTTTGCTGGTTTGCTGAATACACTGAGCTTGTCAGTTTTCCTTATACGCACTGTAGTTTGCGTTTCTTCATTTGATAGCTCCGTCTGCAGTTGCTCAGTGAAAGATTACTAACTACACGGTCTCAACGAAAGTGAGCGAGACAGGCAAAAAAAGCAATAAAAAAGAAGGAAATAGAAATGAAAATGAAAGGGAAGGAGTATAAAGCACTTCTTTAAGGTCTTACGTCTTTTCTTCTTGGGGAAGAAACCATGCATTGTACTGGCAAATTCTTAGGCCCGTTTTTAACGTCGTGCCACTGCTGTGCCGAACTAAATTGATCGAATTAAATTGGACTTTAGCACGGCAGTAGCGCGGCGTTTGAAACCAAGTGGTGCTGCTGCCGTGCCGAACTAAATTCATAAATTATAAATACTGTACATTGGAGCACATTTAAAAGTTTGCCAAACCGTTTCTTTATTTTTGTGTTTTGTTTTCGGCAACAGCCGTTCTATTCGACTGAATTAAATTCGACGTCTGAAACCAAGTCGTTCGAGTGTCGTGCTGCAGTCGAGCTACAGTCTAGCCAGCTTAGCACGGTATTAGCACGACGTTTGCAACAGGCCTTAATTAAGTTATATATGAATACTCACTTTTCCACGAACTAAAAAGGATAAAAAATTATTCCCGCTACTCACCTGCATCCCACGTATTTAAATTTCTCGTGGTTTGTAAAGTTAGTAACACTAACGAAGCGATCAGAAGTGCTTATCTGACACTTGAAGTCATCAGTTTCGTTTGGCGAAGATTTCAAGTTGTAAGAAATGCATTTCTCTTCCTCAACACACTCAAAACTGCATGACTCTTCTGAATTGACCATGCAGTATTTCTCTGATCACGCTACCAGTCAGCTTTCGTCCGTGTATTGGGTGGGCGAAGTAACAGCCTTTATTTGGGGCTCCGAAATACGACTCATGCCGTACACAGTGGCACCGACAGTGGCACCAGCGAAAAACAGCAGCCAGCAATGCATGTTCTCTGCCGTGCGGGAATGAAATGAGGTTCATGGAACCCAAAGGTTAATGAAGACAAAGAAGACCTTTATCGGGTGACGTCATTAAAAGCCTCTGCAATGCATATTCTAACATTATACAGGTGAAGCGAAACAGGTGGCAATACAAATATACGCATAGCGCGTTTAATGACGAGATGCTACAGAAAATTCTTCACTAGACTGAGTTGCCGGTTTTAACAACTTTGAAAATCATTTTTCGTTTTCATATATTTCCTTATTATTTGATGATATACGCATGGTCTTCAATCCCATATTAGGCGAATCTTTGCTGACGTCATAGTTTTACATTTTTCAGCATTAGCATACGACTTAACTCATAGAAGGGCGTTTATACCAACCAAACTCAAAAGTTGAAAGAGCACATTACCTTGAGCAATTTGTGCAATTTTTAGCTCTTTCTAAGCAATACTGAAGGAAATATTTGCTATCAAAAACTGCGAAATTGCTGGGTGGCAAAAAAGTTAATGAGCCATATATTTTTTTAAATTTAAAAGAGAATTTCTCCGAAACCATTTGGTACATTGAGTTCAATTTTTCAGAGATAACTGAAATTGTTATGGTCTTTCAATACAGTATTTAGCCGGTTTGTTTTATTAGCTCCATAAGATAGCGATAAGCATATGTTAATGAAGCAAAAAATGTAAACAATGATTCGCCTATAGTAAACATTATGGGTACACGGTTGACGGTTATTTTGGTGGTAAAGCCTGTCCGGGATCCTGATCGCGCTGACAGTCGTGATGGACGAAAAAGACTGGGGTCGTCCGTAAGTTCTCTTTCGACTCCAGACCCCTAGGAGATCATTCGAAGGACAACATGGCGGATGTCGAAGTTCGTGTGAGACATACTTGCCGGGAATGTGGCAAAAGTTATAACAAGAAATCGAGGCTTGAGGAGCATATAAGGTCCCACACTGGCGAGGTAAGTAAATGATGCAATTTAGGCTTTGTATAATTCAAGTGGTCAGAAAGCACGATTCACGGGTTGCGTGGGAGGTGCGTTCAGGTACGTTCTGGTTCGTCATTGTAGATGCATGCTTCTTTGTAAGGGGGTTGAAATATTTCTCTGTTAGTTTAAACTTCTAAAATGTCACTATATTTTCTATGGAATAAACTCGGAGCAACTTCAAAGTACCCGGTCAAACGGGTGTTTTATACCATGAAAACTATTTTTCTGGCGGGTTTTAGTTACTCTTATTGCTACCACGGTCCGCAAAAATAAAATGTATTACGCTGAAAATTTCACCCTTTTTGGTGGAGATTTATAGGTAATGAAATAACCTAATAAAATAAACTTGTTGCACTTCGTGTTGGTTTTTGCAACTTCAGGATACACTGTCAGTATTGAAGTAATTTTTGAATTGATTTCCAGTTGTTTTCTTCAAAATAATAAATAATGATTGAAGCATTCGCTATACATTGATCCTACGTTCTAATCTTAGCCATGTGACAACTCTTGGCTGCATGGCTAACAAGCCACTTCCCAGGACATTTAGTTTGTCTTGGTAGGGTCTAGAAAATGTCTACAAGATCTTTGGTAGACCTAAGACGGACAAATTTAGACCTGGCTGTTTCATACAGGATGATGAACAAAATCTTGCATATGTTTGTCTTGTTCACAGCCAAACTATACTTTAGGTGATCGAAGTTGTTGTGCAGTTTCAGAGATTCCAACCCTCCCGTTTTGGCTGGCTGGAAACCTCCCATTTCGGGCGTCCTGTTTTTGCTTAATACTCTCCCAGTTTTTGAAACTCCACCTTTCTTTGTTTAACCAGTCTTTTTAGTGTGATTTGGTTTCTCAGCCATTTCTACCTTTTTGGCATCTGAGCGTGAGCCTGTGATAATTTTGGGCATGGTTATGCACTGGATTGCCTCAACTTTGTATAAGGTTTATGTTCATTAATTTTGTGGTCTGCGGGAATAACATCTTAGAGGCACACACAGCTGTATCTTAGAAGTGCTTTTAGCACTTGTAGGTGCAGCTATGCCACTCTAAAAACCTCCCTTTTTTAGTTGAGTTGTGTTGAAACAACTTTGTATTGACACAGCCAGTTTCCTTCATGTGGCTACACTATCTTTCATGCCATTTAACTTAGGAGCCGCTGTGTTTTGTACAGCTGTACAAACATGTTACAGAGACTACAGCATCAATTTTCTTGTTTATTTATTTATAAACTTCACCAAGAGGCCTGGATCACTCACAGAGCAACCTCCACTACACGTTCCAGAGGAAAAAAAAAAAAGAAAATTAGCAATACAACTAACAAGAATGACAATACTAAGAAACAACAAAAAGAGGAATGCCAATGCAAAAACAGAATTTGGGAGGACATCGATAAAAAATCAACAACACATACAATCGAGCAAGCTGTTCAATGGCTGACTAGTGTGGCACTTAATACACACACTTCTAAAAATATCAATTTACATCACAGAAAAGGTTATGAGAGTTACTGAAAAGATCATCTAAGGAAAATGCTTTCAAACTGATCTTTGAGTAAATGCTCTTAACAAATTTTCCAAGGAAATTTAGAGATAATATCAGCTCACAGAATTTTGTTTTGAGACATAAAGCAAAAGGGTTCAGCTACTTAATCACAAGAAAGAAAGGAGTAAAAAATCTCTGGATTATATCCAGTAACTAAGATACTAACCCCTTACTGACTTTATTATTGTCCATTATTATCCAAGACCATGATAATAATAATGATAGTAATAATAATTATAACAGTTTTATTTATCACTAGATCTACCATACACATTTTATTATCTTCTTTTTATGTCTTTTTTTTCTATATTTGGTATGATTTATTAATATCATCATTATTAGTTTGTTGTAAAGTGATACAAACAACTAGTGGATGTGTGTGCTATATAGAAGTGTTTTATTAAATACATTTACTGTTACTATTATCATTATTCGATGAACTAGCCAAATTTTCAACAGTACACTGTTAAACTACATGTTTTAGCTTTCAAAACAAACTCTTGGACAACCAAGACTTTTCTGTTCTCAGTAGTGTTTTTGTTTTTCCTTTTTTGTTTGTGGCAATACCTGTACAACAGTGATACATGCAATACTGTAATGAGCTAAGTGTAGTGGACTACATAAATGAAGATTACTTACTTACTTAATTACTTTAGACAGTTACATGTCTAGAAAGCCTATTGTCCCATGACTTTAACTTTTTAATCTGTGGATAAAATCCTATGGGATTACCATACAATGATATTGAAAGCTCTTCGGTGGAATGTTTCCGAAGCCCTATGTATTGCTATGACTTTAACAAGAAGAAATTTTTTTATTTCTATTTTAATTGTTATTAATTTATTGTAAAAGGTTTCAGAATATTCTTGTACATGTAACAGTGGAATCGACAGGTTCATTATCACTTTTGTCCAATAACATACATGTAGTTATTCAAACTTTTTTTCTTTTCCTTGCAGAGGCCATACAAGTGTAAATTTGAAGGCTGTGATAAATGTTTCTTCAGGCCATACCATCTGAAACGTCATGCAGCTATCCACTCAGGAGAGCAGGGTTCATTTAAGTATGGTGCATTTTGTTAACTTTTCGTAAAAAGATTAAAAAGAAGTGATTTTTTTAAACCTTTGGCCATAAAAACTGCTGTAAAAGAAAGCAATTTTGAAAAACATTAAAAAAAACACACACAGTAATGTTTCGACTTTCTCAGGCATCATTAAAAAAATTAGAAAGTGGTGTATGTGTGTTCTAAAATCAATGTATAAATTATACAAGAAAAAAACACTACATGTTGGAGATCATTAAAAGAGAAGTAACATACTATTTTACAAGTGAAACAAAGAGTTTCACACCAGTGGAGTCATTCTGCATTTATCACATTTAAAAATAATGTCACTTAATAATGTTATTGACTGCTTTGTTTGTCTTGCTTGTTTAAAATGTATGATCACCAGATGCTCCCATCCTGGGTGTACAAAAACCTTTTCTGAGAAGCAAAACTGGAAAAGACATGAGCAGAGGTCTCACAATCATCCATTCAAGGTATAAGATGCTACTAAATGTTAATAGTTAAGGGATATTAAGATCCAACCACGGCAATGGCAGCAAGACCGTCAAAAAACTAAAAGGTAACTTAATAAGAAAAAAACAAATTTGAGATCTCCCAAGTCTCATCATTCTTCTGCGAGTCTCACAGTTTCTTTTTTCACTTTTCTCAAAGCCTTACAACAAAACTCCCAATTTCACATTTTTTCGGCAAATATAATAATTATGTTAAGAGCTAATTCACCCAATTAAAAAAGGTTTGTTTAATTGTCAGTGGGAAAAAATAGAATCTCACTTTTTGTAGAATCTCCAGATTTTTTTTTACATGAGTCTCCAGATTTTTCTTTATCAGGGGTTGACAGGTCTGAACTTTACACGAGCAAGACACCTTTTTCTACATTTTAATTCTTTGCTGTTGCTTAATCTTTAGTACAATGTGAAAATGTCTAATTTTGCATGTAATTGTACTACATGTATGGAGGAGGCAAACAATAAGCCTTGGTGAAATTTCCCTTCTTTTTCTGAACTTGGATATGGTTCTGAAAATCTCATATCATCTCCAGGAGAGTTCACCTTCATTTGACAAAGTAAATGAGTTAGAGTATTTGTGATGAAAATTAAAAGAAAGCAAACTCACTTTTTAAGCGACGTTGTTGCTGCTGTCACCATCCTTGGATCATAACATTCCTAATTCAGTGGAGCCTCTACGTAATGAAGGGCCAAGGGACTGGCAATTAAAATATCTTTGCTATAACAAGGTTTTGTTATAGGTTCTTTTCTATACATTTTCTATTACTGAGATGTAAAAAATAGTTCGTTATACCAATCGAGGACTTTATTATAATAGAATTTTGTTATATCGAGGTTCCACTGCATTATTGTTAAAAACATGTTACAGTACATTAAGATGGTGTTTAGTCAAGTTCAGTGATATACGATGAAGAAAACTACAATCTTTACCTTCTGTACGTTTTACTTTTTATACTTTCTATTTTTTAAAATGGGCATAAAGGCCTTCTAATAGAGGGCCAAGGCACTAAGTATTGTGTGGCATTTTCAAAAAGTCACATTTTGGGCAAAAAAGGTGTGTGGTATATCTCTTGAGACTGTACATTATATGTAGATTTAGCATGCAGTGTACAACACTTTTGTTTTGTGGAATACTAACACTAGATTCACAAAAAAATGGAATACTGTTTAATTACACAGAATCTTAGAAACTTCCAGAACTTGTTGCCTAAAAACATAGCAAGTACTGCAAAGAACAGCAGAATAAAACTTGACAGAAGACATCTGCTATATTTGAAGAATACAAATGTATCTGCTGGACTAAACATCCCTTTACATCCTGAACTTGCCGTAAAACAGGCATATGAAGATGGGACTTAACATCGATCAAGGTACATTTAAGCATAATATTTTAGCTGGTTTTTAAACCAGGATTTTTTTTAATGAAACAGGGTTGTCGCTAAGATTTCAAGTTGCCGGGTATTTGTTGTTAGTAGCCGGGGAAGTCGCTAGCAGTCATGGAGCCCCCCGCTCCCAAAGAAGTTTTTGAAGTGCAACTTCTACCTTTTTCAAAAAGGCATTACTGCCCAAAAAAAGCCATCTTCATCAAGAGCAGAGCTATCATTGGCGGTTTTTTGATGATCACGTCTTTATTAAAGAAAACTACAACATTCTGAGACACTAGAATATTAAGTTTTTATTTTACGTAAAGGCTCGTTGGGGGTTTTTTTTAGTGGCCGCCAAATGGGAGTACATGTAAGCTCTGGGTCTGAAAAAGAACGAAACAACTTACGGAAATCAAAGGTAAAACTAATATTATTACAGATGAATTAACCCACGGAGGAGCGGAAAGACGACAAGCGGTCGATGAATGTACGCAAAAGCATCACAAACATGAGGCTAATATGGTTTGTTGGAAAATAAAAGTATGATAAGGCTAAAACAAGCATAACGTATGAAAAATCGCCGGATAAAATATGGCAAAACTAAACTGCACAACTGGTAACATTAGTGGTCTCGAATTTAGGAACGAAACATCACTTAAAAATATTTGTTATCATTGTACACACATGTGTCTGTAGGCGCTCTGTTGATAATAAAGCACTTATCCTATCCACTTAACATACGAAGAAACTGACCTGTGGAAAAGTATTTAAAAGACAGGGCTAATACTTTATAAACGTCGCTGAGATGTCGAAACGAGACTTCTCTTTTATATATAACTTCTTGAAAGTAGAACTGAGAGGATGTGACCTGCCGACAATGATCGAACATTTCCCATTGACCATGCATTATTTTATATACTCGATACCAAAAGGTTAATGTAGATCTGGTCACTGACTAATGACAGTTTATTAAACATAGCAATCAGTCAGTCTTCATCTTCAAAGCCTTCGTCATAATCCTCATCATCATCAACATCAGCATCAGGGAAATTTAACGCTTGGATGAAGCCTCAACTTCTTCTGCGATGTCAACAGAGATCTACTCAGATCTTTCATCGTGAACAAAGAGTGCAGATTCCTTTTCCGCTTCTTCGACATGTTCAAAAACAAAGCCGACACAATGGCTGAAAGTGACATTTCGCGAACGGAGAGTTCTCGCGCATGTGTACTAGTACCAAATCTAAGTAAGATGTCTTTCTTCGACATTTCTTAGTTTTCGCCCGCGAGTTTTCCAAAATCACTTAAACCTGCTGAAGATGAAACTTGCATTAATTTAATATGATGCATAGTTTTTGTGTGTTTCAAAGGTGTGCTATAATTCAATGCTTATGTCCTTTTTAAAGTAGAATTTTCAGGAGCTCTTTTGGTTTAATTTAACGACAAAAGTAGCTGGGGACCATGCTCTGAGTAGCCGGGGGAAATCCCCGGCCCCCGGCCCTTAGTGACAACCCTGTGAAAAATGAAACAATATTATTGGATTTGGCTTTTACCTGATGTGAAAAATTATGCAGATCTTGGAGTGTGTTATTCACCTCTGCCAAAACATCCTTCCTCTGATCTCCATAATTCATACTCAGCCTTGTCCAATACCTGTTAATTATCATTATCGTTATCCTGTCATTATCAATATCAGCTCTCATTAAGAGGCAGGGGCTGGCAGGGTGCAAGGAAAATAATATTGTTTTTACAGCTTGCCATTCAGGCAAACTGAAGCTAGCATTTACTAGCCCAGACATCATTTCAACTAGCCCCAAAAACTTTTTGACTTACCAGAATTGATTTCACAGTTCTACTGTTATTCAAATTCCTCGAAAAACATCACTTGCCCACCGGGCAAGTTAAAAACAGAATTCACTAGCCCGATAGCAAAATCCAGTAGCCCCGGGCTATCGGAGACTACTTTCTCTGCACGCTGGGCTGGGGATTTCCCCCAGCTACTATGAATGTGACCCCCAGCTACTTTCAAAGGCAAATAGAAGAACAATTGCCCCTACCAAGGAACTGAAAATATTAGTGATAACCGTACTGTATCATAATAAAATACCGCAGTTTAACCTTTCCTTTGGGCTTCACTATTCAAGGGACACCTCCATTCAGGGAAAACAAAATTTGGTCCCAAAAAAATGTTCACATGATCTTTGTATTTGTTACCTGTATTTAAGGAAAACCTCTATAATTTCAGGGATAAGGGACACTTTATGTGCCCCGAAACCCTGGTTTATTACCCCCATTAAGGGGACACCTTAAGCACTCAAAATGTGACTGAACACAAAAAATGGTTGATAAGCCTAAGTGTACATTTGCTAGTGACTCAGAATGATGACAGATTTCACAACATGAACTATATCACTTTACATCAGTGTACTGCAGTTGTAGGAATAGTAAACTTGCAATATTGTAGAGGCAAATTTATCAAAATTTTTTTTATACATCTAGCTGCCTTAAGTAATGATGACAAGCAGATTTCGAGGCAGTATACAAAAATAGTGTATTTGTTCGTTACCTGTATCATGTATTATTAACAGATCCCAGCCCAACCTCTATTCGGGGGACAATTACTTTGGTCCCAAGGGTGTCCTCTGAATAGAAGTTTTATGAAGTTTATAAATAAATATTTATTTAACACAGTTAACAACAAGGAGCACTGGCAATTTCAGTGATCAGTCATTTGGCTCAAGTGCGGTTGGCCTTGCTTGCATCACCTCCATGTGCTCAGTACAGCATTTTCCTGCTGGCCATTCTCTTTGTTTAGCCTTTGGATCATTCTTTTACTCCCATCCCTCTCCCCCTTTATTCTTCCACTGTTAATCAGTGTAACAGGTGCCTGGTTCCATTGGCATGGGGGCTCATCGCTGGAGGGCACGGCTTTGCCAACCATGGGGGCATAACTCTGTCTAGGGGCTGGCTGTGCCAAAGGTGGAACCCCCTGGACATCCTGGACACCCACCTCCACTAAGCGACACAGTTGTTTAACTGTATTATTGTTGTAATTTTTATTAACATTTCCTGTGGATTATGAGATCTGTGATTTGATTTGTACAATGTATAATGCAAAAATAGTTGTTTCTTTTTTGTTTTAGCTTGTTAAGCGTGCATGCAGTTACACTGTATTTGTCATGTTTGTTACCTGCATTAAAGCTAAAGTTTTTTCCCCCCATTAAATGGATTAGTCTCATAGCACATGCATTAATCTCATAGTGCATTGAGGAAACACAATAAAAAATTATGTCTGGTATAAGTGACTTACATGTATGCTGCACAATGTACTTTTTCAAGAGTGGCGCCTAACACATCGTTTTTAACCAATAATATTACTGTTGTAGTTTTAATTGTTACATGTACCTTTTTAGTGTGGATATGAAGGATGCAACCAGTCTTTTAAGAAGAGCAGTCAGTTGAAAAAACATACCTGTCTCCACACAAATGAAAGTCTATTTACGTAAGTAACATTAATAAAAAAGTTCTCTAGTAAATGGGATGGTAACGTGATTATGTTCTTTGATAAGTGCTGAACGTTTGCTTTCACTCGGTCCATTCTTGGGTTAATGGCACTTCAGAGTTAGAAACAGGACTCAAGTTAAGTAGAAACAAGCTCTAGCCATTGCTGTAGCTCATGCCTGGATCATCAAAGACTCGAGGCGATCTCATTCAAAGACGACTGACTCGACTTGTAAAGACTCAATCATAGACCATTCATGATTCTTCTGGCAGCTGTCTTTCTGAGCACCATGGTGTGAGTTGCTCTCTTAGTTCCTTGATGTTTTCTCCAAGTACATCCACCAGACAGTCAGTCATTTTCTTGAACGTGAATAATTTATATAAATTTTAGGAAACATTGAAAGAGGAATTGAGTATTAAGCTAGGTTAAATCCAGTTACAGTTGACTCTCTCGTAATGGACACCTCTATAAAATGGACACTTGCCTTTCTTTACTCCCTTTATTTGACTCGCTGTAAGACGGACATCTCTGTACGGTGGACACTTTGCACCAGTTCCAAAGGTGTCTGTCTTAGACAGAGTTGACTGTAATTTTAACCTAAATTTCACTTTGAACCATGACAGTCTTCTTTGGGGTTTTATGCTCTTCCTTTTCTGTTCTATTCCTACATCTAAGGCATGCGATTTCTCTATGATGTTGACCTCTGTACATGTTCCCTCTTGTCAGTAAATATGAGATATGTCTGTTCGTCCTTCTGTCCTTTCATCCATTCATCCACTATTCATCCTTCCCTCTTTTTATTTCTTTCTGTATTTTTTTATTCCTAAGATACTGAATGGAGGTCAAATTGTAATGCAAAGTTAATACTTGTAAAATGTTGGTCTTGTTTTTCACAATGCTTAGGTGCCAAGTAGAAGGATGCAACCGTGGTTTTGATTCAGCTCCGAGGCTGCGACGGCATATGAAAATACACAACAAGGGTGAGTGTGATCAGATTGTCTGGCTGTTTTACATTGTACCTCATACTTACCTTTGAAAGGCAATGTCCTTTTCTTTCACATCATTTCACGATGTTTAGTGGTAGACTTTAGCTTAACCTACTTTGGAAGGAAAAACAGGCAGACAGAATGACACAACAACAGGATATTCTGTCCATTCTCGCTCATTCGATTTCTGATACATCAACAACTTCTATGTAAATACCTTACACGCATACTCCCTATGAAGTATTCGATATGTAATCCCCATTTACCGGTTGGAAAGAAGGTCAGTTTTACAGCCTGCCATTCGGGCAAGCTGTAGCTAACATGCACTAGCCTACAAGTCATTTCAACTAGCCCCAAAACCCTTTTTGATTGGCAGGATTGATTGCAATCATTCTGTAATTTGAATTTCCCCAAGAAACAGCACTTTTCTTAGGCTTAGACAGTTCTTTTTTTAAGAACAAAAATCACTAGCCCAGTAGCAAAATCCGTTAGCCCTGGGCTATTGGACATGACTTTCTTTGCACGCTGATGTACATTAAATACTGAATGTTTTTCTTTTATTCTGTCCAGGATATGTGTGCAGTGTACCTGGATGCGCTGAAACCTTTGACAAATTTTCTAAACTTGCAATACATGTGAGAAGTCATGGTATGAAATTTTCTAGTCTTTTGCTCATCAACTCTCCCATCTCGCACTCTTCCCCATCCCTCACCCTGCTAATTTCCCACTAACTTTATTTTATTACCCCCACGTCCTGTATCCCTGTCACACGAAAATTCCTAAAGGTGCAAAATGATCAACAGCATGCATCTCGTAGGAGGTAAAGATCGATTAATCGACCTGGAGATGATTTTAAGAAATAGCCAGTACAGTATCTTGATTATGACGTCGAAATAATATGAAATATAACCTGACATAATTCAAGAGATTACTTGAGCCCTTCTCTTCATAGATTTCTGGGAATCCATTCCATGAGGCCTTTTTTTTTCATGAAGAAAGTGAATGTCCAATAATATTAATTAAAGTTTCTTAAATTTTACAGGTTTTGTTTGTGAGGTTTGTAAAAAAACCTTTTCACGCACCTGGGAGGTATGTATAGTCTAGTTAGAGTTTCCTGACTTGTTAAATAATATTATAATCGCCGTTGAAATTGCTGTTACTGGGAGGACTAGATTCAATCACCCTAGATGCAATTCCTTGCTGAGGAACGTTTAGTCTGCTGCACAGCCGTTTTTAGTGTCATCACTCAACGCTGCTTCCCAGGAGCGTTGCGTGACGACACTAAAAACGACTAGACTAGGGAACGTTTCGTAATGTTGGAAAAAATACTCAGTGTATGAATTTTAAAAAGTCAACAGTAATCAAGCTTTTCAAAACGAAAACGAACTTGAAGATTTTTTCTACTTTTGCGTTTTGCAAAAAGGAACTAATTGATGAAACCTTGCGTGTAGAACACAGTTATGTATGCAGTATATTCGCAGAATGAGGGAACGAAACCATCCTCTTCATCTTCTTCTCTCAACACGCGTGTATATAGATTATAGAATATCTCTCTCTTCCCATTGTAATATAACTCGTTCTGAATTCAGTAAATTACTGCAGGAGATTTGTAATAAACTATTACACTATTACATGTTCTACAATTACAATACTCGTCATTGATTTGACTTGCAGTTGAAAAGGCACGTCCGTCTCCACAGCTCTGATAGAAAGATGTACGAGTGTCCAAGGGAAGGATGTTCTAGGGTCTACACCAAAGTAAGTTAAAAAACGACACGTTCAATAACTTGCGTTGTGCCCCCATGTTTTTGTTTTTGTTTTACTTGCTGCTGCTGCTGCTGCTGCTGCTGTTGTTTTTGTTGTTTTAAGTCCCCTTTTATATGGAGAAAAGGTGTTCCGAGAAAGAGGGTCACCCTCCCAGCCGAGTCAACTTAAGCGAGCGTTTACAGTTATTTCGAGAAAGGTTGTCGGAAAAAGCGCACGTGACAATCCCGAAAGGTAATTGTGGGTGGTTTTAAGTTCACGGTTCTTCAAAGAAATTTGCAAGAATGGCACGAGAGACCATGGACTTACGTTTGCGTTTGCTAAAGGAAAGCAACAGAAGTAAGTTCGACAGCTACAGTGTCAGGAACATTGTATTGATCATATCCCATATTGCCTTTCGGGATTGTCGCGTGCACATTTTTTTCCGACAACCTCTCTCGAAATAACTGTATAATTGAAAACAGTTAACCCCTTTATCCGAGCCAAAAAGCTGAGAACAGCGCAAACGCATGCTGTGATTGTCTCACCTTGACCGCGTTGACCCGGCTGGGCCCTATAAGCCGAGCCAACTTTTTGTATCTGATGTAAACGGTTGGCCATTTTTTGAAAGGAATTGTAGGAAAGGTTGGCTCCACCAGGTTCAATAGCACGAGTAGTTGAGAGACCCTTCTATCAGGGACAAGTTTTCTCCATATAAACGGGTCGTAATTGGTATTTTGCAGACAAAAGGCTTTAGAGAGCACACGGGACGTAGTTGTACAGTTTGTCGTACATCTGAACTCGGTCGAACCTCACCGCAACAGTTACCTCTCCACAATGGTCAACATTTTACTTCTTACGCTTGTGTTCAGGGTCAATGGAGGTTTCTTGGTACCCCTCCTTTAAGTCAACATTAGCACTTGATTGTCACTTGGGGCAAAATTGTGGCTTAGGGGAGGGGTAGGTGGTCGGTTACCCAGAAACCTCAACTGATCCGGTCTTTATTAGGCAGACTTATGTACTGATGGTATCACAAATTGTTTCTTTCCCAGGCATTTAATCTCAGAGTTCATATCAAAGCTTACCACGAGGGGAATAAACCCTATCTTTGCACAGTGGAGGGTTGTGACAAAGGATTCGCTCACAAGGTGCAGTATACTAGAGTCAGCTAAGTGTTTTCCTGTAGTCATCATTGCTTTTGATATGGAGCTTAAGCGACCACGGCCACGGCTACGGCCACGGCCACGGCCACGGCCACGGCTGCGAAAACGTCACGTAGAAAAGTGAATTCGCGCTGTTTCAAACTTGATCGCTTTTTTTCTGTCTCAGTTAAAAGTTGCCGAGTTTTTGGGGAGATGAATGCGAAAGGACTACATCTAAGTTCAGGGAAAAAGAAAAAGAGAGGAAATTATTGTCTTGTTTTCACTTCCTACATAAAATATGGAATTAGGGAATTTCACGATTTTAGACGTGCAAAGACGGCAAAGAAATGGGCAAAAAAAGTTTGCTGCTCGTGCAGAGTTGTTGTTTTACTAGCCTGAATCTATTGATGTTTTGCCGTTCTCGTTGCGGCCTTGGTCGTTGCTTAATCTCCTCCCGCTTGGTCGCCGCTTAACGTGAACTGGACGCTCAGGAGATACGGGCACAAGACACTGGACGGTATTGCAGTGTTTTATGCCCTTATACGTTCAACGTAGACTAATAGACCTCTCCCGCATTCCTGTGAACAAAGGCACCAACTCGAGGCTTGGGTGCTGTGGGTGGATAAAATACAGTGGAACCCCGTTAGTACCGTAGTCACCAATGGGCCAAAAAAATGTGGCCGTATTACCGGGGCAGTGTCAAATTTCATGACTTCTTGAACAACAACCGGAATGTAGATATCGCGTACAGTAATTGTAAAAGCTACTTGTAATGTTCCTTCAGTACATAATAGACTGTTAAAAATCGGCTATTGAACAGCCACAAATGCATTTTGAGTGTACTGTGGTCTAAAAACGATACAAGAACCAGCCCAGCTAACTAGGTCAAGGATATAGACATGTCACAGACATCTTAATTTTCTACATTTCTAACGAGTGGCCGTATTAACGGGGTGATATTATAGATGATGCTACTGTTTGGGATTTTAAAATGTGGTCGTTGGCCTTATTAACAGGTGACGGAATTAACGGGGTTTTTTTTGTAAGGAAATGTATGGCCGTTTTGCCGAGCCAAAAAAGTGGCCGTAATAACGAGGTGACCGTATACCGAGGTGGCCGTAAGACGGGGTTCCACTGTACAATAGAAAGCTTTAGATTCTAAGACGAGAACGACTACGAGTACGAGATGTTCTCAAATGTAAGTAGTGCTCGTGCGTGAGGCAGCGTCATTTTGGCCGGAAACCTTGGTAGCCGTCATCAATCTACTAGGAGTTTTAGCGGGAGTGTCGTAGTGGCGGGAACAAGTTATCAAATGTTAGAAGTTTTAGCATTAGCAATTGGGAGAGGTCTTAACCTCCTTCAATAACGATAACAATGCTAACTTTTCTGGCGAAAAAAAGTACAATGAACAATTCCGGGGTGTCTATTTTTTGACAATACGCGAAAAACTTTAAATCAAATCTCGTACTCGTAGTCGTTGTCGTCCTCCAATCTAAAGGTCTCCAGTGATTTGTATGAATGTCCTTCCAAGCCACGACCTCATAATTGGGCTGCCTGTGGCAAAGCCTAATGAAAAATCTGAGAAGCGTATATGTCGAAAAACGACAAAGTGGTGGATGCGTAACCCGGAAGGCGTCGCGTGCCCTGTCCCCCCCTGCGATGGGGACGATCATTTTACTTAAAGGGGGGGTATTCATTTCAGTTATTAACAAACAAACTTGCATGCAGTTAAAATAGTCACTGATTCAGGACTTATTTATCCTAGACGATCACATACCCTGTAACTTCAAATAAGAATATGTCCTTATCCCTGAGTAGCTATGCACTCAAGCTGGAAAGAGTGTAATTATCATCACTCTCTGCAAACTGCTAGGCTATCGCGCAGCCGGCAGCCCAATGTACCCTCATTATGAGGGTCTTGTTTCTTTATGTCTGCTCACTGGAGCGGAATGCCGGAAAAGACTATTCGAATATGTTTACGACTCCTAAGTACACCGTATATGACCGTTTCATAAACAACCTACACAACTGTACATGTCTGTACAGACACGAGGAAACATACTTGTGAACTGTAAGTACCTAGACGTAATCAATAATGCCGACTTAAGAAAAGGAGAACTGACTCGTCCCTAGTTTTAATCATCGTTGATTTCCTTCCCGTCATCCCCTTCGTTAAAGAGCCCGTTCTAGTCTTGCACGCCAAATACTAATAATGAGAGACGATTGGGGACGAGTCAGGTGCTTGCATTCCCGTGACGAACCGGGACGACCTAATTGCAAGCACTAGGAATGCAATACATGTACATTAATTTTGTACCTCTACTAAAAGTCAAATCTTGTTCCACAGGTTTCTCTCAAACAGCACATGATTCTCCATTCTCAAAACAAAATTAATCTTAAAGCACCTTCACCGGGACAATCAGCACAAAAGGTACATTAGCAATTTTTATAATAATGGTTTGTCATTATAATTACATATTTCGTGTATTTGAACCTATGCTCATGTAGTTTATCGTTGTTAGTTACCTTCTTTGTTTTAAGGCCTGTATATTTGCTTACTTGTACTTTTGTTTCTCCGTCAGTGTAGTTCTTTTCCATGATATTTAGTGTAGAAATGACAAGTGCTGAAAATGCAAATAGTTGTTTGATCTCGCCTTTTCAACACTACCATTTGGAACTACTACGCAAACCACGTGAATGTCCGGCTGCATGGGCAACAGAAAAAGTCATTTACTGTAACAGATGCATGCACAATACTTACAACGGTTAGACCTTCTAGTCTTCTCGGATAAGAACGAAAAACCGTAGGTCTGGTCTCACAGCACTTTCTTTTATCTGGTTCTTGTAGGACGTGAAAGAACCCACACCACTGTTCGAAAAGAGTAGGGGACGTAGACTCCGGCGGTGTGGCCAACGTATCCTGGGATGGGTGGGTTATCTGTAAGGACACACTTAAATTGGACTTCCGGTCTGTTGTGTGTTCCGCACCATTTAGTGGAAGTGATTAAATAAATAAATAAATACACAAATAGTAGTATATTAGAAAGTATATTAGTTATGATATCTTAGTTATCGTGGTTTTTGTAATATAGGACTGCACCTTATGGTTATCGATTGTCTCACTGTAGTAACTTGGGTGTACTGTTCTTATTTCCCTAGAAAAAATCAAAAAAGAAAAGAAGACCCGTTTCACTGGCCAAAAAACTAAGTGGATATCGTTCGTCTTCGCTTTCTGAAAGTTCAGACACTCACACCTCGGAAGCAGGGTCAAGGAGGAGAAAGTCGTCACGCCTTGCTCAGAACAAGACTGGTATCAACACTGTGAATGCAAATAATGTCCACGACCGTACTGCTTCTAAGGGCAACACTACCAGTTCAAGAAACATTGAAGAATCTACGACTTCCTTGCCCTCAATTAACGCTGCAAACTCGCATGAAGGTCCAATAACGACTGCAGTGAATATGGACCTGCCTGAGGAGGTTCAAGTTGATTCTTCCCCAGTCCCCTCCGGCTCAGTACGTTTAAGTGACGCCCCAGCAGTGGATAAACAACACAGCACTTCTTCAGACCTGTCCTCGAACATGGTGCCAGAAGTATTAACTGATGAAATGGAGGAGAGCCATTCGGTAGCTCCTTTGTCAAAATGGGCGCCTGCAAATATGGGTACTGAGACTGTTACCAACAGTAATTCTTCTCAAAGGGTATCTGTTGAGAATACCCCAACTGCAAATGATGACGTTATCTGTACATTTTCTTCGTCAGATGAAGAAGGAATGGACTGGGAGCCAGCAGGCTGTAATGCCCTTACCGAAGTTGATTCCGAAAATGAAACTGAAAGAATGGAAAACCACGCAGTCAACTCGCACAATTGTTTAGCGAATGAGCTCGACTCTGATGATGGCCGCTTGGTAATCGACTGTGATGCCCTTGCTGAAGTTGATTCCGAAAATGAAATTGAAAAAATGGAAAAGGATGCAACCTGTTCTCAGAATTCAGCAAGTGAGCTTGAATCCGATGATGGCCGCTTGGTAATCGACTTCGGTGGCAGTTCAAGCAATGCCGTTAGCCAATTGCCCTCGATGCTTTCTTCAGTAAACTCGACAGAAAGTAATAAAGTGATTGGCTCTTCCCAGCGCAACAGAGACGCCGCGTCTGTAACGCAGGTTTCGAGTTTAGTGAATAAAGCGGATATCAGCGCAAAGAAGAAGCATAAATCCAAGAAGAGAAAACGTAAGGAGAAGAAGAAATCCCGCCGTGATGAAAGCAAGGCAGAATGTGAGTTCACTGATTTCCCGGGTTTGGACGATGTATTGCAAGTAATAATCGAAGAAGAGAGTCAAATATGTGATCAAACTGAAACACGTTCAGAAAGTGATCCCTTACATTTGGAACACGATGATAGTGCCAATAGTCCAGCTGCACACTCTTATTGCAGTGCACAAATGAATTCTAGAGACCGTTCGATAAGAACCGAGGAGCGCGTGACAAGTTTAGATGAAGAAGAGACGAATGTGGAAAATCACACACTTAGGCGCCCTTATCAAGAAGAAACCACTGAAGAGATACACAATGGTCTCCACCAGGCACGCATTGTAAGCAACATTCCAAGTAGTACTACGTCAGAGGAAGGTAGTTTACCTATCGAACAAGACTTTGTGGAGTATGACAGCGTTGTAGATTTGGGAAATGACGACGATATTAGTAGTGATGAAAATGTAATGAATATCTCACAGCAGACTATTTGCCCGCATGTTGATGGCTCAACCATTGCACAAGTTGCACGTGACAATGAAACTGGGCAAGTAGGCTGTTCCCGTGGCTCGACCCCTCAATCGCGTGAATTAATGGGAAATTCGCCACGCGCTTCACGTGATCATGGTGAAGTATCACGTGATAAGGATGCAGCCTCGCCTGCTTCACAATCTTTAGAAGAAACCACTGAAAACAAAGGAAGGGAAGATAAAAATTCAAATAATGCGGAAGTAACAAGGCCACGTCCGCAATGCCCTAATAAGAGAACGATTCAAAAGAATGAAAGAAACATTGGATCCAAAACTTCGAATAATCGATCGTCACTTATTCCTGCAAAACATACTGCAACGAACGCAGCGAAGAGCAATAACTCTGAAGTAGAAGACATCAATGTAGGGTTGAACAACTCAGAAACAGTCTCGAATAAGACATCTGAGAAGAATGTCGAGCACGAAAACTCTCAGAGTGAGTTTTCCGTGCCCAAATTTCGCAGCAGAGCCAACATCTTTACATGTGACTTGCAGACTCTGGAGTTGCTCTGGAATTTTAAAGGAAAGTAGCTTTTATGGCTCTGTGGTCAATCCACAATTACTATTTGTCCCGTAACGGCGACTAAAAACTTGTAGTGCCGCTGTCCTGTCTCGCTTTTTTTGCAAAACTATTTAATTAACAGTGATTGACCAAAGGAGCTGCTGTTCTTAATTGTTTTTCTGTTGACGGCACCTGTCAATTTTCATTTGCCCAAAGTATGCCTTTCATCACTCCTAAATAAAGGGATATTCTCACAGCAGCTTGTTCCATCGTGTTTATTTTACCACTGAATCAATCACTATAAAACGTTACGTTAGGCAAGCTATGAAAGTACTTCATAACGCCGAAACAGCAACCTCAATGCGTTGTAGTCTTCCACAATTTTGTCCATCGCCGCCTTCTTTTTATTTGCTGAGTTACATGATTCTTCACTGATAAAAGCGGTTATTCTTATACTGTAAAAGTGTTTCACCCAATTTGGTGACCAAAGTAGCCCTGAATCTGGCTAAAATTTATGAACGACAAAGCTCTTACCTCACTTATGAAAATGTTGTGTTAATAAGAATACTAGTGACTTCAGACTTCACGTTTACAATGGGAAGAACCCTTTTTCACTCGTTAACGTCCATCGTCCAACCTCGTTCCCAGGGTTCCGTAGGAACGGGTCGGCTACTTGGTGCTCACTTTAACATTTCTCTGATCTCATCCGCCATTGCTGGGATCCTAAGTACTCTGCTCCAATTGGATTAACTTATTGACTCATTTATCTATTTATTTTGGCGCGAAAGCTGTTTCTATAAATAGCCTGATAATGTCAGTAGTCAGAACGTTGTAACCCAGAAACAATAATTTTCATTATCTTTGGCACACCAAGCAGTCTGCGTAGCAGTCGGTTCCAGTTTCTTTAAGCGAAGCGGGACAAGCGCGCAAGACGCTTTTTTTGGCTTTTTTTTCCTGGCGCCTAGCTAAAAGGAAACGAAAACGACAACTATGTAGTCTACAAACCAAGAGGCAAGTTTTCTCGTCGCCTAGTATTGCTGAAGTGCGCCTTTATTTGATTTAAACTACCTTTATATGTTTACTTTGAAAATTCGCGGCAATTAATATACGGCGATGATATTCAAAAGAGAAAAACAGATAACATTGCACAAATGTGAAAGAAAAAGAAATAAAAATACCCCGGGAGATAAGAAGGATCCCCTTGTCCATGTTCTTTGCTCATCGAGAGAGACAGAGATTCATTCTATGCCCGCAGTTTCACGACTTTAAAACTTACAGAAGGTTTTTGCTGCCTGTGAAAAGAAAGCTCCCGCCATTTGTCCTATTTTAAAAAACTGTCCAATGCAAAGAAGAAATGACGTTATTGTACCCGATATGGCAATGGTCTTCTAAATTTGGTCAAAGCTGACTGGTAGATTGATGAGCCAATAAGAAACGGTGTAATATTTTGAGTGTATAATAAATGTTGTTGTGGCATCCATCAAGAGCCCAAAGAATTCATGACCGGTCTATCCTTATCGCTTTCCTAAGTGTGTGTCAAGTCATGTAAAGATTGTATTTTGGATCTTTTTTCTTCTATTCGCCTTGCCAGAGGAAACCGTTGAGATCTTTTAATGTATTTATCATCCGCACTTTGCTGCAACGTTAATTTTGACCACTTTGACTCTTGTCAATTACGCTCTTGGGCTTTTAACTTAGAGCTTAATAAAATATAATTTTCAGCGCACGTGAGTTAATTTTGCATTCTTAATTGTGAAAAATGTCAGGAGCCCATAAAACGAGGATATATATTGATGCAAATTGCCGAAATAGAACACAAAGAGTTATATTGCCGTTTCCCGCCAACGAAGAAGAAAGAAATACTGCCGTTATTTTCTAACTAAAGCTTGGCTGTACGGCTTAGCGATCAGTCAGCTGGCGCTGTGGGTGAATAGATTGAACCAGGAGAATTCATAGACTTCGGCTCTCTTGCAGCGCACTGAGGGGATTCATTTTACCATTGAGAATTATCCCGTAGACGCGGTAAGATAACAATAGTCCACGTGCGATACATCGGTTGTTTACCATTTACAAAACGTTTCGGGAAAATCCGATTGGAAGGTGAATGGAACATGATTTTTTGAGTCATTCCCAAAGGAAAATTTCCGGGAGCAACGAAACATCTAAAGAGATTGTCCTGTTTTTCCCGACGGAACTTTCCAAATTGAAGTTCGAGTTCCATTTCTTTAAAGCTATCAATTTAGGCCTTCGCAACCATTTTTGGGTAAATGGAGCCGATTTGTCAAATGGCAAATGCGATTCCGGAACAAAATTTACCCGTCCTACATTTTGCTTGCCATTTGCCCAACCCGTGAACCGACCGGCTTGCCCGTGTAAATGGTGTAAACAACCTTCAAAAACGCCAAGCAACCCGGGGGCAAGTATTCGCATAGAAGACATGAAAGTGGGTTTCAAGACAACCATGCAATTCCGCGGCGTCCGGTCACTTTCAAATCACAGTATGGTCTACAGTAAAAACCCGCAACTAAGAACCTGGTTTTTAAGAACCTGTTAGGCTAAAATGTGCAGTTTCATATATATAGGCCCCTTCCGATCCTGTTTAGCCCAAAATTTGAAACATGTTCTCATTTTATAAAATCTATAAATTGAAAAAATTCTGTATTCTTGGGCAAATAAAATAAGTCAACATTCAGAATTCTCTTATGGGCATAGTCACTCCAACTGCAATGTAACAGATCGTTTTCACATGACGTAAGGGGCGGCCATCTTTGTATACAAAAAAAAAATGCGGTGGGAATTGAACTCTTTTCACATGTTAAAGCTTTCTTTTATTAGTCCAAGCAATTTGCAAAGCTGCTGAGCACGTGACTGAACACGATCTATAGTATGCAGATTTTACATAAGGAATAAGCTGAATAACCACTAAACTCCTCTTTGCTTCAACATACTTTTTTTTTCAACAGAATATAAGAACCTATTTTACCTACATATCCTAAATGGGTGCTAAGTACCATATGTAAGACCCTGTTTAGCCTAATTTTGGAAAATGCAAGTTCTTAGTCGAGGGCTTTTACTGTAGTCCACTCGATTTTTGAAACAACGCCAAAATCCCGGCAAAATACATGTGCAAGGAGGCCTTTAATAGCAAGTGGCTTTAACTTAAGGCTACCTTACCTTAATTGACGTAACTACTCTGTTTCATTCCGCACTTAATTTCAGATCCTAGCATCCTCCATGATAGTTGCTGAATTCGTCATTGTAGCTGTACTTGTGCTGCTTGCTGGAGGTGCATATGTTGTTTCCGTCCTAATTGCTCTGTTTACTGATTGCACAGTAGAGGAGGACACTAAATTTCTCCAAATGGAGGAAGTGAAGGCATCGGTGATTGGTAAACAAGCTAACTGAGCATGAATGACCTTGCGTGGATAATACACTGAGTTCGTTTTTATTGAAAAGGGCGCTCTATAAACTGCCGCTTGGATTTGATTACGATTGAGTCGTTAGTTTAACATTCATCACCTCCGCATCTTCCCATAGTAAACTCTGCTTGCCCCAAAAAACTTTTCACTTTTTTGTATAGCTTGAAAACAATGCAAGGCGTTTTAGGAAAAGCTATTAAACTGATAACTGAGATTCGAGCACCGATGCGAGTGTGGAAGGGGTGAATGAAAATATTTTTTAAGATATTCAACGCATGATAATTTTCTTGAAAAGTCGACACGTAAGTTGGTTAAGTATTATTTGGACTTTTTGAAATCCAAAGATGAATGAGTGGAGCCTTATCACTCTTTCCTCCTGGCGGTGGACGATTCGGAAGACTGGAAAGGCCGCTTCCCATCATCTCTCGCGCGCTTTCATTTCTTCGGTCTCTCCCCAAGTAGACGTCTGAAGAGAAGAGACTCTTCGCCGTCAACCTCATACTTCTTGCTATTCTTAATTCATATTTTTTTTCAAGATGAATTATTACTGTACAGAGATGTAGAATAATAATAAGACTCTTAAATAAGTAAAAAAAAAAAATTGAAGCTGCTATCCTTAAATTCCAGTCCAGTGTGACTACATTTTTTTTCTGGCATGCTTTTCTACATAGCGCTCGGGCTCCCGCCTAGAGCGCTTCCTGTAGACTTCCTGTCCTAATTTATTACCCCAGGTCGCCAAAAATGATATTTTTATACCTTGAGCAGAGAATGAGCATATGCTAATGACACTTGAGATGTTATTATAAATGTTAAAGCCGCTACAGCGTGCCAAACTGAATGGGTTTCTTATAAACTTAACGAAAACAGAACCTGGCCTATAATAGCCCCTATTTCTATTTAAAATCATGAATGTACCCCTGAACACAATGCCAATGGCACATTGAACTCCAAACTAGACTACTGGTCACTATGGAAACAAAACTGGCCAACTAAAATGATCGCTCATTATTCAGGCAAAAATTGTTGATATGCTAATAATGTTGTGAATGAAGGGGACTGCCGATCGACTCGCAGAACAGGGGAAATTAAAGAAGCAGCCACTACATATTAAGTAAAGGAAATCGCTTATATACACTTGGCGAGTTGTTAAGTAAGTACGTCAATGCTTGTCTTTAAATCGCTGCGGTTAAACTCAGTAGCTTTCATAATATGCATTTAAACGATTCACCTGACATGCGTCAGTTGTTCATACGAAGGAAAGTGCTATGTATCTTCCGAATGAATCTTTTCACTGTGGATACCTCAGTTAAGGCCCTCAACATTTATCCAATGGATAGAGTGCCGGATTTATCTGATTGGTAAGCTATCCGAACTGACGCACTTTTGAACAACAGTGGGATCAGCATGAGACATGACGGCAGCTGGCAGTTACGACCCGGCGCTTAACAAATTAGCGGTGATTTTAGGTGATTGAATTATTTCTAGATCTGTGACTTTCCCGCAGTAGTAAGTTTGAGAAAAAGAAACATAGACTGCTCGTATGATCGGGGGTAGAAGCGGAATCATTTGAGTCTTAATATTTATGATTCCTGTCGTTTTTGCCTCAATGATTCATGATTCCTACAATAATTTTCTCCTAGATTCATGATTCACGAAGACTTTTCATCACCTATTGACTTAATGATTTTCTCAGTGGCAACTTAGTCTCATTTTGTAGCGTTTCTTTGGTGTTCAAACTTCTGTTTCATCCAGACTTGCTATCATCATTCGTTTTGTATAGGTATGGAGTTTTTTTGTAACTGCATTAAGCATCAGATTACTGTAGAAACAAGCGGACTATCATCCCGAAATGCATAGGGCGTCCGGGGGCATGCTCCCCACGAAAAATGTTTGAAAATTGGACCCTCGGAAACGCCATATCCTGCATCGCTGGATCGAGGACAATTAATTCATTCGTGTATTTTGATTTGATTCCCAAGTTTTTAAAACAAAAATTCATGATTCTTACATGTTTTGTTACTTTTCTCAGATTTCTCGTTACGTCATGATTCCACAGAGCCGAAGATTAATCCAAGATTCATGATTCCCAATTTATTTTTTTAAAAACAAAATTATGAAGGGGATGTTCTTGAAAACATCATGTTTTAACCAATTACAAACATATGATTCATTGATTCAAGGGAATCAAAAAATTCTTTTTCCTGGATTCAGGTAGATTCAGTTTTTGTCAGTGGAACCTGGATTCTTGATTCCAATCGTTAGTAGGATTCCGGATTCTAAAGCCAAGGATTCCTGATTTTACAAGCAAAATTTTCCTGGATTCGAGATTCCACAAGCAAATTTTTCCCAGATTCCGGAATCCGGAGCCCCTCACAGTGAGGAATGTAAATGTAAGTAAAACGCCAAGATAATTTTGACACCATTTTTTGATTCATCCACAGTTATCGCCCTCCATCACGTAATATCCGGCGGTTTCGTATGGCCCTTGCAGAGTCATTAGTGTTTGGCATAGTAGCAATGCTCGGAGTCTTGGCATCGATATTTTTAGTGTCCAGCTGCGTGAACCGGCGACCTACGAAGCTATTTTCAAGGACCAGACAATATGGAGAGACATGAAATCACTGCTTTTCTGTGATTATTTAATCAAAGTGTTTTCAGATTTTTTTTTTTTGGATTGCTGCTTTTTTGTTCTGCCGAGTGAATGGAATTGTCGGTTTTTGCTAGTGACTATAGGCAACTGCCATGAAAACAAGCTTTTATTGAGAAGCTTGTTTGGGGTTAAAGCGAACGTCGACTCATTCGCCCAACCTTTCTGCTTGTGTTTATCCTTGCGTCCAGGCCACTGTTAATGCGAAGTAAGTATTCTTATAATGCTTGTGTTTGAGCTGGAACTTCTACTGAAAATGTTCGGACATATCAGGTTTGACATTGAGCTTACTGGAAAAACATCCTGAGAGGGAAATACCATTTAGATGGGAAACTCACCAGCAATTTATTCCCTCACATATCAGCAGTGATCGACCTTAGCAAAGGCAAAATCAAGAAGATCAGTTAAAGATTGCATGATACGGATGCGAAAAAAGGAGGGAAAAACCTTTTAATCAATATTTTATTGACCAGTTTGCGAGATTTTGCAACATGCTCATCAAGAAAAGCTTATCAACGGAGGTGTATGAGTCAACTTTCACCTTACAACCACATACCATGCTATTAAGGATACCCTGCTAACAGGGACAGCAACTGAATCTCCAACAAAACTCAAAGACATTTGAGTTTAAAACCCCCGTTAACACGGACTTTATAATTTACGGAATTTCGAACCCATTTTTCTGTCCTAATCACACGTGTCGTACACCAGCTTCGAATGTCTACATTTCACGAAAATCTGTTTTTTTTCCCCATTTTTGTGTCACCGCCCGTGTCTTTTTGGCTAGATTGTCGCTTTTTATGTTGCCTTTCAATCAAAATCTAAACTGTATAAACAGCAAAAATCCCTGTTGTGTTCTTGTATTCGCATTTCAGTCAATGTGTAAATGTTGTGGTTCAATTTTATCCTTGGTTTAAATTCTATTTTCTTTTGTTTTTGGGTATGGTCATGTTAGATAATGATTTTGAAACAAAAGAAAATAAAATTTAAACCAAGGATAAAATTGTACCGCAACATTTTCAAATTGATATGGGTGTATGCAAAGGGTTTGTTAGGGTAATCCCTCCAACGCAAACGTTTTTAAGAAAAAACCCGGTGTTGTACTGGTGTTCGTAATAACGGGAGTTGAAAGTACCGATTGTCTTGCCCGTCCATGTACGGGCGACTTTCCAGGCCTTCTCGGTCAACGCATTTCGTTGACTTATCAAAGACAAACAGGCCACGGGACCCGAAACGTAAGGGCTGTGAATGGGCCTTTGTCACACGGCGGCCATTTTGTCCCAAGGTATCAAAGTAGCTTTGTTTAACCTGTCCTCGTCCCTAAGTTTTTCATTGCGAGGTCGAGGGAGGTAAAACAAAGCTTTTTCAGTCTCTCGGGACAATATGGCCGCCGTGTGAATAAGGCCCATGTGCAGAGCGACCACGGTAGGCAATGTGAATGTGAATGTCGACTACTACCTCAGGATTGTCGCGCGAACAAGCATGTTACGTGCGAGCGAACAACGCAAACGCGCGAAGAATACGCTTCCCCCGAGGCAATCCTCAGGGAACAAGGTCTACTACACTTCATTGTAACGAAGTTTCCTTGTCAAAAAGCTAAGCCGGCTTCTGGGTTGCGCTAATCTCGATTCTACTAGTAGAAGTTGCAAGGAATAAGGGCTCCTTACACTACGTTAGTTTTTTTCAACCTTGACATGGACCAGTTAGGGAAAATCCGTCAACACCGTTGGAAAGAGCACCTTCAAATTAAAAAACTTGCCAAGTTTGAAAGTGATACGTTTTAAAGGAGCGACGATATCGCAATACAGCTCCGCGGAAAGTTGCGAAAATTTGGGGGCAAGTTTGAACGTCTGTAAAATTTCGCGACTTTGAGGAGCAATATCGTTGTAAACTTGGCAATATCATTAATTTAAAGGCGCTCTCTTCATTGGAGTCTACGGATTTTTTTTCTAACTTGCTCATGTCAAAAGTTGGAAAAGCCGGGTGAAAGAGTCTAATATTGCATAATTCACTTGAAGGTCAAGTGGATATTTCGAGGATATAGTTGCCGTTTGTACAAAGAAGCCCCAAAAGCATCCACAAACTCTAAGGTCATGTTGGTCGCCGCGACACGTACAGCAGCAAATCCTCCTTCCTTATCGGCGTCCGCCCAGAAAAATGACAAGCTGCCCTTTGGTACTGAGTTTTTGTGGGTTTTTTTGTCAACTATGTAGGCGGCACTTCCAATGACGAAATATTCAACTGATGAGTTGGATTCCTTCAAGTGCTGTGAGGAATCGATAAAGGGTTAAAGAATTAAAGAAAATAGTCAGGACATATTCTAAGCATTAACAAAAGTGATCGAAATTTTTTATATTTTAGGTTTAGAAAACGCCCAAATAATAATAATAATAATAATAATAATAATAATAATAACTACAGCTTACTAAATCATGACGAAATTGTCAACAGTTTTAACAATCAAAGAAACAAACAAAAAAAAACTTTTTTCAGGTTCTTCTGATGAATATTAATTATTCCTGCATAAGTTCAAATAAATAAAGGGGCTAGCATTTAAAAACCAAGAAGTACTTTAACAGAATGCAGAAAACAAGCAAGTTTACCTGCAGATTGTGATCGTGTCCGCTAATATAAGCAGTCACTTTATACTTCTGTAACAGAGGTCTCAGTCTATTGACCAGACAGTCCGTAGGACCGTGTTCAGCAACTGACCACACAGGGAAATGGCCCCCCACGATCAGATAATGGGCTGTAGATGATTGAAGAGTGTCTTCTATCCATTTCCATTGGATCTCGGATGCCTTCTGTGATTCAGGCTCTACAAGGCAATTGGGTTTAACGTTTTAGTCAACTGCAAGTCCAATTCTTGGTTTGCAACCACGTAACAATTAAGGCGGCCGTGTTGGGGTCAATACAATAGAATCTTTTCTAGAAGAATTTCATGTAAAATGGACCTTTACTTTTATCAGTGGTAAGTCGCTCGCCTCAAAATGGTTCAAACATATAGATCAATCTAGTTTGTTGTTAACATAAAAGGTTTTTTCCGGGCGTTTTCCCCTCTCCCCAAATGTCAATTCGGGAATAGGTAGACACGAACCCCTTTGTGGATGTGCTAATCTGCAAATCATTATTCATTCATTTTTATTTTGTTTAGCTCCCAGAGGGGAGAAATGCTTTAATTTGTTCTTGACCACTAACATGGCCGCCGTGAAGTCACGTGCAAACCAGCAATAGGAGGTCATACTGCATGGGTAATTTGACGAGGTGGGGGTGGGGGTAGGATTGGGATGTACAGCAACCTTCTTGACACCGTTAACCTGTGTCAGTATACCAAACTTTGCTATTTCATCTAATATGATTCAGATTCTGAGCAACTGTCCTTAAGGGGGCAGTCTGGTTGTTGTTGTTTTTTATTTTTCGTTTTGCCTTTCTTCGGAAATGAGGTTGAATCGATAGTGGACTAAATAAGGGTAGAAAAATGTAAACACAGGGAAAATTTTTATTTAATAAAGTTCAGCTTTAGCTATGGTAATATAACAGTTTACCTTGTGGCTGTGTGTTGAAGTGATCGTCTCCCGAGTCGCCGCAGAGTTGAACCGTGTCCAGAAGAACCAACTGAAGTTCAATGTCAGAACCTTGAAGAACGACACAACCAGCCAACATATGTATAATGTCAGATAATTTTTTAATGAATGAGCAGGAACACAATATATATAAATATTATCTAGCCAAAACAGGATAAAAAAGATGAAGACTATAGTCTACACCAAAAGAGGGTTCTTCATTATTTGAAGGATGGTAGGATGGTCAAGGAATCGGCATATCAAAGTTTCTGAACGAAAGACTAAAGGTCTTTTGAGGAACCTTTTGAGGCAAGTGAGGGCGTATACTTGGCAAAAAATAAACGCAAAAAAACCAAGAAAAACAAGTGAAGCGTGCCTGATACTAGTGTGCACTTGCATCAGTAAAAATCATTAATACTAAACCCACGTAGAGAGTTTTCTTTCTTTTCTTTTCTTTTTTTTTTTTGCAAACAAAAAATTTATACTGGGCAAATAAATTTAATATTGGATGCTATGTTTTTTTGGTCAGTCTTCTTGCCGTAAGGATCATATTAGTGCTATTCTACTAGACTTATCATAGCTTGCGTGCATAGTTACCACTGCACAGAGAAAATTCTGAAAGCAGGCGTGTATGCTTGATTCATTCGATTCTTTCGCTTTCCCTCTTTTAACATAAACCAAACTAGACTGCTGTAAATGCAATCAATATTGAAAGTCGATATATCTCAACTAGGCTGGTTGCCTACAAAAACGCCATATCACCCCCAACCTCGTCCAAGGGATATCCCCTTGAAAAGTGGGAGGGGGGCGGGCCTTTTCCCCCTACCAATTGTCAAGAGAAATGCCCTCGGAACAAGGTTGATGTCACCTGTCATCTGTCAACCTTAATAATGGGTTATTGTACTTACCAGGAATCTTCCAGGATTTGGTATAGTAATAGTCCGGAAAATTCCAGCGTTTTGACTTGGAGCTGTAAGCGATCTGGGCTGACACGTTTCCATAGTGATCATGATTTCCCGCGCAGAAGTACCAAGGAGTCATGAGCGATTTGGCAGTAAACACATCCTCAAATGTTTCTTTGAATCTCTTGTCATCTACGTTTTTTACTCCAAGATGATAAAAGTTGTCACCTTGGGATTAACAGTAATATGAAGGAATTTAGGTGATTCCATGAGCCTATCGGCAACTTCATCGCCATTTTTTATGTCCCTAAAATTGTCTCTTAGCGCAAAGGGTATTCATTGCGGAAAAGCGGGAGGTATGCGATCGAAACATACCCCATCCCGAAAAAAAAGTAACCTTGATGAGGACAGGTAGGCCAATAATGTCGCGCTATGTGAAACTTTTATAAACAGACATCAGCGAATGCTGATGCTGGTTTGAGTGGTTTCCCTATAATCGTTACACGGAAGACGGATTTTTTGAAGTGGGGGAAGGTGGGGAGCCGACTGACGAGTGACTTGAAGTGGGGAGTAGAAAGTGGGGAGAGGGCTTAATTCCCCACCCCAGTCACCTTGGCTCCGCTGCTGTCCCTTTGTGATTGTAGCCGGCGTGATAGGCGAGCGGAAAAGAAGAAAGGGCAAGAGGATCGATCTTCGGCTGCGCGAGGACGCGAACGGTCTGCGAGGGAAAAGGAAAGGCCCTTCCCATTTGTTCCATTGCGAGCCCGAATTCCCCATCCCGAAATTCCTCCTTTCTCTACCCGTTTAGACTGAGTGCCTGCCAGAAAGACTATAAGGGTTGTTACAATCTTTCAGCTCACTAGACGTCTTTCAGCGATCCCAGCTATCATGAGGAAATTGGGCTAAAGCATTTAAAAAATCGTTAAGGGGGCTAGTTTTTTAGGCCTTGCTAAAGCGCAAGGAACAGGGATGAAATAGACTGAAATTTGCCCAACTTACGTTCGTGTGTTGAAATAGGAGATCATTATAAAGCCAATAAAATACACTCTTTTTTTATATAAGAATGTTGTTTTTCCGGCCCAGGTTGAATATTCTTATTTTTCTGCCGATTTTAGGCTGAAAATATTCTTGTATTATTCTTAAATTATAGCTTATTGACATTTCCGTTTTAGAATTTATTGGGGTATGTGTATATGTATTACATGTACCGTTCATCGAACTGTCATTAGCGTTGAACATTTTGCTATAGCTAGTGCAGGTTTTTTCGTTTTGTTGGCTAGTTTCGCTGTTCAGAGAAAGGAATAATTTTATACGGTTAAGTTAAAAACATAAAATTGTATTGTATTTACAGATGTTTCAACACACAAAATTATACCTATCCTTTTCAAAATCTCAGCCTCGGCTTTATTCTTAAAATATTCTTAAAATTTCGCAAATTTCAGCCTCAATATTCTTATAAAGTATATTCTTATAAAAAAAAAAAGAGTGTAGTGGAAACATAGGGGGTCGTTTCTGGACTTTGACTTGGGAGATCACGCGACTGTATTATAAAAGATCGCGAAAGGTCAAACACAGATTTTGATGGCAGAAAATTTTCACCAGAGCCTTGTAATTGTCTCGAGAAGCACTGATACGTTGCCACCTTAATATACAAGTCACATGAAATACACGTGCAGACCACATATAGCTCTGAAAAAAAAATGGATTGGAATATCGTGATGATTGGCCTACAATGGCCGTTTCAGAGAGGTTAATATAAACTATGTATTAAAGACGTCACGGAGTATTTTACGTTCTAGCTTTTCTATTAATTAATCCTATTAAATCGGTAAATAAATCAGCTGAAGTGCCTTGAAGTAGAACTCCTTTGAGGGAGTGATCTAATCGGAAAAAGTTTTTTGGCAAATCATGCATAAGTCTATTGACAACTAAGGGTGAACAGTAGATAATCATTGAATTCATTTTTACTCTGAACCTGTCAACTTACCCAGGGCAACAATAAACTGCGTTTCCAGATTTTCGGCGATTTTGCTCATGCCTTTGCTCACGGCCATCTCGAACGGAGTGGTGTATGGCTTTAATTCATTTCCTCCCCAGTCACCTAAGGCAAGGAAGCTCAGTTCACCTCCAGCAACAAACGGCACACTTGCTGAAAACGATAGCAATAGAAGCCATACCAGTGTGAAAGCTTTGGCGGCCATGACGAACTCCGTTAATTTTTATTCTTATCACGTGAGGGTCAAAAGATCTGCCCCTGTGAATATTTCCTGCTAGCATGCAGTTAACTTGCGTAGGAGGCGTCGGCTAGCCCCGGCGGGGTACTTTAGGAATTTCGGGAAACCTATACCAGAGCTAGTTCAGCTGAATTTTCCTGCCCTATACTAGAGTAAACTCCCCAAATCCCCACTTTCCTAGAGTAGCTAGTAGCTGTTTCCCTAGTCCCTAGTCTAGATAAAATCTTCAACCAAAATGATCTGATTCTGTTACCCTATGAGTAAAATGATACCCTATTCTAAACCGTCAAACTCTGCCCACTAGTGTGTAGCAGACTACCTTCCCACCGGCATTTATATATCCCCCCTGTCCCAGTTAGCACGCAGAGGCATCGTAAACGCGGGTCTCTTTTCGTCCCGCCCGCCGTCACACCTTCATTTTCACCATGGCCATATTTCGAATTTAAATTTCAGCAGATTTGTCTGTTACGTTCACGAATACTTAGAAAGGCGGCTCTCCTTTCCGTTTACGTAAAAAAAACTGAATAAAACTGGGGACTGCTGGGTAGAGTTGTGACAGGTCGTAGTATCTTTTAGGGGTTTAATTTGTTGTTGTTTAAAATGATTGCCATACCTTTATATAATTTGTTGTAGTTGAATTGGTATCTCTTAGGGATGGAAATGAATTCGGGTAACGTTCATAAAAGAAGATTCTGGTACTTTTATAAGAGAGTCCCCGCCCCAGTGTGCTTATACAGTAAAAAGTACAAGGAGGAAACGTATACCAAGAAAAAGTGCACAAATAAAATGCATACAAATAAAACGTACACACTGAAAGAAAAAGTACATACGTAAAATGGATAACATATACGGAGAGAGTGAGAGACAGCGATGCGACAATTGCGATCATTACAGAGAAAACGCCATGTAAGAAACGCTAATGCGATAGTACGTTGATCGCCCGTAGCCTGCATAACAGGCGCTTGAGTGCCAAGCGAGGCGAACGCGGGATTTCCCGCGAAGTGCGAGACAAGCGATTCGCGCGAAATGCCGCGTTCATCTCGCTTGGCTCATAAAGCGCCAGAAATCGAATTAGAGCAGCTTTCGCGATCAAGGGAAACGTATGGCAATGACGAAAATAAATCGTGATACAACAAAGGCGAGAAGGTTCAGACGATGGCGATCGCTCATTGAGGACATTGAGAAATCATGACGTGACAATCTCACACCAATCACACCACAAAATCACGAGTTCAAAAAAACAATTAAACTTAACGGCTTAGGAAACAAAACTTTACTTGAACGGGTTCAAAAGGTCATTTGTGATTGGTGGAGACTGTTCCTAGTGATCGTAAATGATTGCGAAAATTTGAAGGCGGCTTTTGAACGTCAGAATTCTCCTTTTGTTCAATCGAGATCGAAAATTGCGATTTAAATCGAGAAATCGTGGAGGAGAAATGGCGATACACATTTGTGATCGGGATAGAGATTTCGCGATAGAACAATCGAGATAACAATCAAGCTACATAAATCAGCTAGGACGTAGCTTGAGGCTAGTTGTTATGTCAGAGGAGGTTGGACAGAAGTTTGGAAAGATTCACGGGAGCAATATCGACCAATCACGACTGAGAAAAGCCATCTTGTTGCAGACCGTGAGATGAGTATGTTGTTTCATCAAATAACTAAGATAGTACGCGCGCTCTGATTGGCCGAGAGGAGTGTTTGCATGAGAGTATGTAAACATATATGGTTGTAGCGTCAAGATGCTTTGCTTTTCGCGCTCTAATCACGCAAGCACGAATTTGAAAAAGGTTTTGATGTCAAAACTCAACAAGTTTACTTTATTTACCCATTCCTTCTTCGGCTGAAACTTGGAAAATCGTTACAAAGAAGGTGTGTCAATTTTTTTTCGCTTAAGCTGACATTTTAAGCGAGAAAAACCCGTATTTTGGAGGCATCTTTTTTGCAAAACAAAGACTGATTACGCGTACAAGCTTCGTGTACAAGACTTCGCAACTGGTAAGAATTTCTCTTTTAATCAATGCGCTAAACAACGTTTTCTATTGCTTAAATGTCGTCTTCTTGGCAACCGCGCGCTCGGGCTAGAGTCACGCGTGAGGACGGGGAGCACTGCGTGACTCCAGTCCGAGCGGCTGAGAAGGAGACTAGTTGTTATGGGGATTTTGTTAATTTGCAAATGGAGCACGACTTACTAAATTTTTCAAACGAAAGCCGAGGCATCTTTAGTTAGCTCCTTTTTAAAGTACTTATTATTTACTTATTGTCAGACAATTGTTAGTGAGTAATTCATCTGGCGAACAAAGTTATGGCTTTTTTTATTAACTCTCGTTTCTCTTCCTTATGATCATTAATCTCAAAACTTTGCTTCAAATTCTGACAGTTTCCAGAGGTTTTGACACCTTCCAAGTATTACATAACCTTGCATGATGAACCTTCCTTGTATGGATCGTTCCCAGCTGGCTTTCGCGCAGATCCCTTCGCGCATGACAAAAGATAGTCCTCACTGGCGTGTCGTTTGCAGTGGTACACAAGGTCAGCGCACACCTCTGACATCCTTGCTCGCTTGATGTCCTTCTCTCTCATTAGCTGAGCTATTTCTCTCTTAAGTGACAGCTTTACCATGGAGTCACTCGATGCCATGTCGCTGAAAAAAAAAATAGCACCGAGATTTTAGATCTGATTTATACACTCAAACCTAAGCGCGCTCTCCAAAAGTCAGAACTGGCCGGCCAGACCACTCATTTGAGAAAATGAAAGAGTAGTCTCTTCTCTGATACTTACTAAAAGCCATTGTTGCCGTAGTGGTACATACCAGTTAGAAATGTACTGATGATCTGGTTGGAAAGTCCTGACTAACAGTGAAATTCTCCCCAAGACAGTAATTGTATGAAGGGGACAAAGTAAGTTTGACTGTCTGAGATCCTGTCACTTCCAAAGAAAAATAACTACGTACAGTTGAACCTTTCCACAACATACACCCCGTTAGTGGACTTTCGATTGTATTCAACCACCTGTCTAGCGCCACCAACCTTTATTTTAATTTTACATGCAGGCCCAGTATCACTGCGGAATTGTGTTGCTCAACGAGGATCTGGCTCGGGCACTAGGTGTGAACATAGTGTAAAGATACTTCTACACTTGGTACCAGGGCATGGTGCCCGAGTACGTCACTCGCTCCGTCCTATCGCTTTTCATATGCAGCAGTTCTCCCCACCGTAGAATTCAGGCAAAGTGCCGATGTCCATGACATGGTTGAGACATTGTACTCGGGCACTAAACTGGGCGTGTGCACACGTTACACGCTCGTAGTTATTCAGATCCAGGAATTTTGAAGAAAACGAACGGGTAACAAGTAGAATTTCAAAAAAATATTGGAATAAATTATGTTTAAACCTTCAAGGTTGTCTAGAATCTTATTACTACAAAAGCCGAGAATTATAACTAAAACTGAGTTATCAAGAAAAGAAAAATGATTTTAATGAAATCAAATAACTCTATGTTTAGCTTTTATCATAAAATACTTCCAATAAATTTACTCAGCTTTTTTTTGGAAACGGTTTCCACTAAATAAATAGCTATTATTTACTCGTCAGGCACCTGCTGTCATGTAAAACGGAACCAATTAAAATATAAAGATATGGGATGGCATCGACAAAAATACAAAAGTCAAGTGTCAAGTCTGTTTCTCTTTTTAAAAAAAGCATACTAAAGGACACATTTTCAACCTAGAAACGTTAACAGCAGTGGAAACTTCGAAAGTTGAAAAACCGAGGAAGAGTCTTTTGAAGCGTCTCGGACTGGTTTTCTTTCTGCCCATATCTTTAAACAAAAGTCAATAGATGCTTTTATACCACCGTCCTGTACCCTTCAAGGAATTCATTACTCCACATTAATGCTAATTCATCATGTGCAAATTAGCAAACACTGGCTCAAAAACAGTGAACGGACCAGACCCAGTTGGTATCAAACAACGACCACACCTAACTATATCTGTTTAGATATTTTCATGGGAAAGTTAATTTGAGATTAACTTCCTAACCAGCAAAAAAAAACTTGGAAAAAGCAATCTTAAAAGAAATTGTAATGATTTTAATTGAGATAACTTCGATTAAACTTTCTATTTGACGCGTTTAGCCTTCAGTTTCGGGCCTGTTGATCAAGAATTCACGGAGCAGAAAACAATGACTTTGCAAACAAAAAAAGCTTTCCAACTTCATTTTGCCACAACGCGAATAAGTAAGTTTGTAAGTTTCCTTTATAAGTTCGTCCCATTACAATCCGTTTTCTTATCCATCCCATTATTATTATTTTTTCGAGATTTAGAACACTTTATCGGCCAGAAACAATAGCTTTCTATTTTGGCTGTTCAAGTCTCGAAATCATGTTAAAAAAGTCATGAGCCCCGAGCGAGACCAACCCTTTTCAACAAACAGCTAGCCAATTTTTGGCACTACCCGGATAAAATTCTTCATGCGGTACGCGGTTACATAAAAGAAAACAAAACTGCCCTCAAGAAAGCTTGTGCTTTTTTTATATTATACCCGATAGAATATCAAAACGTTCCTCTCGTTCAGTTGTCATAATTTCCAATCTTTCACCTGTCCTTTACTCTTACAATATTAACAACATTTATCTTAAGCTTTTACATAACATTTTGCTTTCTGATAACGGTTGAAACAACCCAGTCGTTAAATAGCAATTAAGTGCAAATGATGCCTTTTAATATCCAGTCGAGCGTGTATTTAAATCGATCAGTTAAAACAACTACTCGAAACTACAAAGCTGAAAAAAATTTCCTGGATTAAAAAAAAAATAACCATATTTTCTTACCTGTTTCTCGACTAAACCTCTTCTTTCTTCGCCAAAATTAGGTAAGTTCTTTCCGTCCTTATGGTCTCCTGTTCCGCCGTGAATGTCGAAAGATACAGTACAGTGGAATTTTTTTTCTTAGCTTGTCAATCATCCTTCTGAAAGCACTTTTCTAATTGGCTATCGGCGTTCGTAAAGCAGCTAAAACATTCCCATGATTCTTCAGGTTCAACTCTGCGGGCATTCCAATGCTATTAAAGTCTCACCGCTGAGTATTTTCAAGTAACACTGCACGAAAAATTTGATTAATTAACACCAAATTTACTCAGCGAAAATTTGGTGCAAAAAAAATTAACTAAGGTTAAATAAAGAGCAAAGATGATAAATACCGTATTTGCCCTGAAATTTGCAACCCCATGTAAACTAGCAAGCAAATGCAGTATTTACCATATTTGCTTTCGATTTCCCCCTAGTTTGCACTTTTTTGCACCATATTTGCACCGAGTAAATTTGTGTAAATCCAATTTTTCGTGCTGTGTAACAAAGGTGGGTGAGCTTCATTTATCTTACTAATTAATGGTAGTAAAATAACTGGGAGTGAAGATGAGCGAAGTTTGACTAGAGTAAATTAGTAAATAACTTGAATGACTTAAATGAATTAATGAATAGGTAAGTGACTGTAATAAGTAAGTGAGAGAGTGGACGAATGAATTGAAAGAATGGATGAAAAAGTTAAATTAAAATGAGCGAAAAAATTAAATTAAATGAGCGAATGAACGAACGAAATGAATACGCCTTAATTGGGCGCAGTAACAGGCGCATGTATCCGAGGGAATATGAATATTTGGGGGGTTGTAGGGGAGAGAGGGGAAAGGTAGGGTGGGCTTAATATTCCGCCCAACCATCCGGGTAGTGCTGCAAATTTATAGGCAAAAGCACAATGGAAGAGTTGTTAGCCAATGAGAAAGAGTCTGACGTTTTGGTTTAACCAATCGTGACGAGTTTCTTCTCCTTGAATACTTCATGTAAGAAAAACAAAATGGTTCTTACTCATTGCTATGTTTGAATGATTTATAATATTCAATCAAAGGGTGTATTTAAAGAAATATAATTATAAAAAATCCGGTGGCGCTTCTTGCACTGATTTAAACAACGCATTGGTCGTTGGTGAAAAGCTCTCTGATAATTTTCTAACAGTACGGTTTATTCAGCAATTGCACTGATAACTTCAAACCACCGGTTTAAACAAATGATAACCAGACAACAACTTTAATCCATTTTTTCTTTTAACAGACAGACAAGTAGTTATTTTTGAAAATTGTTTTGAGCGCAAACTATTAGATAAAAAAGAATTGAGCGCGCTTTCACATAAGGGAGATACTATGTCATCTATGTGCAAAAAAGCCAGCTGGGTAGATCAGACTGACCGTTCACTCTATGGTTGATTTCCGACCTGACTTTTTACCTTGGGTTTGGACTGAAATAATTAAAACTTAAAACAACAACAAGAGCCAACACATCGCAAAAGGTAGGGTTCATTCCCCATCAAGCCCAAAGTTGTTCTTGTTGTTTATCAAATTCTTAGGCGGTTGATGATTTAACTGCGCAGATCACGTACACTTTCCTATGTCTTACATATTCACAATTTTATCTAGTATCAGCATAGTAGTTCCTAACTAATTTTAAGAAAGTACTTCATCAACAAATAGCACGGATACTGTATGAAGCTTCTTTGGCTCTAATAGGAGCTATAAAACACAACGTAAACAGTAAAAATAAGACTTAACAATGATTATTTATTTGTCAGCGTATTTATGCTAACAATAACGTTACAGATTTGAGAAGGAGACAAATAAACAATAAAATTGTTGTGCAGCTTTTGTGTAAAGCAAACAATAATCAGAATAATTGTGCATATGTTTGGCATGACTCAAGGACTTTTGAAACTAAAAAATGTTTATTCACAAGCACGTTTACGTCACTAACGTAGGGAAGTAGAATTAATGAAATGTTACACGAGACGATTCGCAACGACGATTTTTAGAGTAACACAGCGTTGAAACATTGTTGGGACATTGTTTCAAGTAGTTAAACATTGTTCCACCATTGCAACACTGTGCTGCGCTAAAAATGGTCGTTGCGAATCGTCCCGTGTAATATCACCTAAAAACTACAGCGCATCAATTCACTAACGGGATGATTCAATTCAGCGCCTCGATAACCAGACACGTCTAGGGAGCTTTATCAAACCGTAAGCATGGTTTATTTTTTATTTCAGCCTGCCCCACTGACGTTGTTTTTGCCTTGGTAAGCGTTGGTAGTTTGCTACACAGCCGTTTTTGGTGTCGTCACGCAACGCTCCTCCCCACAAGGAGCGTTGTGTGACGACACTAAAAACGGCTGTGCAGCAGACTACTGCGAGGGAGGCTAGTTTTATTTCATTCTAGGTATTCGAGTACGAACCTCTGGAGCTAGGGTACACTAAGGTAAAAACCAGTCGATAAAATACAGAGCACGGTGGTCATTTTAACGTTACAATGAAACCATTAATCCAATGCAGGAGCCTATTGATAGGCTCCTGACCAATGTAGCCTGATCAAACCTACACATGAAAATAACACCCTAGAAGAGTCAGGAAAGGCGCTGCTTACTAAGTCACAATCAAACCACAAAATAGAAAAGCGATGTTCCATAACACAACAATTTAACAGGGAGCGCGATACTGAGGACTCGACGACGCGAAGGCAACGCAGGGGCGGATCCAGGATTTTTTTTAGAAGGGGGTGCACTCGTCTCTTGCTGTACTTCAACACTAATAAACCACATAGTTTTTTTTCGCAGAATACCAGTTGTATTAGAAAACCGCAGGTCATCTTTAGGGGGGGCAAGATCCGCCCCTGCAACGGCGAGAACGTAAAAAACAACAAAAGGTGTAGTAGGCAAAACAACAACTTTGCACATGCATCTCACTATTTTGGACATTTCTTTGCCGTTTTTGCACGACTACAAAGAGAAATTGCCTAATTTTACTTTTTAGGGAGGACGTAAACAAGCGACGACGATACTTTATTCTCTTTCTGAAACTTGAATATGGTTCTTAGAAATTCAACTCCAGGACGGTTCACCTACATTTGACAAAGTGAGTTGGAACAATCGCGATAAAGACCGAAAGAACGCAAATTCATTTTTGAAGCGACGGCTTCGCTGCAGTCGCGTCGTCCGATCGTAAAGTCCCTATTAACGTGGAAGTCACTCCTTTAGGGACCAGTCATAATTTAAGTTGGAGGGGAGGGGGGGAGGATTGGGTTCTTCAATTTTTTTTGGATGGAGTATGGGGTTCCTTAAAATGCCAAAAGATGACCTTGGGGGGTCTTCAAGTTTCTTTTAAGTAGCATCCCTACTGAGCAGCATGATGTTTGAGTATTAAAGGACCTGATTTTGATTCAGTTTTACACAAAGTCCTATATTCTGTAATACTAAAACAATTTAATCAGCATTTTTACAAAAAGATTTAATGGTCAAATAGTAGGTGCATCAACACAGCATCCATTATTGTGTAACACTGAAACAATTTCATCGGCATTTTAACAAATGATTACATGCATGAAGTCATGTTATGCAATCTCACTATCCGAATCATTATTTGTAGATGAGGTTGATGCGGACTCACTGTCTGTGTCACCGTCAAGTTTTTCGCTATTAGAGCATGTACTGCTCATATAAAAAGCAGTAAGCTTTGGCTGATTATCTTCTTTCTTCCTTGAAGCGGTCCTGTCGGCCTCTCACCTTTCGATGGCTTGTCTTATCTCAATTATAACACAATCACTGATATATCCTTGCTCTATAAGCTGTTTGAGAGGCTCTAGGTGAAATCTCTTTCTCAGTTTAGTGTGAAGTGCTTCTCTGTTGTTAGTTGGCACATTCGGAAGTGACAGTGAGTAAGAACGGTAAAGTAAAGAAAATGTTATTTGTTATTACCATTTGGGTATTATGTATAAGAAAGGGGGGCCCTTAAATCTTTTAACATGATTGAAGGGGGGGGGGTACCTAAAAAACATGGGTGCTATTAGTGGGGGTCTGGAAAAAATTTGGAATAAAAAACAATTTCTCCTCCACCCCCCAACTTAAATTATGACTGGTCCCTTAATGGCATGTCCTTTCTGAGGTGACTGTGAGTTTGTCGGCTAGGTGGTCCCCAGACCCCCAGCTTCCTTGATTCAAAAACCCCAAGGCGCTCGTCCTAGTCCTTCTCTCACGCCGAAATGTTTTTTCCTGACCGAAGTGTCGACTGAACTGCCTTCCGAAGTGAGCAGAAGTGAACATTGCAAGCATTTGCAAATAATTTTGCTAGTTTTTTGAGATGAACTCTGTGATTGTTGACTCCTAGTGGTTTTAACACATCCTTTTAACATGAGAGATACTAGCTAGCAAAATAGAAACATGCCTTCTGGAGACACCAGGAAGGATTTCTTGGTTGCTACCACCGGTAATTATTTTGGAATTCAGAGTTCTGATAGCGTGTTGGATGATGTTCGTTCCTCGAAAGAGCTCAACATTTTCCTAGACGATGGCAATTCGCCTGTCTTAGCTGCGAAATACGACACACACCAAGGACACAAAAGCATCAAACTATCGAACAATGTGGAACCAAGCGACACAGCGGAGAAAGTTTTGGTCTTCTTCAAACTGCAACCCAAAGCGATTACACCTGACAACATTCATCAAAATGTCTTCGTTTCCTCGATGCTCTCTTCCCCCGTGAATACACTGTATCATTCTGTTCAGAAGGTATTTGCTCCTTTGTTGTTAAAGGATGAGAAATGGAGCCGAAATTTTGATCCGAAATTACAAAGTCTGCTAAGTGAGCTTGAGGCCGGTTTGGGAAGTGTAGTCCGAAAACAAGACAGCTCCTTGTCGCGAGCCGCTAAGCTAGGTGATGAAGACAATGTTGGCGGGATTTTGACCCCGCAAGATGAGTTTCAGTATTGGTCAGATGCGTCTGTATCAGGGTATGATTTATCTGAAAGGGAAAGAGCATCATTTTTTCAAGAGAGTTTTCAGAAAGGTAAGACTCTAGGACATAAATTTTAATACAAACCAGTATGCTGGTTTATATTGTCGTCCATGGCAACTAGAAACCTATAGATTTTATACTACCCGGCGTGTTCAATCGATAAAATCGCTAATCGATAGTATCCGATTAAAATCGATACAATCGATTGGTTGTATGGGAAATCAATAAAAATCGATACAAGGATTTCATGTGAATAATCGATTATTGATTTTTCAATTATCTTTACCGATTCCATCATAACTACTGTAAAATTCCGAAAATAAGCCCTGGGGCTTATAGTTTTCAAAGGTCCTTTTCTGAGGGGCTTATTTTTGGAGTGGCTTGTATTCGGAGGGGCTTATCTATGGAGGGAAATTTGCCTTTCAAAATCGATTGGGCTAGCCTTACAGTTGGAAGTAAATTTACCGTTTTTGCTTTTTTTACTTTGTAGTTGAGGGCAATTTTCCAAGTAGAATACAAGTACAATACAAGTCCAATACAAGTCCAATATTTGGAGGGGTGATTTAACGGAGGGTTTTTTGCGTTACCAGTTTGCAGGGCTTATATTTGGAGGGGCTTATTCATGGAGGGGCTTATTTTTGGAATTTTACGGTATAACAAAATTCTCAAATCTGATTGGCTATCAACTATCCTGATTTCAGCGCTAATAGGACAGTGTAAAAGGACAGTATGCATCATGCCTAAGTAATAATTGGTCAGTATGTGCCATTGCATGCATGCCAACAAAAAACTCTTGGAATTTCTTGTGTTTTAATTAATTTAAAAGCCTAAAATATCACAAAGTTTGTTATACTTGTGATAAATTGGTAACAGAACTTTGTGTTGTCCAATTTGGTCTGTAATCATACAAGTGATCAGCAAAATCGGACAACCGTGTCGTATGATTACAGACCGAATTGGACTCAACTCAGTCCTATTACCAATAAAATAATATTGGTTAAATATTATAAAGCTAATCAGCTCACATAGCATCAAAAAGAAAACCAACAAAAGATTTAAATAGGATGTAAAAACAACTCAGAACTGAACAACTTCCTTCAAAGGTTTGTCTACAAAAATTGCTGAATCTTTTTTTGTATACTATATTTGTATAAAAAATTTTCAATAATGATAAATCAATGTAGAGATTAACTTAGTTATTTTGGCTTCTCTTGCGCCTTTGAAATCTATTTAGGAACAATCAAACCTTGCAGTATTGGGTTGTAGACACAGCGTTACTTTGTGTCAATCGATTCTATAACTATTGATAAATGCAATAAAATTGATAAACTAAGACTTCACGTGAGTATCGATTTCTATCAATAATTGATTTAAAACGTCGACATAGATTGATAGTTGATAATTTATCGATTGAACACGCCAGTATACTAAGATGGTTAAATTGAAAGGGTAATTTTTCATTGTTTTAAGTGGGTAAATAATTTCCCTAATATTGTCATTAATTTGTTTTGAGAGAAATGTTTTTGTGATCACTGGTAAATGATAATGATATTGAAACAAAGGAAAAGGTAATTAAACAAAAAAATAACAAAAAATGGGGCTGTGAAAAAAAGTAGAAAACTTTAATACATAATTGAGGCATCATCTGCCATTTTGTGGTACATGGGTAATGTTATGTGCCTTTTGTTCAAAGTGAAATCAATACCTTTCCAATTCTCATTAGGTATTTAGAAAATAATGCAGAGACCTGATAAACCTTTCTTTGCAGGGAATGTATCTCAAGATTTTTCTAACCTTGATGGCCTGGACCTTGATGACACGTTGGAACTTCTGGAGTCCACTCAAGATTCTCTTGATGAGATCTGGAAACAGGAAGATCACAAGCCTTATTCTGAGGCACGCATGAAGCATCTTCTGGATGTCATGGCTGGTGCTCTTGGCCGCTACGTCCAACGGAAGCTTGCAGCACTAGACATTTGGCATGACTCATTTCAACAGGTTAGTCCTAAAAGTTTGCAGGATGTTTGTCACATGAACCTAGTTTATTGACCTTATCTCTCATGTGTCTCCTGTAGCTCAAGTGGTAGAGCATCTCATGGTTTGTTCAATCTTGAAAAGGCCTTGAATTTAAGTAGTCGTATTGAAAAGTCCTTCAGTTTGGTTAAGGTCCTTGAAAAGCAGTTGATTTCTTTACTAGCTCTTAAAAAGTCCTTGAAATTCACAACCTTTTCTCTGCCAGACAGCATTTTCTTTAAAATTACATTATTTTGCTGAGGAAAATTTTGCTCATCCTTGGTGTAAGATCCTATAAAACTCACGGGCAACATAAAAACATTTTTGTGCATGAACATTATTTTATGTCTGTTTCTTTATTTAAAGTGCCTTTTTTGTACCTCAGATGCAATTGTTAGTCATACCCAGTCTTGTTGTGGAAAGTAGTATTATTATTAAATAATTTGATCAACAATGGCTGAAGAAGTTAAAATCTTTAATAAATGACTCTGTGACATGTTTTAGCTAACAGGGTGATCAATGGGGGTTAAAGAATGCAGATTTATTAAATAAATCTTAGTCCTTGAAAACTGTAATTTGTCATTGAAAAATCCTTGAAAAGTCCTTGAAATTTGTTTGTCTGAATTTGTACAAACCATGAGTCTGGACAAGTAACCAGAGAGTCATGTGTTCGACTCCTTTTAGGAGCACTCTGATTTTTTCTTTTGTGCCGTTGTGTCACTGACTGAAAAATAATCTTTCTCAGGTTAAAGATGCCATGCGTAAGGGTATTACTGTGTGTGAAAGATGGGTGTCTACTTGCGAGACACTCACTTCACAGTATTGGAAACGGTTCCCTTCACACCCATGGAGGGGTGAAAAATTTACTCCAGAAAATTTGTCACAATTAGCTACGAGACTGGAAGAGGTAATACATCTTTAGTATCTTAAGTTGAAAACAGTTTCTTCAAGTAATGTTATTTATAGAGTGTATGATATAAATATAATCTTTATGTGTAATGGCATGATACATGTCCCCTATGTGGATGTCAAGAATAACGAGTATAAAGCCATTCTGAAAATAGTGGTGAATGTCTTGAACTCACTGCAAGTTCTTGCCCAGCAGGTCCATTGGGCGAAGTGTTCTCACAACTGAGAAATATAGTACATGTATTTTTTTAAGGAAAAACGTTATGAAAACTAATTAACTTAACTTTATTATTCCATCGCTCATATAGTACAAACTCAGTAAAGCTAAAGCCGGGGGCTTATACGGCCTGTGGTCAGAATGACAGAAACTATTTTATATAGAAATGAAGACTGTAGGCTAAACTACAAAACTAAAAACAAGATACAAAACTGTAATTAAATAAGTTTACATGCATGCAGTCCTATAACAGAGACAGAACTAGTGACAAATAAACTAACAATAAACTATGAGAATCCTGCGCTAGTTCAATTCAGGCTTAAAAAGTGAAGTTTTAGTTTCTTTTTAAAGTTAGTAGTGGTAAGGCTGTCACGGACAGTATCAAAATTAATGTCTTCTTGAGGTCTAAGAAAATTCCAACAGTGCCTTCATATATATTGTTTACAAATTCAAGGATAGTCATGGTTGTAGAATGATGTGGTCTGAAGCCATATTGATGGTGACTAAGAATGTCAAATTAAGTAATAAAAGTAATAAAAAAGTAATAAAAGTAATAAAAAATAATAATATAATAAAAAATGAACAAATAAAAGTGATAAAGTAAAAAGTATAGTGTAGCAAAATTAAATAAAACAGAATTTATATTGTTCAGGTACTGACTTTGAGGACAGTACATGAGCAACTAGTCCGTCTGCTGTCAACGACAGAGAGACAACTACTGCGGATGTCAGAAGCATTTTCTCCTTTCTCTGGCCTCAATGCACTGCATCATAACCCATATACTGAGCCTTTGTGGAGAGCAGCTGTAACGCAATATGAGAGAGGAATGGCTCCTGCCGAGCAGAAGATAGCAGGCAAACTGAGGCAGCAGCTCAGTGACTTGTCTGCCAAGTCACATCAGGTACATGTGAAATTTTACTACTGATAGTCAAATTTTAACCTGTATTAGACAGTCGCCCTTGGGGTATGGCCGACTGACTGCTAAATACATGTCTATGGTTTAATACGAGTTTGACAAACCTACATGTAAAAGTTATTATGAAATTAAAGGTGATAAAAAAGTTGAAAATCCATCACACGCCAAATTCACCTCAAAGTGTTTCTAGTCCTCTTCTTGTGCCAAAACAGAGGAATTAGAGATCACTGAAAGCCAAGAACAGTTTATCTATTGTTCATTTATCTGACAAATTGTCCTATGTTTGTAATGTTTGACTTTTTTAGAAACTTTAAGTAGCTGGCTGATTTAACTCCAGTTCTAGTAGCCTGCTAAAAAAGCCGGCTACTAATGACAGCCCTGCTCAATACTGGTTTGACTGTAAAACAGTGGCAGGTGTAGCTGTATTTTTTGTTTCAAAGTTCATATTTAGCCTTGGTTTAAATTATTTGTTTTCCGTCTGCTTTGGGTGTAGTAATGACATTTCTGTGTGATAAAGGGTTTGAAAGAAAGGGAAATAAAATTTGAACCAGTGACCAGTGTAAGAACAATTGGACAAACATTATTATGTTACATTATTATGTTACATTGTTCTCTGGTTGTTTTTGTTTGGATAGCACTACCACCAGACACAGCAAATCACTAATCCACTTGATAAGTATTAGGGACACCATTGCATTATCCACTGGATAAGGGATGGGCACCTATATGTCGGCAGGACCCATGTATTGTAGGTCTCTTATCATCATCATCATCATCATCATCATCATCATCATCATCATCATCATCATCATCATCATCATCATCATCATCATCATCATCATCATCATCATCATCGTCATCGTCATCATCATCATCATCATCATTATCATCATCAGCGTCATCATCATCATCATCATCATCATCGTCAGCGTCATCATCATCATCATCATCATCATCATCATCATCATCATCATCATCATCATCATCATCATCATCATCATCATCATCGTCACTAGATGACTGTTTCGCTGTACACTTAGGCCTTTAGTAAAAGATTATTTTGCTGCATCAATTTTTGTACACTGGTAGGAAGGCATCCACTGAACTGTTATAAAGTAGTCAATGCTTTTTGGCCCAGACCGGGTCTTGAACACATTGGTTAAACATTAGTGATTCCATGGTTTGATGATTTTACACTGCTTCTACTAGCAAGAGAAAAACAATTTTTTTATCACTCCCAGATACATAAAATAATTATTATTAATAGTACATGTTAAGTTTAGTACATGTTCATTACATCTGTCCTGATCATCACCTATTATGACATAATTTATTTTTTATTGTTTTATGTTAGCTTGGTAATTTTTTTCTTTTTACCTAATATATATATTTATGTGCATAATAATTAATTATTATTTTTGTGTTACCTTAGCTTTTGAGGGAATTTCAGAGGTATAAGGAGCTTGTCAAAAGGCCAAGTATTAGCAAGGAACTGTCTCCAGAGAGGTATTAAGCTTAAAATAGAACTTTCTGAATTTTTTCTTTTGTCTGTTGCTGTCACAGCTTCAACCCATCTTTGTGTCATTTGTCGCCATTCCTCAGGGCTGTCTAAAAGCTTTTAAGTAGCAGGCCAGTAGTGAATAGTAAGCGGAACTCACACCAAAGGCACAAGTTCTTGAGGGCGGAGGCATCTAGGGACATTTTGAAATTAAGAGTCTCCAGGGGTTTTTGAGAGGTGTTTGTTGTTTCGTCAGAATACATGCAAGACTGGGAACAATGCTGTCAAAATGTCCCAGATGTTTCGCGACATCACACGGTTCAAACGTTTCACAGATCTAAACCTGTTTACTTGTGAATATGGGTTCAATGTCATTCATAAAAACTGGGGAACGGATGCTTAACAATTTTATTTGACAGTGTTTATAAATTTTTTGTTAGCTGAGTTATGGTTGAAGGAGATGAAAGTAGCTGGCTGAGGATGACTAACCAGCCGGCAGTTTTGGCTGGCTACGAGCCCTAATTGACAGCCCTGTGTATGCTGTCCTATGTGGCTGTTTCAAGGCCATGTCGCTTGTCCAAATTTTACCCTAATAGGGCCTATTAACTGTCTTCAATTGTTTTCCTGATTTTCCTTTCTTTTTCAGAGAGACTTTGCTTGGTCAGTTGACTGTTTATATCAAAGGAATCCGAGATGACTTTATCACCAAAACGCAGAATTCCTACTCAGGAAATAAAGATGGTAGTGGTCCGCCAAAGGGACGAAACATGCCTGAGATTGTTAATAACATTGTGTGGGTCAGACAGCTAGATTCAAAGGTATGGTTTCAAACCATTACGGTCAACATTATTTTCCTTACATTTACTATGACATGTATTTTTCTTCTCCCTGGTATTGCAGTGTTACACAATGTTTCATGTGCGTTTTATGCCATATGTCATAATTGCAGGATCTAATTTTCATGAATTTTGTAGACTTTTCAATCATAATAAAGATCTTTAAAAATTTGATCTTTTAAATAAACCTCTGTGAAAATCAGGTGCCTTTATAATTATTTAGTCCTTTAAAAACACTAAGTCTGTTGCATAAAATGGAAATTTATAAAATTTGTTCTTTGATTTAAATACCTCTTGGACAAATAACATTATTTCACTTGAACCTCTGACAATTCTCATGGCATGCAGTATAGTGTCATTAATACTAAGACTTGCATCTGTGATGTCATTCATGGTTAGGAATTAATTATTTTCACCTAGTATTTAATACCTCGTTTTAAGTGCAATAACAGTAATTTTGTTTCAGGTAAAAGAGACTCTGAATACTGCAGAAAGCCTGCTAGGAGATTTGTCAGGCTTTAAGGGCTTTAAGAGGGAAGCATCTGATCTGGCTGAAGAACTGCAGTCTTACTGTAAAGATCAGTTCGAGAGCTGGGTCAGCGAAATGATGACAGCGATAGATGATCCTAAACAGCCTCTCAGGTACAGTTTGGGATGTCATTGCTGTAGTATTATGTATGTAGGGTTACAGTATTTAAGGGTTACCTTAATTTTAAGGGTGGAGGCCTACAATACATATGTATATACAGCTGTTTTGAGAAAGGTTGTCAGACGAAATGCGCACGCGACAATCCCGAAAGGTAATATGGGATATGATCAATACACTGTTCGAAAGGACTGAAGCTGTCGAACCTACTTTTGTTGCTTTCCTTTAGTACTCGCAAACATATGTCAGTGGCCTCCCGTACCATTCTTTCAAATTTCTTTGAAGAACAGTGCCCACAAAGCCACCCACAATACCTTTCGGGATTGTCACGTGTACTTTTTCCGACAACGTTTCTCGAAATAGCTGTATATACATAATTATATACATATGTGTGTCAGTGATAAACCACTTGCTTGTCAAAAACAAAATGATATTATTCTAATGTTTTTTCCACAAACTAAGAGGGAAGAGCAACTAGTGATTTTGGCAAGATGACTCAAATCATTGACAGTCTCATCCAGTACCACCCCAGCAGGGGTATTTTGCGGAATGCTGAACAGCCACTTTCCTCTTTACTTCATACATGCCAACCCTCCCGGATACGACACGAATCTCCCGGTCTCCCGTATGGGTCGCCTTATCTCCTGGATAAAATCATCTCTTTTGCGTTTTTCTGTGCCTTAGTTTGAAATTTAGCCCATTTTTAGCTCAAAACTTGAATTTTTCTTATCCGTAACTGTAGTACGGTTTCTGAGGCATTTTACACCTATTTAGTCACTGACAAAGATTATTTCTGGCATCAAAACGATGATCGTGAATTTGGATAGTATCTACTTCATGTAGGACTTGATATAATGTCCTAAATTTCCGGGGTTGGGGGCTAGTGAAAAACAGAGAGTCTCCTGATTTTAAATCTCTAGAGGTTGGCATCTCTGTTACTTGTGTATGACTCTAAAGTTTAGTTGTGAGGATAAAACTAAGGAATGATATTTCAGTTCAGGTCACCATACACATGACCCGAAATATTTTTGGGCCAATGGTAGTAGTTGTCATTGTTATTATTTTTAGTTCTTCTTTGATTTTTGTATCCTGACTTACAGTATCATTACTGAGGGCTGTCACTATAAGATTTCAAGTTGCTGGATATAGATTGTAGTATGCAATAAATAGGTGGGCAGTTGAACAATTAGAAAGTTGTTTTAGTTCTATTTTCTTTTCTTTTCTTTTTTTTTGTGAAAGTAGCCCTGAGTAATGCTCATTTTAGGTGGGGTAAAGCCCTGCTCCCCTGGCCCTTTTTGACAGCCATAATTGTTACTGAAAACTACCGTGTTACACGAAATTTTCATGACATGTTAATTTGGTGATTTGATGGTTTGCATATTTTGCGACACTTAAATTTTGCAAATATTTTGCAAAAATTTTGGAGTGAGGGTTACTTTAATTTTTTGTTTTTGAGTTAGTCACAGTTAATTTAGCTTTTTATTTAATCAAAACAAAAATGACCTCATACATGGATGTATTTGTTATGGCATTGAAGCCAAAAAAGTGGTGCCAGAGGAACAGCATTACAAGGTCAGTGAATGGACGATTTGAGGGCTATTCAAAAGACGTGCTAGAGGCAGAAAGCAGTTATAGATAGTGATGAGGAGGACCAAGTCATTGCCTGGGATTATTTGAATACATGTATATGAGTTTGTAAACACTTTTATCAGTTGACGGTAATATTATTTTCCTTTATCATTGAGACAATGGGAGTGAATTGATTTTTGTGTCTTGTCATGTTTGCGACACTTATTGTGTGCATCACTAAAATTTCTCAATTCAATTGAGAAATTAAAGTGATGCAAAAAATAAGCGTCAAAATAATTGCAAAATTCAGTAAAGTGTTCCGAAAATTTCATGTACTGTAATAAGGTATCTTATCAGGCTAATACAACTCATAAACTGGGAAATTAACTAACAAGAGACAGAAAGCAGTTATAGATAGTGATGAGGAGGACCAAGTCATTGCCTGGGATTATTTGAATACATGTATATGAGTTTGTAAACACTTTTATCAGTTGACAGTAATATTATTTTCCTTTATCATTGAGACAATGGGAGTGAATTGATTTTTGTGTCTTGTCATGTTTGCGACACTTATTGTGTGCATCACTTAAATTTCTCAATTCAATTGAGAAATTAAAGTGATGCAAAAAATAAGCGTCAAAATAATTGCAAAATTCAGTAAAGTGTTCCGAAAATTTCATGTACTGTTATAAGGTATCTTATCAGGCTAATACAACTCATAAACTGGGAAATTAACTAACAATGATCCTATGATCATTGCTTTGAAGCTTGCAGACCAGTGGTCGTCTGATGGATCTGGATCACAGGGATGGTAAATTAAGAGTGCACTATGGAGACAGACTTGTGACGCTCATGAGAGAAGTCAGGCAGCTGTCAGCTTTGGGCTTTTCTGTCCCAGCAAAGATTCAGCAGACGGCAAGCACGGCGAACAAGTTCTACAGGCATGGAATGATCTTGAAACAGGTGCAGTTTTATTTTAGCAACTGTAAACCTTGAAAACAATCCTGGAAGGTGTGTGTAACTTTTTATGGTCTGTAATAATAACTTGCGTCATATACACTAAATATTAAGAGTCAACTGTCCTCTGTAGGGACAGACTTGATATCTTGAAGTTCACTGATTGTAAAACTTCAATATTCATCATGTGAATGCACAAATCATGGAATGTGTTCATTACCTTTTGATCCGAAAAGTCAAGAAAAGTCATGTATTTTAATATATACAGTCGACTCTCGATAACTCGAACCTTCGCTAACTCGAACCTCGCGCTAACTCGAACCAAAATCGATTTCCCCTGGATTTCCGTCATACATTCACTGTAATTTTACCTTCCGTAACTCGAACCCTCGATAACTCGAACTCCCGCTAACTTGAACCAATTTTCGTTTCCCCTCAGGTCATTTTCTATATAATTTTACCCCAATAACTTGAACGATGTTTTGAGCCCTTAAAAAGTCGGGAAAAAAGTTGTCTACTGGCGTCCGAAACATTGAATTTTCGATTTCCTATTGACGTGTTGTAGGAGTATAGTTTACTAGTGGAGGCTGATATTGATTGTCACAGGCTAACGTGAAGCAGCTTTACTTCTCAAAACAGTAAAACGCATGCTCTATTTAGGCTATGGTTTGTTACGTTACGTTCTGATTTATAATCTAGAAGTATCTTTTAATTTTCACTTGACATTTCTACAGTTAAATGTGATTAAAATGTTCACTGTGCAGTAAAAACAACTTACTGTTTTTTACCTTACTCTCGGCTATTTTTTTCGAGCTCGCGATAACTAGAACTCCCGATAACTCAAACTTTTTTCGATTTGCCTTGAAGGTTCGAGTTATCGGGAGTTGACTGTACATGTATGTACATGAGCCAGCTGATGATGCTAAAGTATGAAAGTACCCTGTAGGAAGTCCCGGAGGAAGTATGCGTAAATTCCTATATGTTGTTAGACTGCAATGCTGTCTGTATTTTTGTGTATTCAAGTATGTGCAAGCAATCAAACAAAAGGGTTTTTTTACTCTCCACATAGGAAGCTCGCATGCTTTGCGTGTGTGAGACTCTTAAGCTACACTATGTTGTTGGTAAATGTTTTTATAATCACACCATGATGGTGGAGTGTTAGGTGAGCCAATCCCTTAGTATGTCAAATGGTATTTAAATGATACAGTGAGGCTTACTCTTTTAGGCAGAGATGCTCCACTTAGCATTTTCAGTTACCATAGATGAGTTTGATTTTCTGAGATAAAGTTGTAACTCTGTTCCTTTGTTTTTTTTTTTTTTTTTAAGGTTGCACATTTCTACAACACAGTAGACCAACAGATGATTCCAAGCCAGAAGCCTATGATGTTAGACTCTGCACTGGCATTTGAACGTCTTGTTAAAAACCCCAAGGCTGGGTCTAAAGAAGGAGGAGGAAAGACACAGGTGACGTGGGATAACCCCCCTGAACTAGAGGCTTACATTGACAAGCTGCAAGCTGCTGCTGATAAGTTGACTTCAGAGAACAGAAGACTCCGTAAGTGCCACCATAACATCAGTGACAAGGTAAAGTATGTTGCTCAGTTTCATGTACACTGTAACTTCAGGGCTCTCCAGAAAATCTGAAGTACAAGGAGGTGAAAAATATTCAGTGGGTGGCATTTGATGAGATCGACTAAAAGGCACATTTTTCAAGTGGCTGAACTGTTTGTAGCTTCCCCCTGTTCATCGAGGGAGCTTAGGGGCCTCCCATGGGAATAAAAATACTTTTGTTTTGGGGTTTCTGTAAATGGCATTATTACAGTGCTTTTTGAGTGGCCAGAGATAGAAGTTTCAGCCATGAAGATGACACTTTAATTTATCCACATTTCCATCAATCAGACAAACGTGTTGGTAACCTAAATAAAATGAAATACAGTGGATTTACAAGTACCTACACCTACATCCATTGCTTTCCTTAAACAAATTTTGTTTGTAGCTGGTGCCTCTGTGTCAACAAGAGGGCAATTTTAGCTGGTCACTAGCACTTCCTAATGGGAACCCTGATTTTTTTTTACTGTTGTATTTAGCTTGGTCATGATTTGCGTATTGTATTTCTTCACATTTCTGCAGTAGGCTTACCACATGTAATACATTATTGTACTTGTGTTCAGCTTGTTGTTGCAATAGATATTACTGTTAATGTGAGAGGCCTTTTCATCCTTACAACATCTGTTTTATTGATCCTTACAGGTGGTGAATCTTTTGAGTGTTGATCTGCTGAGACAGCAACCTCGTTGGAAAGAGGCTCTGGTGTCTCTGAGGGAGACAATGACTTCTCTTGTCCAACAGGTGAGTGGTTTCAGCGATCATTGACCTTCGAGCTTGAGAGGTTTGTGGCTAATGTGATTAGGTCCAAAATGTCCTTCATAGACAGTGGTCAAATAGAGCTCCCGCTGTACATGTACAGAGTGTAGTAGCAATTTCCTATCAAAGACAGACACTATTTGTACATGTAGTTGTCAGGTTTCCTTATTATTTTTATCATTTTGTTACTTTGATAGCATTGTGATGTCTCAGTACGTCTGTGCATGTGTAGTACCATGTACATGTATAGTGCATGTCGGTGCCTGCATTTGTAATAACTACATAGGGTGAGATGAAAACTAGAAAAATAGCATGCTCTTTGGACAAGCTTTTGCTGAAGTTAACTAGCCAGGAGCTGTTTTGCCTTCCCTACTGAACCACGTTTTCACCTTTCTTAGTCCCTGTTGCTAACCCATCACACAACTGGGTATTAAGACATGCTGGCATGATAGGTACATCCACTAGCCCTCGTGGGCTATGGGACAGCACTTTTGTCGTACCCTGTTACACTCAATTTTTTGGCAAGCAGATCATATCCAACTTTACGCATTTTAAATAGGGATTTAAGGCAGACAACATGAAGACATGGAAGATGCACTGGGATAGGCAGTTGTACAAAGCTCTGGAGCATCAGTATCAGATGGGACTTGAAGCATTGAATGAGAATTTACCTGAGATCAAAGTGGAGCTGGTATTCAGGTATAGCTGTAATAGAATCTGATGATTTACTTCTAGAAACCTGTCTATTACAGACAGTATCCATGGACCATTATACATGTACAAATCTACTGATTGATTCAATTCCGCACTGATATAAAAGGACAATTTTTAATGCACAAATCACTTTATGGGTAAATCCTTATGTAATTAGGTTATGCAAAATGCTATACAATTGCAAGTTATAAAATTAGCATTGTTAAGTTATACATGGACAGTAAGATTTTAAACATATAATGATCATTGAAAGATAGCTCTGAAAGACTTTTGTCCATAATGAATACGTGACAGTTAAAAAAATCGATATGCTACTAGTGGCATTCCATGTTTATGTCGTCTGTAAGTTCATCAAGTAAATACCCCGATCATTTTAACATGAAATTGTTTGCGAACACTGTCTTTGTAACTTTTATACCTACATTGTTTGGTTTCTCTTCAAGCTGTCACTTATGGTATTCCAGAATAAGAATACATGAAATAAACTTAAAAACTCACTTGTTGTGGCTTTCATTGCATGGTAAAATCCACAAATCTGTTGCCAATGAATAATTAAAGTTAAATGTGGTTTTCCAATGGTCCAAACTTTTGCGGTCGAAGAGAACTTTTTGTCAAAAATTTCTGCATATGATCAAACAAACACATCCTTAGAGAAATACACGTACTTCTCAGTTACTGTAGTTTTATAAAAGACGCCTTTTTGTTGTCTCTGTAGGCACCAGAAATTGCAGTTTCGTCCCCCACTGGAAGAAATCAGAGCAAAATATTACAGAGAGATGAGGAAGTTCATTTCCATTCCAAATCACTTCCGTGGTGTTGGAGACGACAATAGCATCTTTCCAATAATGATCGACCAGAATTCTGCTGGTTTTATAACTGTTTATAAGAAGGCTGAGGATCTCTTCCAGCGCTTAGTAGATGTGCAGGACCAGTTCAAGGACTGGGTGGTTTTGGGGACTGTGGATCTGGAAAAACTGATTGACACCCACCTTCAGACTGTTCCAGACTGGGAGAGAAACTTCAGAGCAATCAAAGCAAAAGGACGTGAGGCTGAAAAACTACCTCTGTAAGTGATGCCAATACACCCATCCATATTAGTAGTCAAGGCTGTGCTCTAAGGAAAATTGAAGGGAGCCCAGTGCTCTGAAACTGTAAAATCTAGGGTGCCCAGCATATGATTTGTATGAAAATCTGAGATTTTCTAGTCGCCCGAGGGCAAAAGTTAGGCGCCAGGGGTCACCGAGCTCTACTAGAGCACAACCCTGGTAGTTTATTCGCAGATATTTAAGCTTGCATGTTAATTTTAGACTTGTAAAGGGCTTAAACTTCTTTGGAGGAACCTAGAAGCTAATTTGCTAATTTTACTCTCATCAAATTAAAGTTTCTCAAGGGGAAAATTGGGGAGATCTAGAAAAAATTTATTTCAAGCCCTGGACTTAAATGTGACTTGCTTTCATTTCTCCTCTTTCTGAAAAGAAACATTAAAGTTGACTGTATCAGTGTGTCCACATCGCCTGTCAAATCAACAATCGATGACCACATACAGCAACTCTTTGATGCATTGTTGACCTCCCTGAGACGTTCAATCACCAATGATGTGCAGACAATTGACACCTTTCTGTCATCTGCAACAGATGCTTTGTCTACCAGGCCACAGACAGTTGAGGAAATAGGCGTCGCTAATGCTAAGCACTCAGAACTTGCAACAGAGAAGTTACAGGTGATAATTCTTTGCCATGCGGAATAACATCATATTTAGTGTTGGGTATCAACTGAGATTTCATTATAGCTCATTGGAAAATAATCGGTTTGACGCACCCGATGAATCATCCATTATGATCGAAAAAAACTCGTTATTGTGCAAGTCAAATTGCATTTGTGTACATTGTAATATATTTTTAGTGTGTCGGATCTACGACTCGGCCGTGAGTTCAATTCTCGCCTAGAGCTCAGAACGTTTTCTGTGCTGCAGATTTTTGTGGCAGCATTTTGTGTCCAGCCAGATCATTTTGTTAGCGAGAAAATAAAACAAACAAACCAAAGACAACGACAACTGCAACTGACAACAGCAGAAGCCGCATAAAATATGGATTGGTTAGCAACTAAGGACTTGTCAATTACCGACATTCATCATGCAGTTATTACATGGTTATAGGTCTCAACGTCAGTGCAAAAAAGTGTTCTTTTTCTGACAAACCACTAACCCATATTATCACTTCCAGGTTCACCCTTTGTTTGACAAGGCTGAATCTAAGAACAAGCTGTTGCGTTCAGTGGCCGGTGGTGGCGTTGAACAGATTGGTCAACTTCAAGCCAGATGGGATAAGTTTGAACTGATGATGGAGAGTCATGAACTAATGGTCAAGGAGCAGGTGAGCAATCCTACTTTGTACTCATTGGCCACAGTTAAACATCTGAAACTGATTAAAGCTAAGCAAGGCAGTGCAAGCGTAATTTTGCCATTTTTGTACATATTCATTGCACCGTTACCTTACAAGGCGTTTTAAACGTTTTCAGAAACATTCTAATTGTTTGAAAACTGAAATTGAGGAATTGGTTGTAATCCATTTGCCTAAATAATTTTGCTTTGGTGGGAAGACTAACATTGAAAGGAAGGTTATTAATTTGAGAAAAATGAAATGATAAAAAACCCTGTGTGGTGAACATTTTGTTTTTTGATCCTTAAAACTGTGGCTTACTGTACAAGACATTATGTCATTTCTTGATGTAAAGATACGTTCTAAAACGATGTAGTAATTATTTGAATAATCTTTAAAGGTCGAGGTGATGAAAAGTAATGTTGAGTCAAGAGTACATGCCTTCCAGCAAGAACTCGACAAATTCAGTGCTCGGTGGCACCAGTTGAAGCCGCGGGACATTGATGAATACAAAGACAGACAGTCTTGTCTTACAGCAGTCAATTCAATTAATGAAAGAAGAGCGGAATTTGGTGAACTGGAGGAGACAATGAAAAAGCTCATGTAAGTATGCAATAGGAAAAAAAATCCTGCAGATGCATAGATTGTAGTAGTAGAGTAAACAACCAATTGTCCGTAATTTGCTTATCAGTGTTATTAATAAACTGTGGGGAAAGTAACCTTTGTTGGGAGAGAGACATTTTGACAGTTCAGGCAGTTTTGACTCGACTGTGAGCGGTCTCTCTTTTTTGGCAAATTTAGTGAGGGGAGTGCACGCGCGCGCGCGTCGAGTAGCGAAGCCGCGAGACGCGAGACGCGAGAAACGAGCGCGGCAGCCCGAGAAGAAAAATTACAGACTGTTCCCATAGCCAGAGCAAATGAATTTTGCGTACGCCTCACAAGGCAAAAATACGATTGACGGATGGTTAAATCACAAAGGCGTATATGATTCACTTGGCAGAGCCGTATTTTTAGTGTACTGTCAAAACGTAGGTCTCCCCTTAATGTTCACAATAAGTACAGAATGTCAGGGTTGTCATTAAGAGCCGGGGGCCGGGGATTTTCCCCAGCTACTAAGAGAGTGGCCCCTGGCTACTTTTATTGGAAAATAGAAGAAAAATAGAACCAAAAGAAATCCTTAGCTGTTTCATTCCCTGCCTACTTGTTGTATTTACCCGGCAACTTGAAATCTTAGTGACAACCCTGGGATGTAGATCAAAATTAAAGTAAGCTGTTGTACAGGGATATTTTTCATTGTTGCAATGTGGCGTACTTTGCAATAAAAGGAAACGGTACTTGACGTCTTAACATTTCTCTTCAGCTTTGACTGCCAGCATTTTGGTGTAGCAGAACCACAGTTTTCAGCTGCAGAAGAACTCAAGGCAGACATCACTTATCATGAATCCATGTGGGGATTGTATGAGGAGTTCAGTACTGGACTTGATGAACTTGCTAAGGAAGATTGGATATCATTCAGGTGCCATTATATTACTGAATTCTCACTTGTACGTTTGAATTAAGTTTGTGGCTTTTGTCTTTTTATACGCACACCCAGGAACAATTATTAAGTGACTTTACCCTCGTATAAGAGCTTTCCATGATAAAAGGCCTTTTTTCTGAGGCCTCGAAAGTTTCCTTTGCTCATTGAGTACGCATTGTTTTTCCCCTCCCGAATTGTCCATAACCTTTGTTTTTATTTCTCCTGGGTATTATAGTCGCCCCCGGGAAAACACAATGCTTATGCAAACAAGATAAAGTTATACATGTATTATGGGAAATGCGTAAATGGTTAATGTAGCATGGCTCGTACGCTCTGTGGCTATGCATCCTTTGATACCCTTGCAATATTCAAATGTGCACCTAAAAGCTCTTCAGCAAGAACTTCTTGTGGTTCTCTGTTGTGTGTTATCAGATGTTTCCAAACAAAGCTTTTACAAATAACAGCATGTAAATTGCATGAGAGAAAAAGGAAAGTTTTGCAAACGTTTTTGCATTTAACACAGTTAGGTCAGGTTTGGCTAGATTAGCATTATAGCTATTAGCAGGACATAAAATTGTAAACTTTATATTTCTTTAAATAAAATTGTTGTTGTTGTTGTTGTTGTTCCCAACATGTGGAATGCCATAAACAACTTCACCAGTTTTAGCTAAATTTGGACTTTAAAGTTTGTACTAACTAATTTTTGTCCAATTGACACTTCCTTTAGCTGGTGATTTTTAATTACTGATAGTGGCTGTCTTTTTTTATATCAGGGGAAATCTCTATCGCTTTGATGATCTCCTGACAGCCTGGTCAGAGAAATTAAGAGCAAAGGAACCAACCAGCATGACCGTTAGATTACAGAAAGAGGTTGACAAATACAAGGTATGTTTACTCTTAATTTTATGTATTTAAAGTTGAAACCGACCAACTGTGCTATCATAAAGTAAGAGAATTTGAGGAAATAATTGGAGTACTGTGCACCGGAGTTATGACAGTTGCTCCCGAAGTCTTTGAAGTACATGTATGTAGAGAGAGTCACTTACTCTTTGTGTGTCTTTTGAATGTTTAGAACGTTGTTCCCCTTCTAAAATATGTTCGTGGAGAGGCCCTTTCTCCTGACCACTGGCTGGAATTATTCAGACTTTTGAAGATGCCAAAAGGGACCATCCTTGAGAAATTAACATTCGGAGATGTGCTGGAAAGTGCTGATCAGATCATAGCTCATGCTGACGCACTCAAGGTTGGTTAAAGCTCCTTATAACCCTAGTGCGCTGTATGTTTGAATACTACTTGAACTGTGATCACTTTTGGACATTGTCATTTTGCACAGAACAGAGGCAAATGAGATTACCCACAATTTGACCCGTAATGCGTGGAAAGGTTTGTTTCCACTGATCAAGGCGTAAGGCGCATGGAATTACGTGTACCACCTCAGGTTTCAACTGTAACAAAAATTCGAAATCTGGACTAGGTGTTTAAATCAATCTATTGAAAGTCATGTTTGATAGTTATTGGAAAAGTGTGAATCTGATATTATATATGTAATATATGTTATCCTTTGAAGGAGCTAAACAGTAGAGCTCAAGGAGAAGTGTCAATCCGAGAGGCTCTACGAGAGCTTGAGTTGTGGGGTGCAGGCGCAGTGTTTTCTTTGACATCTTACGTGGATTCGCATAACAAAGAGTTGTCCATCATTAAGGACTGGAAGGATCTTGTCAATCAGGTATGGTGAACAAAATAGGTTAGAAATATGGGACTCGTAAGAACTGAGCTTAGTTGCTCACTATAGCTAATGCTTTGACAGCTAAGTTCTCACAACAAATAAGTGAAAACTTTGAACTGAATTTTTCATGATCAGTAACTCTGATAAGACTAAACTAGAACAAGTAAGTTGGCATCACTAACTTATAACTTTTTTGCTGGTTAAATTCTTGACACCTTTAAAGATATCTACGGAGTAAAACTAAAATACTTTCATTTGAAAATACGTCGACATGCATCAATTTCAGTGAGTTCTTCGTTGTATAGATCGTTTTCACCTGACGTCACGGTGGCCATATTGGTGTACAAAACAATGAAAACGGCGGCCATGTTGGTGTACAGAAAAAAATCCTGTGGGGATTGAGGACATTTCTACTATGAAAAACTGTATTTGTTCCAACAAATTTGTAAAGCTGCTTACAACGTGAGTGAAAACGATCTCTACTAATCACTGGGTACTTTCATGTTACAGGTGGGTGACAACCAGTGCCTTTTGCAGTCGCTGAAGGATTCTCCTTACTACAAAGGATTCGAAGACAAAGCGTCCCTTTGGGAGACTCGTCTGGCTGACTTGGACGAGTACCTTCACAACCTGAACCAGATACAGAGGAAGTGGGTGTATCTGGAGCCCATCTTTGGCCGAGGAGCTCTACCTAGAGAGCAGGGACGGTTTAAGAGAGTGGATGATGATTTCAGGTTTGTTGTATCGGAATTTATTTGGGATCTTTTCATTTTAAAGTCAACAATTTTCGTTTTGTTGTTGTTAGGAATGCTTATTTTTGGAACTCTGTGGGTGAATGTAAGCGTGCCCTTTCGAAAATTTCCCCATCATGGTTAAAGAAGGTTTTTTTTGGTTTTGGTGTTTTTCGTCTATTTACTATGTATTTACTCTCCACAATGCATGGAATCGTCAATGTATTCTCTTGTAGCCTATGATGAGTCTTCTGAGAAAAAGAGCTTCAAATTTCTTGTTTTAACGTCCACTATTTGTCCACTTTTTTGTGGAAACGTTATACGTGACTGGTCCTTTTGTAAATGTGAATATGATGGTGCATGTTGAATTTAAACAAAGCTTGTTTCTCTCTTAACAGAACTATTATGCAGGATGTTTCGAATGACAACCGAGTGCTGTCACTTGTGGCACAGTCAGGCATTCGGAACACATTAGTAACCCTTCTGGATCAGCTACAAAGATGCCAGAAATCTCTAAATGAATTCTTAGAGGTACGTCGTTTTCTAAGACCCTTCAGATGCTTGATGTCACATATTGCCTTGCTTCTTCATTTTTTCTCTGCGCACTTCCAGCAAATTACAAATAAAACTGTAGTGGTTATTTCGAGTAGTATGTTCAGACTACGAATATTGGAATATTTTAGAGATAAATACCGTTAAATGAAATTTCAAGCAGTTAACAACAAAGAGCGCCATCTCTTGTTATAGACCAAAGGCGATGCATTTGGCTAGTGTAATATATCAGAATAAGACAACTGCAAGTGTATTTTTATGACCAATTTCAACCCTAAATTCATCAGGAAAAAAGAGCCCTGTTTCCGCGGTTTTACTTCATTGGTGACGATGACCTGCTTGAAATCCTTGGCCAAGCCACCAATCCATTGGTGATACAGTCGCATTTGAAGAAACTTTTTGCTGGGATACACAACGTGGCATTCGATGAAGGATGCAAGAATATCGTGGCCATGAAGTCTCTTGATGGTGAGTTGGTACCGCTGAAAAGACCTGTCACCATTACTCCAGAGGTAGAGGTAGGTGTCTACACCACCGAAAGGCTGCTTAGTTTTTAACTAGTATATAACACGCCTGTACCTCTGCAGTGCAACTGAACAGTGGCCTTGCTTGGAGGGGGGACCAGCGTAGCAAGTGACAATACTTCATCATGGTCTTGTGAAAAGGGTGTCCCTAAAACTAAGCAAACTCTTTGCATTCGGGAAAACAGGTCGTGTGTGTATATATAGAGTGTTTTCACATGACGTCATAGCGACCATATTGGTGTCCCAAAACAATGAAACGACGGCCATGTTGGTGTCCCAAATCAGTCCTGTGGGAGCTGAACTCTGTTCTTATGTAAACTCTTTCTTTTGTTCCAGTAAATTTGCATAAATGCTGGCCACGTAAGTGAAAACGCTCTATAGGGTTTTTGACGATCAGGATCCGTGTATTCAAATTCAGGCTAACTTCCGTAAGCTTCTTGGACATTCTCGTAAAAGGCTGCATGTCTCGTCATTTTCCAGCATGATGTTGTTATCAAAAGCATTACGTAGTGGCCTTGCAAGAAATTGGCTACAAGTCTTATAGTTTAACTGAGCACGTTACCCGAAGCCAGTGAACACAGAAAGCCTTCAGTGGGCGGTGAAAAATAGCTGGAGCATTTTATAAACCAATTGGCAGCTTCTGAAGTTGGCAAAATCGGAGGCTTTCGTTTCAGGTGACAATGATACCAATGTGATTCATCACTTAGAACACATCCCGTATAGACCAAGTAAGACCAATCAATAAATCGTGACTATAATTTAAACCTGAAAAAAGGTAATTGTTTTCAGAGTACTGTAGTCTGCGTTCCATTTGTTTGGGCCCTTCTACTGCTGTACACGGGTAACTGATAAACACAAAGTGGTCTCTTTGATGCGCTTCGCCATCCCGGTGAGAGATAAACGACAATTTGTAGCCACTTTAGCTTAATCCTGACTGTCATTTTCATATTTATGAAATGTAGGAAATGCGATGCTTAATGACAGTTCTCTTTGCTCTATGAACAGGTCTGGCTTGGTGATCTCGCTAATGAAATGAAAGACACTCTGAAGCAACTACTGACTGATTGCCTCAGTGGCAGTAAGAAAGGAGGATCCGGTGGAGGAGTTGATCCTTCCAAGTTTCCCTCACAGGTTTGTTATCAATGTAGTTATTTGATTGTCGATTGGCAAACGTATTTCTACAAAACCTCACGGGTAAAAGTGTTTCTGATTTTAGTACCCTTTCCTTTCACGTCTCTGGCTTTACTCTTCTCCTTTTGTACGTTTTGCTTCATAAAATCGTGTCTGAAACTCCAGTGTCTTTTATAGAGATTACTACTCAAGGACGTTAGAAAGAAGGAACTTCTGTAGCTTTTATTTCCCCTCACGCATATCAACTTACTTTCTGGTGTTTTTAAACTAGTCAAGCAGGCTGCCTTTTAGGCCAACGTATGACTTGTCATTTTCTCTATATACAGGTTTCTTCTGAAAATTTATTCTGTTTGTCCCTTCCCACATTTGCTTATCCCTTAATTTTCGCAGATCCTGTGCCTTGCTGAACAAATCCAGTTCACAGATCGTTGTGAGGCAGCCATCAAAAGCAACTCTCTTCAAGAATTTCAGATTGAGATGGAGTCCCAGCTAGAATCGTACACTAGTGCAGAAATTGGTGGAGGAGATGCCCCTGAGTCTCATGTTCTTGAACTGAAGTTGAAGGCGCTGATCCTGGACACAATCCATGCTATTGATGTGGTGCAACAGCTGATCAAACATGGCGTGAAGTCTGCCGATGAATGGATGTGGCAGAAGCAGCTGCGATTTTACATGCAAAAGAGTAAGTTCGCTGATTTACAGAGAATATACCGATGGGAAATTTAGCACTACCGTTTCGTTACCGAAAACTGAACAAATTTCTAGTAATAAGGAAATGTGAGAGCCGATTTGTCACTGGAAGATGTTTTCAGTTTTAACTGTTTGAGCCCTTGTGTTTTATGGTCCTGTGCTTTATCTAACTCATAACGATAATGTTATCGTTGCCTTTTCTCAGCTACTAAGTAGCTCATTGTGGGTCCTCATAGTGCCGGCGTTACGTGCCCCAGTACTTCAAACAAATTTTTGATTTTAAAACTTAATATTGAATTCGCTCTCGAGGAATTGTTTCCCCTTTTATAATCTCTATAGTACTTTGTCTTCATTAATTTTGTTACTACACACTTTTCCCTTGCCAGATGTTTGCTTGATACGTATGTGCGATGCAGAGTTCCATTACACTTATGAATATCAAGGCAATGCTGCCAAACTTGTACACACCCCTCTCACGGACAAGTGCTACCTTACATTGACTCAAGGGATGCATATGGGTCTTGGTGGAAACCCATATGGCCCTGCGGGCACTGGCAAAACAGAATCAGTCAAAGCTCTAGGCGGCTTGTTTGGAAGACAAGTTCTTGTGTTCAACTGTGATGAGGTACTTGTTGAAAACATTTTGCGTAGGAATATATGTTACAGGTCAAAATTAAATTCAGGTTAAAGTTTTTTAACTTAGGGTGATTCTCAATTTCCTTTGTGCTCCTAGGCCTAATTATTCATGAATTAGGGCTAGGAAACAAAGGAAATAACAATGTTCTTCCAGCAAAGACGACTAAAGTAAAGGTCTTAGGACCAAGCTATTACTATTTCGTTGCACTAAATGCAATTAATGAAATTTGTAGTGATATTTATTCACTGATATTTTGTAATTTGTAGGGAAATATCATTGTGGTATTTATGCCAAATATCACGAAATGCCATTATTTGTTTATACTACTACCGCCAAGAGGTTTGTAATTTTCACATGTAGGTATTTCAAATTAAGCTGAAATACCACTGCTCTAAACCAATCAGATTGCAGAAATTTCTCATGTAGTGGTATAATTCACTTGTATTTGTAGGGCATTGATGTGAAATCGATGGGTCGTATCTTCATTGGTCTCGTCAAGTGTGGTGCCTGGGGCTGCTTCGATGAGTTTAATCGCTTGGAAGAAGCCGTGTTATCTGCCGTCTCTATGCAGATTCAGACCATACAAGCTGCTCTCAAGACCAAGCTACCATCTACTGAGCTACTTGGCAGAGAGGTGTGTTGATTTTCCCGTTATTTGAGGACACGTAGCATTTCTAATAAAAAACTCGCCAATGAGGTATTCTTGTCGAATATGTCGTCCATTTGTAGAGTTTCCTCATTATTGGTTCAGTAACCTTTTCACACTTAAAAAGGCCAAAGTCAAATTTCAACAACGCTTGAAAATTTCAATATTTTAAATAATTAAAAACAAATAAAATGTTGTGAAAGAACTGCTCAGTAGCTTTCAGTTGAATGGTGACACCACAAGATTTTGTCCACAGACCCAAAGTTAATTAAAGCAATCTAACAAGGTTCCATTACTTTATACGAGGGGTTAATCCTGACTTGAGTGGAAGAGGTGGTTTGGAAACGAAAGGCGTGTTATGTCAGCTTCCCAATTCTCATACAAAAACCTTAGCTTTATTAGACTGCGGTCTCCCTCTCTAATCCTGAGTCGAGAAAGTTCTTTGAATTGGCCATTTCTAAGTTGTGCTTGAGACTTGCTCTGCGTTTTGTCTATTTTCACAATGGGACTGTTTTGGGTAACGAATTGTGACCCAGTACACTACGCAGCCTTTCGTCTTAAAATCCTTTCTATTCACTTTTCGAGCTCTTCAACTTGTCTATGATCACAAGATACTGACAAACGGTGGTAATTTTATCTCGTCGTAGGTTGATTTAGATCCCAACTCAGGAATTTTCATCACGTTGAATCCAGCTGGTAAGGGTTACGGAGGACGACAAAAACTTCCTGATAATCTAAAGCAGCTCTTCCGTCCTGTGGCCATGTCCCGACCTGATAATGAACTCATTGCTGAAGTCATCATGTTCTCTGAAGGATTCAAGGAAGCTAAGAGCTTGGGAAGGAAACTGGTGGCCATCTTTAACCTATCAAAGTACGTGGCTTGCTACTGAATATGTGTTAATGGTTTAAAAAAAATTGATGGTTCGAAGTATGATGTACGAGCGTCATTTTCTTAAGCCAGCTTTTGCCCAAGACACCTTTTGTTGTTTCGATTTAAGTTTCTAATTTGCTTCACGTTTTTTTCCGCCCCATCATTTTGATGCATATAAGCTAACACAAAAGGCCTCCTGTCTTTTTTTTTTGACAACAGCAATGAATACCTATGCTCTAGACGTTTTTCCAATGTTGAATTATGTAAGGAAAAAACTGATTAAATTGTTCTACAATTACCTTTCTTTTTGCTTTGTCAGGGAACTCTTGTCTCAGCAACAGCATTATGACTGGGGTCTCCGTGCATTGAAGACTGTACTGAGGGGCTGTGGGAACTTGCTACAGTCACACAAACAAACTAATGGACAAGGTAAACCTGGAAGAAAATTCTCCAATTTTGTAAATCCTCTTCCTGCTTCTCTGCTTTATGAATGTTGTTTTGACCATGAGATTTAAGACAAATTGTCACGTTTTTGGTCGACAACTCTCAGAGAGAGAGGGGCTCTTCTAAGTTGCATTCTTCTTTTGAGTGGGTTTCAGAAAATGAGCCCACTTTGAAATTGTATTAAGGCTTTTCTTTTCTCAATACAAGATTGTTCGTCAGGAATTTCATGCAACAGGTATCCAAATTTGCAATGCACCTTTCTTTTGTGCGATTGAACAGAAAAAAACTGCTTATCAAGGTTGCAGTGTTTTTTTTTTCACTTTTAGTTAAGTGTTTACTTGCTTTGTTTATTCAGTTGTGATCGAATATTGTGATTCTCTTAGTTAATGCCAATGTGGAGGCTCGTCTAGTGGTTCAAGCTGTGCGTGTAAACACCCTTTCTAAGCTGACCTTTGCAGACTCTAAGAGATTTGATGCTCTTGTTCGGGACATCTTTCCTGGTGTGGATTTCAAAGGGGTGGAGTATGCTGAGCTTGCAGATGCTTTGCGTGCCGCAGCTCAAGAATCTAACCTTATGGTTATGGAGACACAGGTGAGAGGTAGATGGGAGTGGTAGTTACGATTGTTAAAGGCATGTCTTAGACAGCTTACCTTAAAAGGTAGCTGCCTGCATTAGTTATAGAGTCAAGTGCACTTTTTCACAGTAAAATGTAGGTTTCGTAAGCATTGCCAGAACACGCACAGTTAGCCATTAAATTAAAGGACCTCCTTCTGTTTCCCTTGATGGTAAATCTAAATGTTGCCTTTGCTGACAGTTACCTGTTTATCAGGAGACTAAGAATTTTCTTTTCCATGGCGATTGCCACACCGTTTATCAAAGTTGAAAAAAAAAATGGATATTATGATTCTTGCAAAATACTTGCAACACACTGTATTAGTTCTCGGCATGGCCTCTCTTGAAAGTATAAATAAAACGAAATAGAATATAATAAAAAGCTGTAAATCTGTCCACGTATTGATTCAAGAGTTATTTTTAGTTATTCTCAGTTAGTTCGCTGGTTACATTTCACGTCCAAGCGTTAGTTACACGACAGTTAACATGTTACCTGCTTTCACAGGAAGGGCATTATATTTAAATGGGGATCGACAATACTTTTACAGGTTAAAAAGGCCCTTGAACTGTACGAGCAGCTTAGACAGCGAATGGGTGTGGTGGTCATTGGTCCCTCGGGCTCAGGGAAGAGTACCATCTGGAAAGTGCTGCGTCTGGCCCTTGGTAAAGTGGGCCAAACTGTGAAGCATTATACCATGAATCCCAAAGCCATGCCACGAACTCAGGTCAGTGTAATTTAGGTTATTTTGTAACTCAGAGGTTGTGTTTTGAAACATGCAGTGGAATTCGCCTACGGTAATACTTCTTGGGCAAAAGCTATGTACTTATCACCGTAGATAGTTTGTCTTTTGGATTTTATATGCGTTTAAATCTTTGGTCTTGTAACCGTGTTTGATTTTACTTGATTATTTGTTTACTCTGTTTTGCATTAGTTTTAATCTACCACGTGGCCAGTATGCCTGTTTCTGGACAACTAGCAAAGTGTGCTCTCCATGACCTAGTTGTTCGAAGCGCCGATTATCGCTAACCCGGGGTTGAAGTTACTCCGGTTTCCCTTTCTGTCCGTCAGATAACTCGAACCCTCACTAACTCGCTGAAAATTGCTTCGAGTTAGCGGGAGGTTCGAGTTATAGATGGTTCGAGTTACCGGGAGTCGACTGTATCATCTAAAAGAAGTCAGCTTTTCTAGTAGTCTTCTTATTTTTCTCTTTTTTATCCAGATTTAATTATTTTCTACGGATTTGGGCCTCTTTACACCGTAAACAATTTTCTTTTGTTTTACCGTTTTCACTGCGCATGGAATTTCTTTATATACATGAATGAGGCTAAAAGGTTGCCCTTGCATTGCCTAGCCATCAACATTTATCACCTGTTTGGCTATTTACATAAGCGCTTATTTCCTCCACAGTTACTAGGACAGATTGACATGGATACTCGAGAATGGTCAGATGGAGTCTTGACGAACGCTGCTCGACAAGTAGTTCGTGAACCAATCGATATCCAGTCGTGGATCGTCTGTGATGGAGACATTGATCCTGAGTGGATAGAGTCGCTTAACTCCGTGCTTGATGATAACAGATTATTGACCATGCCCTCTGGTGAAAGGATTCAGTTTGGACCTAACGTTAACTTCCTGTTTGAATCGCATGACCTAAGTTGTGCCTCCCCTGCTACTATTTCGCGCATGGGAATGATTTTCTTAAGGTAAGTGAGACCAATTGCGTATGTGACTTAAGGCAGCATTCACACTTGTTACCCAGGCACGGTGCCCGTTGAGCACTAATGTGAACACACCCTTTTTTCAAGTACCCACGCTAGAATTCGTGCACGGTACTGGTGTCCAAGTACAAGAGTCCTTGTATTCGGGAACAAAAGTCGGGACTGCGTCCCTGTGTGCAGACCGTTTTCATTAGTTCTGAGGCAGTCTACTTTTTTAAACGCGCTGCGTTTAAAAATGGCGTCTGGCAGGGTGAAATGGAGTAACTATGTACCGGGTACACAGTTACATATTGGGTACTCAAGGTGAACACAACACCATTTTTTAACGGTACTCGGGCAGTGGTTCACGGGCCCCAAGGGTGGACAGCCACTAAGATACCATTGGCTTTGTGGTAGCCTGTGATCATTGCCTTCCTATATGTGTGTATGTCTTTCCCCCATCTCTTTTCAAAAGAAAGGGAAAAACTACGCGTGATCGGAAGTTAACTTTGTGGGTACAAGTAATGGTAATTTAAGCTGTACAAAGTCTTCACTTCCCTTACATTTGCCACGATATGGGCATTGTGACAAGAAAACGTGTTTTGCGTTAGTTTAAATTATGAGCGGCTCCTACAATACAAGTGATAGTTCTATTGTATTAAGAAAGCACACGAGTATTATTTGGGAGGGTCCTGAGACCTAATGTAAGAACATTGATAAGTTACCCAGCCCTTTTTTGTTTTGTTTCTATTTGTTTTTTCTTTGGTGCTGGAGTTCCTGATCACTCAAACACGCCCTTACTTTCTTTCATGTTACAGCGACGAGGACACAGATGTGAAGGCTTTGGTGAAGTCATGGTTCTTGAGTCAGCCAGAGGAGGACCGTCGTATGCTGGAGACATTCCTAGAGGATCATTTCTACAAGGCACTGGACTGGGTGCTAAAACAAAATGAGTTTGTTGTAGAGACTAGTTTAGTGGGCGTGGTGATGAATGGTTTATCCCACATGCATGGGGTCAAGGTCAAACAGGAGTTCGCGTGTGCTTTGATCAGGGGACTCGGGGCTAACTTGTCTTCAACTGCCAAAACAGCATTTGCTAAAGAGGTTTGTATATTACTGGAGCCGCTGTTGCACGGTCATTTGAACTGCCTTGATTTTGTCATGAAAATGTGAAATTGAAATTCATTTTCCTGTTCTTGTCAATCGTTTTGTTGGACCTACATATCGCATCAACTTCGTTTCAATTTTGCTTGTTCGACAATCCTTTTTTCCTTTTAAGGTGTTTCACTGGACCCATGAAATGCCGCCTGATCAAAAACGACCACTGGACACATATTATGACAGTGACAGAGGCCGGCTGGCATCGTACCAACTAGAGGTGAGGCGTACGTGCTCATCATTCTTTGATTAAGCTGTAAAAATATCTTAATACTAAGACATTTTAGCAGAATCAGGAAAGTTTTAAAATGTTCCCTACACATAAGTTGACACTTTGACTATTTCTGTTTTGAAGCTAGACATTCTTCAAACAGTATTAGGTTAATTAGCGTTTTTGCCACTCAGCTTAGTTTGAAATGTGTCTTAAAAATTAGTTGAAACTTTGGTTGAATCTGTTTAAAAGCTCTTAATTTTACTTTGACTACTTTGCAAACAGTAAATGGGTAAGTAGCGTTTATGCACCCAAAAACACAGCAGATTTTTATGGCCGATATTGTGTTGGATATTTTGCGTTAAGAGGTGAAGATTGCGAAGATCTCTGAGGTTAGCCGTTCTACATTCCCTTAAATTCGATTTGTTTGTACCCCGACGATTTCTGTGGGCAAATTGGTATGCTAATATACCAAAGTGTAAACGGTGACGTACATACATACATACATACATACTTTATTGGCTCGTCCCCACGGGGCTTTTCAGAGTCAATTTTACATTACAAAATTATAAACCAAGTACATGACAATAAGAATATAACAATGATAAAAGAAGACAAAGGTCAATAAAATTAATTAAATTAATTAAATAAAGCAGTCATTAAGAAGCTTTTGCCTGAGTAAACACTTGAATTCCGTCACGGATGGGCTAAGTTTGAGCGCAGGCTGCAACTCATTCCAGAGAGAGGTTGCTCTATATTGAAAGGTCCTTTGGCCGCTGGCAGTGCGGAAGAGTGGTATGTTCAAAAGTTGAGAATTTCTCGTATTCCTTGTCGAGACGGCGGATTTTCCAACGAGCTTTGATGTCAAATACTCCGGAGCACAACTCGTCATGCACTTAAAAACCAGAACAGCAAAACGAAAATAAAGTTGTTGCCTGATTGGTAGCCAGCGCAAGTCTTTTAGCAAAGGAGTTATGTGATCGAATTTTTTAGCGCCGCTCAAAATACGACAAGTGAAATTCTGTACTGCTTGGAGCTTGTCCAGATTAGTTTGAGTAGTATTGCTCCAAACAGAAGAGCAATAGAATAATTTACTAAATACTAAGGCATTTATAATAATAATTAGCGCGTGTTTATTAACAATATGCTTAACGCGGTTAATTTGGCCCAAACGTGACATGCATGAGGATACAGTAGAAACAATATGCTCATTATATGTTAAGTTAGAGTCCAAGTCCAGTCCGTCACAATGGGTTGAGGTTAAACTTAGTTCCAGGTCAAGTAGAAGTTGGAGGGTCTCTTGAGAGGGTCTCATGGCTTGTTAGACTGAGAATTAATTTAAGGTCTTGAGGTGGTGTTGAGGTTAGAAGTGTATTGTTCGGTGGTGTGACGGATCCGCCCAACCATCCGGGTGGTATTGCAAATATATAGGGAAAAGAACAATAGAAAGGCTGGCAGCCAATGAGGAAGAGCTGACGTTATGGTCTAACCAGTTAATGACAGGTTTGACTGCTTTAGTGAACGTGTTCGTAGGAAAAGTGCTCACTCTCTTGGGACACTTTGAATATTTACTGGTAAAGTTAATTTACATGCATAAATCGAATAAATGAAGTTAAGACCGTCGCGCGATAAAAAAACAGCTATTTAATGTGTTAGCGCAACGAAACCAAGAAAGTGCCGAAGTCGAACAGTTGCAATTATAGTGAGGATCATTCCTGAAATCAAATAAAGAGCTCAGTGATCGAATAAGAGAGTCGTCGGGTGAAGACTTGTATGGCATGGTGTGAATTCATTAAATAAACGTTGATATCGACTTTATTTTAGGATGTGCAGTCTGATTTACGAATACAAATAAGTCATGATTGGTTTTGGTACCTAATCAACCAACAAATTTCTGACGGCAGCCGGTTCTTAACAGAAAATCATCATTTACCGCACCTATTCACAATAGATATACATTAAGACACACCGTTTCTGCCTTTGGATACAGAAGAACATCTTTCCTACGTGTTTGTTAAATAATAATGGAGACCATATGTCCCCAAAATACAACAATACATTCGCAGCCCTTCCCAGTACTGAGTAGGCTGGCCGTTCCGGCTCTAAGGTTAAGTGGAATTCCACACACATTTACAGAAACGTTACTTCTTAAGGTGTCTTATAAGCGTTTTTTCATACACCTCAGTGATTAAAGTTCAACCCTTTGAAGCTAAAGCTACTGTGCTACGTGACGCGAAGAGTTCTTTGCGTGTTCCCTCAGGACTTGTAGAGACCGTTTGCATTTGGCTCGTCTGGTTTCAAAAGTAAGTGTTCAATATTTGGTTCCCAAACCGGTGTTGCAGTCATATCTGAGCAACGCAAAGCATTACGTTCTCCGTAGAACTTAACCCTGGTACACACGCATCCCGGTACCAAATAGATCAGTGCCACTTTACCTACACCATGGAAAGCTTGGTTCCGTACCTATTGAAAACTATGCGGTGTTTTGACTCCAACAAGCGTAAACTCAACCAGCTACCAATTGCAACTTAAGAGGAGGAATTTTTTACAGGATATTATCGTCCTTGTTTGATATCGTTCAATGACACCGCAATCGTAAGAAATTTGTATCTTGATGTATATCGAAGAAGCTTTTTAAAAATTTGCCGCCAACTTGAAGAGAATTTGCGTATGACCACTTTTGAATATAATCCGCGCTCGATCCGTATTGAAGCTTATCATTCTGACTGCAACGTAACTGAGCTAATAAACCAAATATTACTGATCATTTACACTCCTTCAACACCGCAGGAGATGATCTAAATCTTGCGAACATGTAAGGTGAAGACCCACAGACTTGCTTATAATTAGAACAGTGACAGTACTCGGCTAGTAGATTTTAATAGCCGATATTTCGTTAGGTATGCTGTGTGAAGACCTTACGATTGCACAGATCACTGAGGTTTGCAATTCAATTTGTTTATGCCCCGACGTTTTCTGTGGGCAAATTCGTATGCTAACCCACCAAAGGAAAAACAGTGATTTCACGATCGGTTCAGAGTAAACATATTTCAAAGTCAAGTGGGTGTTGGAGGGTCTCATGAGAGATGCATGGCTTGGAAAGGACGTTTGCTGTACTTGAATAATGAAAATTACATTAGGGTATTGAGGAGGTGTTTAGGTGAGACGTGTATTGTTTGGTGGTGTGACGGATGCGCCCAACCATCCGGGTGGTATTGCAAATATATAGGCAAAAGAACAATAGAAAGGCTGTCAGCCAATGAGGAAGAGCTGACGTCATGGTCTAACCAGTCACTAACAGGTTTGACCAGTTAAGTGAACGTGTTATTTACGAAACCGCTTACTCTCCTGGGACACTATGATTCTTTGTCAGCTGGGTTAACATCCATGTTAAAATCGAATAGATGAAGACCATCGTGAGACAAAAACTCAGCCCTTCGCTTGTCTTTCTTCCTATAGTTTCTCCACTGAAATTGAGTTCTTCACTTGTTGGGTGTAATTGCTTCTTCGAAAGGGTTTTTTCGCTAGTCTTTGAAACAAACCTTATGATAGCCTGCGAGCAGGTTCGGGGAAATTTTTTTAGAAAGTTTTTTCCTCGCGAGATGACGGCTCCGTCGCCAAAAAAATTTCCCGGAACTCGCAAATGTGAGCCTTCTCGCAAGCTAAGCTTACGAATAAAGTTTGCCTTTTCATTATTGCCTTTAAAATAAGAACTTTAGAAGACAAAATTAAAACAAACTTTTAGTTTGCTGAAGTCAGTAAGTTTTACTATTGCGAAATACTCGTTACCCTTTAGGAAGTAGTTTTATTTCATGAGAAGTCTGAAGAATTTGAATCCCTTCATGAAAAAGTGCCAAGTCGAACAATTTACAGTTATCTAATCATCATCCCTGAAGTAAAGTAAAGACTTGTATAACACGGTTTACAATTAAAGACTGATGAAGACTTTATTTTAGAAAGTGTGATCTAATTTACGAGTAGGAGTAAGACATTGGTCAGGTTGGTTTTACGAAGCAAACCGAATCAACCGCGAGATTTCTGTTGGACACAACAGTCTGTTATTAACTACAAATGATCATTAAACACATTTTTGAAAATAACCTCAGCGTTTCTGCTTCCCGTACAGGTACATGTCGGTGCACATTTTTGCCACGCAACTTTTAAAAATGGTGACTTTGCCGTTTTCAAAATATTATACTGGGTTTGTAGCCTTTTCCGGTAGACTAGCCATTTCTCATGCATGGGTATGTGGACGTCCACCAATATTTACGGAAACGTTACATTGCTTCTTAAGATTTCGAATAAGCGTCTATTCATACACTTAAAATGATTTTAGCTTAAAGCTAAAGAAATGATGGAACGGTTAACTACTATGCCACGCAAGGAATAGTGGCCCCTTTCATTTACTAAGCTATGGGAGTTTAATGTTTTTTTTCTTGACGGTTTTATCAGGTACCAGACGCACTAGGTGTAAACGACCTTACCTTGTCCTCAGGCTCCTTGCCAGTAATCCAGACCGCGGATATCAAGAGAGGTCTGGACATGTTCTCCCCTTGGCTTCATCCAGATCACAAGAAGTCTTTTCTACTTGTCGGGCCTGAGGGTTGTGGCAAAGAGTGAGTTTCATAGTCATCCCTGTCACTACCAGCATCGCGGAGTCACGTGTAGCTTATTTCTAACGTTTGGGTCTGCACGCAAAAATTTAAGTGTGACGATTTGTTAAAGCACTAACTTCAGGTGTTGCAGATGGGTGCAACGTAATACAAAAGATTGAAAAGTACCAAACAATACCCAAACCACAAATGAATAGTTTCCACAACACTAAGAAAAACCCTGACTTCATGATTATCATTCCTTAGATATTTCTCGTGTGACTGCGTGTTGCATGTTTCTAAACTGGTATCGTACATCACGCGATGAAACCTTAAAATGGAACAGGTTCCGTTCCGTTTGAATTTGGTGTATTTAATCGGTTTAAATTTTTTCCCTAATATACGCAAATCAAGTCTTTTAATGTTGGTGCATTATTACGGTAGGCTTTTATTGAGGCACTGTTTTGAGCAGCTTCGCTCGACCCAGGTAGCTGTGGTACACTGTAGTGCCCAGACCACGCCCATGCACGTTCTTCAGAAGCTCCAGCAGTCCTGCATGGTAATCAGTTCAAACACTGGACGAGTGTACCGACCAAAGGATTGCGAGAGACTGGTGTTGTATTTGAAAGACCTTAACCTACCAAAACCTGACAAGTGGGGGACCAGTCAACTGATCGCCTTTCTGCAACAGGTATTTCTAATAGATAACCTAGTGTTAAGATAGCGGGGGATCAAGGGTACTCTTCCTAATTTGCATGCAAACGCAAATTAAAACGGAATCTGGCGATGATTTGATGATTAGATTTGATTACAAACAGCTGCTGCAACCGGTACGTAACATCAATATTCCCTTGCGTAGCACTCAGCATGCGCATTGGAAATATTGGATATTAGTATCACTGATATGCATAAGCCTGTCCTCCTTCCTTGCCGGCATCGCGATTGATAAGACGCGAGAGAACAACCTAGGACAATTTGTCACATAAACCTAGTTTTACCTGGACTAGTAACTAGAAGAGTGTGAGTACTCGAATTTTTGTTTGATTTACTTGTGTCACTGACTGATGTAGTCTGCTACACAGCCGTTTTTAGTGTCGTCACGCAACGCTCCTCCCCACAAAACGGCTGAGTAGCAGACTATGACTGATGTAATCTGCTTTGTTCTGGCAATCTGGGGCTGATAACACACAGTAGCAGTTTCATTAATTGACTTGATGTAGTAGGTTAGACTTTCGTTTACCTTCATAACAGTTACACTTTTTTAGTAATCAGCGTGAAGAGAAAGCCGTTGTGTAAAATATGTTCGTTGAAATGTTTCATAAGTGTGAGTCAGATTGAAAGCCTATTGCTGACCTACAGCTGTAGGCCTGTCCCAAAATATAATCAAATGATCCGGTCAGAGCTCAAAGAAAATGCTACACGTTATCAGCTTCAACGGCGTGGATTGGTTCTGGGCCACCTCTTGATTCGATGGGAAAATCTCACGAACCACTCTTACCAGGTAGAAATGTTTTGAAGACCACTCTGATAGCGTCTGTTGTGATTGTTTCTCTAGGTGTTGACCTACAAGGGGTTCTATGATTCTAACCTTGAGTGGGTCGGTCTGGAAGGAGTACAGATTGTCGCTTCCATGAGTGCTGGTACCGGGATGGGCAGACATCAACTTACTACAAGATTCACATCCATTGTTGGCGTTTGCTCCATAAGGTAGGCTTGAGTTAATGTTAGAGATGAGTTAAACCATTAGCACAGTGTCTGTGTTAAATTAGTAATAAACAGCTGTTAAAAGTCGTATTGACAATGTTTGGTTACTTGGGAATGGGGAAGATAACGTACGAAATCTTAAACCAGTTGTATACCTCTTCTACGTCAGTCGTAGCTTAATTCTGGGCTACAGCTCAGTGAAACTCTTTATCCTATTGCCAGATGCTAGTAATTTCACTTGACATTTTAGGTTTTAGGTAACTAGTCTCTTGCCTGGTACATAGTCAGAGACGTGCACATTGTCAGATAATTAAAAGGTTAAAAGATTAAAAATTTAACATTTTCGACTTCTTGAAGTGTTTCGTTTGAGTTTATCGAACGTACGTTTAAATGGTTGGAAACAGACGACTCTATAAGGAAAGACTGGGGGCCACTAATCATGCGCACCATTAAACGCATATTATTTTATTAAAGAAATTGAGACGAACGTTATTAGGGGGGATGCAAGTCAGGGGTTTCGAAAACTGGTTTCTGTGGCAACTGTGGGCGAATGTTTTCAATTTTTTTTTTACTGATTTCGTTTGATGTCATTGTTTTTTTGTTTCAATTTGTCGTAGCTATGCGGATCGTGATCAGCTTCAGGCAATTTACAGTGCCTACCTACAGCCTGTCCTTAGTTCGTCTCTGAAGTCCCATCCGGTGTGGGGTGCGGTGAAGAATGTTCACACTCTAGCTGGCTCTATGGTGGCAGTTTATGAACAGGTACTTGGTTTTCAAGTACTGAGAGTGTGTTCTTTAGGTTACGCCCCCTTCATCCTGATCCAACACCGGCATTCGTTTGAAAGAGCGCGAAAGTCATGTTACATCATCATCTACAGGGCTCAAAATATCGGACAGCAGGTCGCCGGTCCTGATGACCGGCCAAATATTTTTTAGCCCGGACAAACCCCAATTTTGGCCGGTCAAGATACTATAATATATATATATATATATTTTTTTGCCTAATGGAATATCGAATTACGCTGGCAATAGATCGTTGTAGTGCATTCACGTTCAGCTTTTTGGCAGCAAGTAGGTGAAAAATTCATTCACACGTTCTTGAGTTCCTTTCCGCGGTTTTTGCCCGTTTTCATGTCCGTTATACCTTGAGTATCATCGTACGGCGGTGTCTGAAATCCCCAAGGGTCGTCCCATATCTGCATATCGGTAAAACTTGATCTTTTTCGTTGCCCGGCACGTGATCGAAAGTCTCCTCTACAAAGAAGAACAACACTAAATATTTTCGGTAAAGAAGTTTATTTGGGGCAAATCCGTTCCACAAACAGCGTGTTTATCATCAGAAGTCAATAAATATACAGCAGAGCTTTCGTTTGGGTCGTCGCGTAACACTTTATCGGGAAGGGCTCATTAACGTCAACAGAAATTTGCATAAAGCTCTTTACAAGAATGAGGGATAGACAACGTTCGTTCTCGATTAGCTTAAATTTTTTTATCAGACTATTCTGGAATCGAGTCTGCAAACGAGATTCATGTTCGACACAAAGAAATTGTTATAAAATCGATGTGCTAAAAGTTATTCCCGGAGAAACAGCTGCCGGACGACCTGGTAAGAATCGCGATCGATTTGCCTCCGTGCCTAATGTTCCTCTTTGCCCACACTGTTTCCTCTGTGCCTACTATTCCTCTGAATAATCACTAATTGATCTTTTTCAATTGCTATGTGTAATGATTAACTATTTCAGCTCTCGGTATTTGAGGGACAATCCCCAAATTCTGTCGAAGTTGATTTTCACATTCCTCTTACAAGCAGATCATGTGAAACGTTAGATGTGAAACGTTAGATGTGTTACAGGACTTATCTTCCCGATTTTGAAGATATATGGAAAGTTAATAAAAGTTCGATAAATATCCGATCAATAGGCTTTTAAGGTTCTAGAGTATTCTAACTGTTTACCTTTAAAAATGCAACGTAATGAATAGGCAATTTACTAATAAGCTTTGCATGCAGAAACATAAATATTAACAGTGTGCTTTTTGAGAATGGGACATCTTGTCTCCAAATTTGACATCCCTCGGAAGATAGTTATCTTTTAAATGGACATTTCTACGTTTTTAGTAATTGACTTAGCTAGATAGGGTTTTGTGGTGGGCTCTTTTTTGTTGGCAGATACATCCTACGCATTATTATATATGTAGACATATGGTCAACGACCAAAATGAATAGAATGAAGACACAAGAAGTGCATCCCTGCAACACCTAAATCCCAGTAGCTTTAGAATAAATTTAAGAAAATTCTGTCCTACAGTCATAGGATGCTATTATTGGAATGATATTCCTTTATCTATACGTGAAAAAACAACTAGAAAATTGTTTAAAAGAGCACTTTTCAACTATTATCTTGCTCAGTATTAATCATCGCCACACCGACTCTCAAATGTTACATTTTTTTATGTGTGTGTGTATGTGCTTTTCTTTTTTCCTCTCTTTTGAATATTTTTCATATATTTTTCATAGTTTATAGGGTTTATACTTTTCTCTTTTTTTCTCTTTTAACCTAAATAAAACTGTAATTTAATCAAAGGGCAAGTAATTTGTTTAACTATTTCCTGCCCTCTCCATTTATTCTTGTAACCTGATATTTAATTCTACAAATAGCATCTTTAATTCTTCAATCTTGTAATACAATTTAAATGGCTTGTAAAATAAATAAATGGAGGAAAAAATAAACAATAAACGACCAAAAACAAATAGCGAGCTGCTAAGGAACTGAAGGAAGAAGGGTAAGCAGTTATAGATAGAGAAAGAGAGGAACATCAGGAAGAATGTAGAACCGCCTTGCGAGTAAGGAAAATAAACCTTGGAAGTTTAACTGGCTGATTTTGGTGGAGTTCCTCTCCTTCTCGCCGACCCCATCAGTAAACGACATTAAAAAGCATCGTTTACCAGTGGAGAAGCCTTCTTCATCAGTAGACACAAAAATAACCTTTATCAGAGGTGGACTGAGTTACGTTCAGCAGAGTGCTGAAAAAGAAAGTTTATCAGATGGACAAAACTTTTAGCTATCCTTTAGTTTTCTAACGGATAACAGATTATCGTTAGTGTATTTTTCCCAAAGACGGTCACACTATTGACTTTAGCACACGCAGAAAGCACAGTACCACCTGCTGCATCGTTGCGTCACTCCAGCAGTTCGTTGTTGTTTCGCTTTGTTGCATTTCAATTACGACATGACGACATGACATTTATTGCGGCGTCCTTTTTTTCTTTACAGCCTTTAATGCGAAGCAGCAAAGAAAAAAAAGCCGAAGAGAAAAGAAGTCACTACAGCGTTATAGACTGAGCAAAACGCATTAAGCGACAACTTATGGAAAATATTATAAAATGCTCGTATCCAAAGATGACCGGTCAAAATGACCGGCCAGACTAGAGTTTGACCGGTCAAGTCCACGATCAGGCCGGACATTGTCCGTTGACCGGCCGTTATTTTGAGCCCTGATCTAACGCTATCCAACACTGTCCAGCAGTAACGTGTTTATCTCTTTTTGCACCAAGAGTGATTTGCATCAAATTTCTCCTTACAATGTCAATACTTAATTCCGAAACACAAGGTGTAGAGAATTAAGGACATGATCACATAAGATAGATGTAATTGATACTATCCAGTACTTTTACAGAAATTGTATGGGGGCAACAACGAGAATTTAAATTTTGATATTACTTTTTAAAGAGTCCAAGAGATACGACATGTTGTATCCAAAAATTTATTATGGATGGAGTTGGACCAAATTGTTGGCAACTGGCAACTTAGACTCGCTTAAAATCGCGTCAATTTTCATTAGGGACCTTACGATACCCTGGACGCGGCGGTAAAGGGAACGGAGAAAGCCTGGAGCCAGGACGCCGCCACCTTCGCGGGAAAAACAAATTAAGATTGAGCAGGTTGGGTGAAGCGGCTCGCCTGACGAGAGAGGATAAAGTAATGCTTTCGAGTTTTAATTCCATGACGTCTTTTAGAAAAACTCGTGAAGTCTTGCTTGATTGATGCCTTAACGATCTTTTATTGGAAGAAAAATTTGTGCTGCCGGCTATGACTCCAGTTTCTCTCTAAAAAAAAACCAAATTTCTTCGAGGGAAACTTGAGGGTATGATCGGAGTTCAGGTTATCAGCTATTTGTTGCCAGACGTTTTCGCTTTCCGTTGTTCTAGATCTTGCTTTAAAACGATATGGTTCTGTTACGAGAACTTCCCGTACTAAGGCGAGATTTTGATCTTCAGACCGCTCCATCGCTGAACTGAAAGTGAACAAAATAAAATTATAAAAGTTAATAAATTAACCATGGCGTCTTGTTCAAGATCTCAATTTTCTCCGACATGTTCAAGTTTATTACAAGCCTAGATTTTTGTTTTCCAACAATTTTTACAAAATGCATTCGACTTCCCGTCTCTTAGATTTTTCAAATACTATCCTAAAGCGAGAACGTTGTCCCCTTAAAAACAAGCAGTTATAGTGTTACATTTGTGTTGAAAGACTCAGCGCTTTCATTCTCAGTTGTCGCCAAAACACTGAACCCAAAAGGCTTGATAGCATAAAAATAAGAGTCAATCTTGAGAGAACGCCACACTAAAAACACTTAAATGTGTCTCTTGAAGTAAAATGGATCGAAAATCCTGTACGGAAAGGAATTTCTGCACTGAAAACAAGAAAACCAACTCACCGTTTTACGAGGCGGCCAAACTTCTAGTTTTCACCGTCGCGACTTCAGGTCGACGCTGTGGCATTATGCTAATTAGTTCCAAGAATTGAACATTTCACTTCCGGTTGACGTCCTCCTCGGCCGCGTCCAGAGTATCTTAAGGTCCCTATTGTAGACCATGGGGACGGCTAAAAGGAAAAGTTAAGATTCTATTCGTATTTGTCATGATCCTTCGTGATACTATAAAACTTGCAACAAATTTCGTACATCTACTACAAAACAAGAAACAATGACACAAACAGATTGGGCGGGATGCCTATGCAAAAACAAATGACACAAAAGAGTGAGAAGTTTTAAATGTTGTTTCTCAGGTGCGCGCCAAGTTCACCGTAGACGACTACTCCCACTACCTTTTTACCCCACGTGACCTAACAAACTGGATCTTAGGCCTTTTACGGTACAACCTGGACTCAGGATCTGGAGACAGCTCCACTCAGCATTTGCTAGAAATCTGGGCATACGAGGCGAGAAGACTTTTCAGGGATAGACTTGTTGGAAAACAGGGTTTAGACAAATTTGACAGGTAACGTTCTGTGGGGTAGTATGAGCCATAATACTATGATCTGACGCTTAGCTTTTATCCCTACAAAACAAAAGGGCTTAGTTGTTCGAAGGCCGTTAAGCGCTGACCCAGGGTTAATTCTAAATCTGGATTTCCTTTTCTTTAGTCAAAAGTATTTTCTCTAATAATTTTGTCTATTCTATTTAGAGCATCCTCTAATCATATTGTAGACAAAAAGAATTAAGAGGGAATCCGTCAGGAAATTGAGTAATTTTAATTTTCAGTGGACAAAAACCTTGTACCAGAATATTAAAAGCCATATCGCGTTCTTTTTTACACTTTTCAAGGGATATAAATCAATGTACTAAGTTATATGAAATAACTCGAGAGAAAAGGTTCTTGTGGGAGCCGGAGAAAATAAATTTCAAATTTCACCGGAAATGAGAAAACGCGGGTAAAGTCGTCATGCGTAAGGATTCATTTTGTGTAATTTGAAGCTTTTGGAGTTATTTTATATAACTTATTACATTCATAGCCCTCGACAAGTGTAAAAAAGAATGCAATATGATTGAAATTATTCTGGTAAAAGGTTTTTGTCCACTGAAAATTGAAATTACTCAATTTCCTAATGGATTCCATGTTAAACTAAATTTGCGTTTTAAGCTTTCATATGTAAATTTAAATTTCGCTCTTACCCTGGGTTACCTTAACCCAGCTTTGAACAACCCGGCCCAGAATGTCTCTCCTTGCAATTTTTACGTTTTTAGTATTTACATTATGACATGTAACACTCGTTTTGTATTCCAAACGAAAAAGTAGTATAACAGCACCGGCGCCTTTGACAACAAAGCTTACCTCCAAGCAAGCGAGACTCACGCTACAAAGGGCGTTCTTGTTGAACTAAGGCGATCAGTGACAGTAGGGTTGACGTCAAAAAACCTTAAAACTATAAAAGCAGAGACTTTTGAGCTTGGCAGTGACCTGTCATGTTTCTTTTTCAGCATCCTTGCCTCCCAACTTCGCGCTGATTGGTCAGTGACTTTGGATCGCCTTGACAACAAGTATTACGTCACTTGGGGCAGTAGCCTCACTGCCAGTGCTACGCCCGCGGGTTCTTCTGGGAAGGACGGTGAGGCCGCTGTACCCATAGTATCTGGAGGATCCCTTCCTCCCCAAGGTAAAATGCTGGGTAAACTGGATCAGAAAGACTTCAAGCAAGTGATCGCCAAGGGAATGAAAACTTACGGTATGTTCCAGGTCTTCTTAACAAACGAACTGTTTGATACAGCAAGATTAGCTCTCACTCGTGCTCTAAGTGGCCAAATGTGCGAGCAGGCTCTAGTGTTGTTGTATCGTGAGATTTCGCGTTGGCCTGTCGCCCGAGGGCTTGGTCCCCTTTCTTGCTGAATAACTTGAAGGGGTTTTGTCACGGAGATGTTGTAGGGTTCTGTTTGAAACTGAACGTACGGATTACAGCAAAAGTTGAAGTTTTGAAAGTATAACAGACATACTGCGGCTTTTATCGATTGTTCAAAGAAATGGGGAGGAGGGCTAACATTATTCTTTTGCGTTGTAGTAATCGTTCTTAAGCGATTAAAAGAGGATAAAGAGAATTTTTTCTCATTTGTAGCAAAATTGATACAGGCCCAATGGCTCCACCTTCTTTTGACTACGGTTTTTCTAAGTTTGTCTCTAGCTCGTGTATCGTGTATCGTGTATTTTGCAGCTCGTGAAAACCGTGAATTGGACATCCTTCTCTTCAGAGAAGTATTTGACAATGTAGCTCGTGTTGACCGTGTGCTCACCAAACCCGGCGGCTCGCTCCTAATGGCTGGTCGCAGTGGTGTGGGACGGAGGACAGCGGCTGCACTAGTCGCACACATGCACAACATTCAAGTGTTTACACCTAAGGTGTCAAGAGGCTATGGATTGAAGCAGTTTAGGACTGATCTCAAGACGGTGAGTTCTCGTCAAAACATACTTTAACCCTTAAGATCTGATCAGTAATTCTCCTTTCTGACTGCTATACAATTTCTTGAACGTCTATTAAGAGAATTTTGGGTTTATATCATCATAACGTCTTCTGGCTGATAAAATTGCCTTTTCTTACCACCTCTCTGTTGGACAACGTATTGGTTATTATAAGGAGAAGATACTTGCCAATCACTTGTGGGATTTAAGGGGTTAAAACCGACAGACTGTTATTGGCATTGATGCCTCGTCGTCATTGTTTCGCCTGTTTGGCTCCTGGGTTTCCGAGGGTGGCATACACGCTTCATTTTCAACACTTGCCTTCCAGGAAATTGCGCTGACAGGAACACCACCAAAACCATTTCAGGTCCACGATCAACCCCTTTGCAGCAGCTTTGCATTATAACATATCGTTCGGTATTTTACAAGATGTAGTGTCCGATTTTTCTTGGGTATTAAGGCAGAATCCATCGGGAAAGTGAGTAATTTTTATTTTCAGTGGACCAAAACCTTGTACCAGAATAATTTAAACAAATCGCATTTTTTTTTACAATTTTCAAGGGATATACAAGTAATTAGTTATCTGTAATAACACCAAAGAAAATTACTCATGAGAGCCCGAGAAAATAAATGTCAAATTTCAGAAAATGACATCTTACACATGAAATTTTCAGAATTTTACCTGTGTTTTCACAATTCTTGTGAAATTTGACATTTATTTTCTCGGGCTCCCATGAGAAATAGTCTTTGGTGTTATTACAGATAACTAATTACATCTATAGCCCTTGAAAAATGTAGAAAAGAATGCGATATTGTTTAAATTATTCTGGTACAATGTTTTTGTTCACTGAAAATTAAAATTAGTCGATCTCCTGGTGGATTCCGTCTTAATTTCTGCATCCTGGTGAGTTAAACCTTTAGGTCCCAAGAGTGACCAACATCAATTTTCTCCTAATTATATGAATACCTTATCAAATGAAAGGTTTAGGAGAATTAACAAAATGATCAACAAAGGAGAAATGCTTTGATCTTTTATAATCAACTAATTTTATAAGACAATGTATGGACACTAGTATGGAGAATTTGTACTTGGATATTGCAGCTTAAAGAGTTGAAAGGTAATTTAGCATCTGCTGTACCGTCCTACAGGTTATGCAGTTGTCCGGTATTGAAGGAGAACAAGTAGTCCTTATCTTAGAAGATCACCAGGTGGATGGAAGTTTCTTGGAACTCATCAACAGCCTGTTGAGTGCAGGAGAGGTTCCAGGATTATACACTCCTGAGGAGTTAGAGCCCTTGTTGGGTCCGCTGAGGGATCTTGCTTCTCAAGATGGATTCCGGGGCACGCTGGTCTCGTATTTCGCGTCGCGAGTGAAGAGGAACCTACACATTGTACTGATCATGGACTCATCCTCCAAGACATTTACAGGCAACTGCGAGTCTAATCCTGCTTTTTACAAGAGCTGTTCATTCCAGTGGATGGAGGGATGGAGCAGAGAAAGTATGGCGCAAAGTAAGTGGGTTTGATCTGAGGTAAAAGAGTGAGGAACGTCGCTTTTTGTCTCTTTTTTTGGCGAGCCCTGAGCTCCTGCGGAAATAGGAGATACCTACAAACAAACAAACAAAACAAAAAGGATAACAGCAACAGCAACAAAAACAAAAGCTTAGTGTGCTTCGTTTTCAACAAAGACGCTGAGTACGCGAGAAATCGGATGTGGAGTTGAATAGAGTTGAACGAAAAAGTATTTTTAAAGCATTTTAGTACCTAATCATTTTATGATGTCCTAACCGAGTTTAGAAGGTTATTAGCGTAACTTCCCCCAGTTTGCTCAATTAAAAGAGCAGCGGTGTGCTGCGGGGGGTCCAACCCCCGCTGGTTTAAAATTGTAAACTGTTAAGGTCATGCTCATTTAGTTCCAGCAAACCAATTAATTGCTTTTAACCACGGCGAGTTTGAACTTAAAGTCATTCAGCGAGCAACGAGTGTGATCTAAGTAGGCTGTCAAGTAGATCAAGCTTTGAGAATGCATGTATGTTCAGTGACTCCTATTTTCAAAGGTGGTACACAAAAGTAGCCGTGGTCGGCGCGAAACTAAAAATTTTTTGTGTTGTGAGTTTAAATAGTGAAAGTGAAAAAAAAAGGTACACGCAGTAATTACTGATTACTTCTAACTTTTTACTTAGTACCTGGAATGCTTCTTGCTGATGAAGGTGTGCACAGCGGTGAGGGAACCAAGGGGAAGGATGGAAAGTCAGGGGCAGAGGAGTTAGTCAAAAACTTCCTTCAAATTCACGAGTCATGCAGCGACAAGGATGCTGCCCCGAGAAGATACATGACATTCTTGAAGACTTATAAACAGGTGTACAACGAGAAGAAGGAAGGAGTGGTCAAGCGGCAACAGCATCTGCAGGTATCAAAATAGAAATTAAGAAGACTTCTCGTTTAGTAAAACTTTTACAAGTGTAATTTTCAAGTGAATGTCAATGGGCACTCAAGCATCATGGTCCAGTCTGTACAACTTTACCGAGCTCTGAAAGGGCCCGTCTTGTCCACTGTTGGTTGTTTCTGTTTTTGCAAAGCTTGTTTTTTTTGACGTTGTAAAGCGTTGTAAGCCCTTTAGTTAGGTCGTAGCTGTCGCTTTCGGTTTTTATTTACCCGGAGGTGCTGAACCGCGAGTAGGGAGTTATTTTGCAGTTGTATAGAGGAATAGTCTGGGCTAAGACTGTTTCGCCTCTTGACAAATTTGAGTTCGCTGCTCGTTCGCTTCCCACCTCCCGAGTTCGTCATCGGGACTAAATAGCTATGATCAAAGTTTTCAGTAAGTAGAGTTCTCAGTACGCTAGTAGCGATCGCGAACTGGAGCTAATGTGTGGCGAGCGTTTGATGCAGTCCGGCGCAACAAATTTGACACCTGGAGAAACTAGTCACTACAGGGTAATTCGAACTTTGAAGTTTCACTTTTCGGCTGTGGGAGTTCCGAGTCCTTGACAATTCAAAATTGAAATTGAAAGTCCAGGCTATTACAGCATGCAAATTTAGAATGAATAGAATCGGATTCCACCTTAATTTAATAAACAGCTTAATTTTCTTCTCTAAGGCTGGTGTATCGAAGCTCACTGACGCCAAAGCACTCGTCGATGATCTCAAACAAAAAGCAGGAGAGCAAAGTCAACAGTTGGCTGAAAAACAGGCAGAAGCTGATGCAGCACTGAGGGAAATAACCGCCAGTATGCAGGTAAACAACCACTCTTAATTTACTTCTGTCCAACTAACAATTTGCCTTTCAAACGTGTTCGAATACATGGAAACATTAGTAATCTCTCTACTATTTCTGCCGTTCTCCGTTTATTGCAAACGTGATATTTTAGCATATTATCTTTCCTTTTTTGTTACTTAAGGTGAGTTTTGTGGCCAACATTTGCCCAGAGCAACCTTTTGGATCTATTTAGATTTCTGGGAAACTGCCCACCTCTCCCTCCCCTAAGCCATCATTTTGCCCTAAGTGAGAAGTAAGTGTTAATATTTCACCAACGCTTAAACTCCTCGTTCTCTAATGTTTATTCGCAAAGCGTGCCAGCGAGTCCAAAAGCGAAATGGAAACACTAAAACAAAAGCAAGGAGAAGAGTCCCTCAAATTGGAGAAAAGAAAGAAGGCCATCGAGATTGAGTTATCAGAGATTGAACCGCTCGTGCAGGAAGCTAAAGATGCCGTCGGTAACATCAAACCCGAGACGCTGTCTGAAATTCGAGCATTGCGCATGCCTCCTGATGTCATCCGGGACATCTTGGAGGCTGTACAAAGGCTGATGGGAATTTTTGATACCTCGTGGGTCAGCATGAAAAGGTGAGCTTTGTATCACGTGTTTAGAGCTCTCTCCACTTCATATATTTTAACCAAACTGAGAACAATACGTGAATAAAATAATCTTAGACGATGTATAATTCTGTTGCCAAACACGAAGTGTTCGTCCATTTAGATCACCAAGTTCGTTCCAGGTGTAGTTCTGGGACTACGTTTTCTTTGTTGATAAGACAGGACCCCTCCTAATGTTCACGAAACGCCTAAAACTGATCTTTGACCCTTAACTTGAAGCGTAACCGTAGTTATGGAAATTGTGATAAAAAATAGAATCGTTTCAAAATGGTTCAAAAATGCCTTTTCAAATCACGTGCCTTTTGTTTTTAATTGCCTTTTATTTTTAGAAGAATAACAGAAGAACTTCAATCCTGCTCATCAAATTTTTTTTTCGGGCTAGTTGAAATGACTTTCGGGCTAGAAGTAGCTACAGCTTGCCCGAATAAGGAAAGGTTTCTAAATCCCTTTTTTAGTATAAGGTTTTGTTTACATAATTGCGAAAACGAATAAAATCGTTGCGGCTTTCAAGACAAAACCGTCAGTCGTATATTTTAGGACGTTTTGGTTTTAGTGTGTTTACTCTCAGATTGAGAGCTGGAATACTGTCGGACGGTGAAGGCGTAACGTCAGTGACCATTTGGCGCTTGTGTTTTTGCAAATAGTATTTTAAACTCTTTTTTAATTTACACTGTATTATCTGTTTAGTTTTCTTGCGAAACGTGGTGTCAAGGATGAAATCTGCTCTTTTGATGCCCGAAAAATCACTCCTGAAATCAGAGCTAGTGTGGAAGAACTGCTAGAAAAAAATGCTAATTCGTTTGATCCTAAGGTAAGTTCATATCCTAGTTTTTTAGTTGATTTTTATACAGAAAAGAACAAAACATTTCTTCTCTCGCTGACTTGCTTCCCAACTAACTGTCAAGAAAAGTGACTGCTTTCAGTCCACCCACGCAATGACTGCTCCCACATTATTGATAGTAATTGTAAGAAATTCTTTCTTATCTAGATTGCCAAGCGAGCAAGTGTAGCTGCCGCTCCGTTGGCTGCTTGGGTTGTAGCTAACGTGAAGTTCTCTGTGGTTCTTGAGAAGATTGAACCGCTGGAAAACGAGCAGGCTCAACTGGAAAAGTAAGTGCCTTTTGGCAAATAAAGAATTGGTGTCTATTGTTTTTGTTGAATGAGGGTGATAGGTGTGTTTACGGTCAATGAACGTTTATCGAACAAGTTTTACTTTACAACGTGTTGGGAACTTGGTCCATGATTTTGTTGATTTTTTGTTTGTTTGTTTGTTTTTTTCTTTCTTGTAATCGCCCAAGCTATCTCTCGTTTCGCTTGTGCTATTAATTCTATCGTCAATTAAGAACAGACTCAGTAATGATTGAATCAGGAAGAAAATATCCTTTAGTGGTAAATTTCAAACCAATGTATTCATGTACTCTGTTTGTATTTTCTAAAAAACGTACTTTTTCTTTTGTCTCATCTAGGAATCTTGCCAAGTCCCAGCAGAGGCTTGTGAAATTAGGGAACGCCTTGGATAAGGTGGATAGAGAAGTGGCAGAAATGAGAAAAAGGTAGTGTCACTGAAGATAGTTCCGAAAGTTCCCCTTGCAAACGGTCTTCGACCATTCCACGTTTTGTAAAAGCATGTATTAAATCAATGCAAAAAACTGGTTTATAACGTAACGAAGTATATTTTAAAGGGTTTTCTTGGTAAAACGCTGCTTATAGTGAGTTTCAGTTTTCTTTGCCAAAGTAATCCTAAAGATTGAATGAGAAATGTGCTAATATTTTAGTTCCGTTTAATGAACCCACTGTTCATGTTTTATTAAGTATAAAACACTGAACTGTGTCTCGTGTTTTGAACTTGGTAAAACACTTCTAGTAGTTATAAAATACAACCTATTTTTCATATCTATTCATATTCTTTACATTACTCATTTCTTACAAGTAGTTGAATTTCTAATCCATGCATTTGGAAACATATAGACCCTTCACGTCTGGCTTCTGAAAATCGCGTTGTACTTACGTGAATGTTTTTGTTGATAGCTACCCAGTTGTCCTTTTCTTTAATTTCTGCGTTCTTGTTGATTAGGTTTGAGTTAAGGACCCAGTAGTCCTTTTCTTTAATTTCTGTTTTCTTGTTGATTAGGTTTGAGTTAAGAACTCAGGAAGCTACACAGCTGAAAATGGAGTTAGACAAGGCACAAGAGACCATCCAAGCAGCTGAGACGCTTGTGTCTAAACTTGATGGCGAGTTCAAGAGATGGTCAGGACAGGTAGGGTGCACAATTACAATTAATTCGCGTGTATAATAAATTTCTCTCTCTTGAAAACAGATTTGCGAAAGCGAAGCCAGACTTCTGAAATGTCACGTGCTCTGCCAATCCATGCATATTGCCATTCATCATTTGAAAAATTTCGAACCAGGCCTAATAGCCGTGGTACAGTGAGCTCAGTTATGACCATCGGTTTATCAATAATTGGATGCGCGCACTCGAAAAATCGGTTTGACGTGAGGAGGCAAGGGACGCTTTCCATTCAACCAAAACTTTCGGAAATTAGGAAACAGCGGCAAATGGTACAGAAATTTCCCACAAAAGTTTCCAGAAATTCCGAAAGCTGTTGAATTTCCGAATGCAAACCATTGAACCGAAAATTCTAGAAATTCCGGAAGTAAAGTTGAATGGAAAGAAAACTTCCGGGAAAAAAATTGGGTATACCTCGCGAGGCTGTCCTCTTTTTCGGAAATTTTGGAAAATGCTGTTCCATTCGCTACTGGAAGTTGCCGAAAATTCAAACCAGGCGTTTTGGTTGAATGGAAAGCGCCCAAGATTGACTAGTTTAGAAAATTGGGCTGCGGCAACTTTAAAGACTTGACGCGATTAAAGCAGAGACTTCTTTTCTCCTCCTCACTCAAAAATCCGGTTTGACGAGCTCAAAAGATTGGGATGCTGTGACTTCAAAGGCTTGACGCGATTAAAGCAGAGCTCCCTTTTCTCTTCCTCACTCAAAAAACCAGTTTGACGAGTCCAGAAGATTGGGTTGCGGCGACTTCAAAGGCTTGATGCGATTAAAGCAGAGCCTTCTTTTCTCCTCCTCACCCAAGAAGACAAGAGGAGGCTCAGCCGGTAGGGTGTCCTACTTTATGGGCAAAAGTCTTGGGACACTTTTCACATAGGCCCAACCCCTCCCCTCACCCCACAAAACAATGTTGGACGGGTGTATCCAAAATTTTTTTCGAGTTTCAACTTTGTATAGGGTGGGGGGGAAGGAGAATCGCAAGAAAATTTTGAAAAGGATGCACTGTTTTATAAGGGAGCCCAGAAATGACAGAAAATTATGAATATTGCATTACTGTCCCAAGGACTTTTGTTCATGATTGTAATAAGAATACAGCCACGTTGACTCGGAGTTGCCTCTGCCACTCAGGTCCACGAACTAACCGCTGAATTAGAACAGTTGCCCAGGCGCGCTCAAGTAGCTGCAGGATTTATCACTTACCTAAGTAGTGCCCCAGAAGACGTGAGAAAGGCCACTATGGCCAAATGGTGCGAAGCAGCAGGGCTTCAGGGATTTGACTTCAGAAGGTTCATGAGCACAGAAAGTGAGCAGCTTGGATGGAAGGCTGAGGGACTTCCTTCTGACGACTTGTCCATGGAGAATGCACTCGTTATATTGAAGGTACCTTTGTCCGTTTGTAACTTTAATGTACAGCTCAATGTCTCCTATTTGGAAATTTCATCTTCGGTATCATGATTTTTTTCTAAACTGCAACTCAAAAATCCTTGTACTAAAACAGCGCATCAGAAACGTACTTTGTACTAAGTACTGGTCGTTTTAGGGACCACAAATGATTGTGGGAAAATTGTAGTGCGTGCAATATAGTTATCCAGTAGTTTAATAGACCACTTTAGCTTGCTTGTTTTTAAGATTCTCACAGTGTCGGTCACGTGACATTCTCAGAAAAATTCGTCCTTCACCTTTTCACAAACTAGACGTTCATATGCCTGTGAATGAGAAACCCGGTCTGTAGAGTATTATCAAACGACCCACATTGGGAAAACAAAACACACAAGGTAAAGAGGTCTATTAAACGGCGTTTTGTCGTATATTTATAAAGACTGTGCCCTTTTTATTTTTGTTAATTTATTATTATATTTTTTATCTTTTCTACTAACTTCTTTGTGTGTGGATGTCAAATGGAAGCACTCCTTCTCGTTTTTGATATCGTACATCAAAATAAAGCCAGTGACATGCTTTATACTTAATAAGACTCGTATTTATTAGCTGTCTCCATATATTGTCATTCTGTCCACCCAATACCTGTTACCAAAGCAACTGTCGCAATTGTATTTGGACAGAGTACTGTGAGACCGTTTTTGGTTGACCCATCATCTCGTGCGACCGAATGGTTGAAAGCTCATCTGAAGGATCAGAGGCTTGAAGTCATCAACCAACAGGTACTCAAAATTTTGTATTCTCCCCTTCTGAGGTAGTCTCTGCGCTGGTAAATAATATTTTGAAAAATGAAAATGGTAAATAAAATCCTTCTAATTGTAAATGGAGAAGAAAATTGTTTGCCATGTGCTAGAAGACCTTGTAGAGACTATACGTTGCCTACCATTTTGTCGTTTGACACCATTTTTGCCTTCTGGGCGAATTTGTAAGTCTTCAAAACTAATAAAGTCCAAGAAAAGTTCAATTACCTGCTTCCGGAAAAAATAAAAATACTACAACCGTTGCCCTTGTATCATTCTTCCTTTCAGGACTCTAACTTCTCAACCGCGCTTGAGCTGGCCGTACGGTTTGGAAAGACGCTTGTAATACAGGAAATGGACGGTGTGGAACCCGTCTTGTTCCCCATCCTCCGTGGTGATTTTATTAGTCAAGGTGGGGATCGACATTTATTACTTGCGTGGTAAAGTTTCCCTTTGCAGCTTGTTCGGGGTCGTTAACTACCAGCTTTTGTGGTCTGTTTTCCCCATTGACTGCGTTCGTCTTTCAATGCCTCTTCAGGTATAGATTTGGATTTAATAGTTTCGTTTCTTTTGCGCAAGTGCAATCCTGCAGTTCACATCTCTGAATAACAAGATCTTTTGCAAGTTTCTTCCTGATTTTTGCGAATTCTTGGAGTACATCTTATTTTTGATTGTAAGCGTTTTTGTCAGTAATTTTATTTTGCTGCAGAATAGCAAGAGAAACAATCAGATACATGAACCATCGTCACACGACTATGTCCACTCGAGTCGGTAAAGTAAATGCATGCGAGCTTACACGTCAAAACCTGTCTATACGAGTAATCTTTTCAGTATCCGTTTTGTTTCTTGTCCGCCTTGAAAACTGTCGTTTACATAATTCGCTTGGTGGACGGACGCCGTCCTTTTTAATTTGTTCTACAAAAACATGTGGACATGGCCTAATATAAATTAAGGAGTAAGTGGTGGTGCGAAAGCGAAAGCCTTTCACGATTGCATTGGTTTTAGTCCGTAAGGCCCGTGTTGTCACCTAAAAGTAATGTATTATTTCTTTGTTTAGGTCCTCGTTACGTCGTGCAGATTGGTGAAAAGGTGATCGATTACAATGAGGACTTTAAGTAAGTACAAGACCATCAAATAGATAACAGCAAGTTAGACTTTCTTTTTCCGATGCTAGAGTATGCAAGTTGAGTTATAATAAAGCAAAAAGGAGTGTCGAGAGGAAGGAAATTAAACGGCTCGTTTCTCTTTTCCTCCATTTCGCAATTGTCGCTGCTCGGCGCTCACTTTGTTTGTCATATGCGTGATCTTTTCTCCCGTTTACAAAAAATAGGAAAAAAAAAACAAACAAACAAACGAACAATTACGATCGTGCGCCTTCAATTTTCATATTATTACACTGCCATATTCTCTGTGCAATATTCCTAAACCTCCTGGGTTCCTACCGTAGGCCGGTATAAACAGCTTTATAGCTATGGGGACAAAAGTGCAGTACGGTCAAATCCCGTTAATACGGACACTAAGAGGGCCATAAAAAGTGTCCGTATTAACGGGGTGTCCGTACTAAGTGGGTGTCCTTGAAGTGGGGTTTGACTATATACTCTTATTGGCTCTACTGGTTGTTAAACGACATTTTGAGAGTTCTAGCTTCCCTTGTAGTTACAATGGCTAAGTTAGGTCAATGCTCCGTTTAATTAGCTTTCTAGCTCTTCCTTCTTCAGTTCTACAAATACGTAACATTGGTAAAATCGCTTCGTCATAGATTTTCGCAGCCACAGACGCAGGCAGTCAGGAATAGTAATAAGCAGTGTAAGAATCGTCTTGTAATCGCGCGTTTTTTCCTTTCTCTATTTAGGTTGTTTATGACCACTAGAAATCCCCACCCTGAGCTGCCACCAGACGGGTTTGCTATCATCTCTGAGGTTAATTTCACCACCACACGCGCTGGACTTACAGGACAGGTAAGACAAGTTTAATTTTCGCGCTTAACACTTTAAAGTCCCGGATGACTGGGCGCGATGAATGTAAGCTCTGTGGATGGTTTTAATTTTAATCGCGATTCACACAGTTAAAGTCCCAAATGATGTCGCCTCATTCAGGGCGCGATGAATGATTAGTCCAAAAAAGATGCTTTCTAGAAATATGATGTGTTGGATAGTTGGGACAGGCTTTATCAATGTTTTAAGTCACTCACCTAAAAGATTCAGGCTTGTTCAAGCATTACGATTGACAACTATTGTCCTTTAAGAAGGACGGTGACCAGTGACTGTGTCCGTCTCAGTTAGATCTTCATTTACGAGACACGAGCTACTAGACTGACTTTATAATAAGAGAATCTCTTTACTAGAAGTGATCATTCTAACTATATCAATTTCCTATTAAAGCTATTGGGAATAACTATTCAACACGAAAAGCCACAGCTTGAAGTACAGAAAACTGAACTGCTAAGGAAAGAAGAGGAACTAAAAGTGCAGTTAGCCGAGCTGGAGGAATCACTCTTAGAGGTAACATTCATCTATTACACCCCACTATCGACTAAGGCCCTGTCCACGCTCATGCGTTTTCGTTGTCATCGAAAAGGAATGGATCGATTCGCCGTCCACACTACCGTTTTGATGCGTTTTCGACTGTCCGCACTAAAACGTTCAAAAACAACAGAATTACACGTTGTGACATAAGTTGGACTCTATGCGCATGCTACAAACACACGCGCCTGCGATATTCTCGATCATCGGTTTTACTTCAATGCTTTTTCGACCGTCTTCGACCGTCATCACTAATACGATATGTATGCGTTTTCGTTTTGATCATCTTTCAAGAGCGTTTTCAAATCGATGCGATGCGTTTTCGATGAAAACGCTCAGCGTATTAGTGAGAACGAAAGGCTTAAACGCATCGAAATGAATGCGTTTTCAAACGAAAACGCATCAGTGGACGGGGCCTAAGTTAAGTGCTTGCAGTTCCGCTTATCAGGCTTTTTTTCTTTCTGCCAATGTGGTCCCTTAGTTTACCATCATTGTAATTCGAACACTTAATCCCCTGTTTTGGTTTGAGGCAAATTGTAGTCCAACGAATCCACGCCCTTTTATAGAGGTGTCCTTGTCTTTACCTGCTCTGTTCCAAACGCCATATATGTAGTCGTCAAATTTTTCCTCTTTTGCCAAATTTTGTGACAGACGTTGGCCAGTGCCGAAGGAAACATATTGGAAAATAAAGTATTGTTGGAATCTCTAAACAAGACCAAAGCGAGCAGTTTGACTATCGCCGAGTCGCTTCAGGATGCGCATCGAATACAAACCACTCTGGACCAGGTGAGTACAATAAGTTGTTAAGCATATAATCTCCCTATCGCCCCCATCTCCTTGACCTGAACTTATGTTGAGATGACCTAGGCAATACAGACGCTCTGGTCCGTATGATCCGGGCAATTAGATCTATGCTAGGCTTAATCAATTAATTGAAAACACAGGTAACAGGTAACACAGGTCTCAAATTTCACTCGCCTAACGGCTCGTGAAATTACGTTTAACAATTTCGAAATATCACTTATGGTATTTATACCAAATATCACTACAAATCATGCTATTACCTATACTAAGATGCCATTTTTTGAAATTTGACATTTATTTTCTCGGGCTCTCATAAGAAATAGTCTTTGGTGTTATTTGAATAATCATATCTATAGCCCTTGAAAAATGTGGAAAAAATGCGATATTGTTTAAATTATTCTGGTACAAGGTTTTTGTTCACTCAAAATTGAAATTACTAAATTTCCTGATGTATTCCGTCTTAATGGTTGTTAAGCGGTTAATGTAATCTGTTGATATAATAGGAGCGTGATGCCTACCTTCCACTGGCTGAGAGTGGAAGTACATTGTTCTTCGTGATTAGTGACCTTGCCAAATTGAACAACATGTATCGTTTTAGTCTGAGTGCTTTCCTCAGGCTGTTCCAACGCTCTCTGGAAGCAAAACAGGTATGATATAGCCAAGAGTGTTTATCTCATTAACCAGTGTTTGTGCTGTTTAATGGAAGGGTTGTAATTCCATTTCTCAAAACGTCAGAGACGGCTGTGCTGGGGGTGGACTGGGGGCTAGTCCTTCCCCCCTTTTTCCAACGAAATGAAGATTTAGGAAGAGGAGAGTCTCCTATGCCTGCCCTCTTCAAGTCAATAGTCAGCCTCCCCTTCACCAACCCCTCCCTCAACTTAGAAAAATGTTCCACCGTCCCTGAACCCACCGATCAATCCAGTTTTATCATCAGATTACTAATTTGTCTTTCTTTTCTAGTGACGCAAAATGGATAAAGCAAAAGATCAAAATAAATTCTTTTTACTTTATCAGTGTAATAATCACTCAAAATGTTGGGAGAACACTTGAAAAATCAGTTGCTTTTTTTTCCAGCCAATTCAAGTATCCAAGTGTTACGAGAGTGTTATGTTATCATAAAGAATAGATGTTTGACCAATTAGAACTCGCGTTGAATATCAATTAGCTTACAAATGTCGATACCTCGGTCATTTTGCGTTATTTCCTCAGGAATCAAGTGGCACAGAGCAAAGAATTAAGTCACTGAAAAGCTCACTGCAGTCACTGGTTTACGAATATGTGTGCAGATCGCTGTTTAAGGTACGACTGGTATTCTTATTTTGTCTTTTTCGTTGTTGTTGTGTTACACATGCACCTTGGTCGAACTGCAACTTTCCTCGCTTCGTTTTTAAATTTTTAGGCTGACAGATTGATGTTTGCAATACACCTTGTCCACGGCATGCATCCGGAAATGTTTGAGGCAAAGGTAATAATCTTTGCTGTGTGTTTTTGTTTTCTTGTTGTTGTTGTTGTTGTTGTTTTGATTTTTTTGAGGCATTTTGTATTTCATTTATGTTTTTGTTTGCTCATATTTGCATGGTGCAGCTTAATCGTGCGTTGCCATTAACGCTCAATGCAGTGGATTAGGCTATTCCCGTCTCACAAAACACTCAAAAGACTTTTAAGGCTTACCTCAAAACCTTACTTGTGAAAATTAATTTCATTTGTATGAGAATTCAAAATCATTTTTATATTAATGGATTTGAACTTAGCCTCGCTTTGGAGGAGAGGCTTGGGGCTACACGAAAACTACGTATTGTCATGAATGAAATAAACATCCTTGGCAAGACAATGTAAAAAATACTAACTAGATTTCAATTCCTTACACAGGAATGGGAATATTTTACAGGTCTCTTGGTTTCAGAGAGTGTTTTCAAAAGACAGGTTAGTCCATTAAGGCAGCTCTTTCATATTCAGAAAACGGTAGTAACATCGAAAAACAATAGAGACCTTTAGATTCGAGGACGAGAATGACGACGAGTGCGAGATTTGATTTAAAATTTTTTTTCGCGTGTTGACGCTGGTTCACGCGCGAGTAACACTTACTATTGAGACAATCTCGTACTCGTAGTCGTTCTCGTCTTAGAATCTAAAGGTCTCTATTGATCTCGATAGAGCACAAACTAAAGTGGCCAAGCGGTCGAGTTTAGGAGTAAAGGATAACTGTAGCGTAAACCATTAGCGATGCATAAAGCAATGGCGATGTGATGTATTGGTGCATTTTTGTACCAACTGAACAACCAGCAATACCCTAATATAAACAGAGTTTCTAAAGATTGCCAAAACGCGCAATGGAAAATTGAAAGCCATCCGCTCTATAACAGTCTACTGCTTCTTTTTGTCAGGAATCGATGAAAAATCTTCGCGAAAGCCTTCCATCGTGGATTGATTCTGATCGCGCCGCTGCTGTGGGATCTCTAAAGGTTTGTTTCATTGAATAATACTACCAATGAAGAGAATTTTAAAGTCGTTTACCAAACGGGCCAGAAGCGTCTCGTGGTGCGTTCGGATGTTTTAGAATGCTTTCCTCTTTGGAGCACTGACCTAGCAAATGAATTGAGAGAAACCCTACAACTACAACTCCTTTTGTACTGGGGCCACGATGCTCAAACAAAGCATTTTCATTGGTTTTTACACTAGCGCTTGGTTCATACTTTAGGTTATTCGTTTTGTTGTTGTTGTTGTTGTCGTATTGCTTATTTTGTTGTTTCTTTATCTAATTAAACATCTCGTCCGGGGAGCTTTGAGGCAACTCCTCCTGTACGGTAAGGTTGGGGGAGAGAGTCCTTGAAGAAGACGGAATAAAGTGACCACAGAAAACCTCCTGCCGAAGAAAACAACAGCAGTCTTTCACCTTTTCAGTAGTTCACTTCAGTGTTACTTATTTTTCTAAATTGTCTCTCTCTCTCTCTTTTTAGAACACTTTTGCAAACTTGTACAAGAATCTTCAGCTGG